ACTGACACTGACTGACACCTCTCTTTCCAGGCCGCCATAGCCCGTCTGCGTGCCTACCGACCGCCTCCATTCCCCGTCTGGGACCGTCTCCCCGCCAGCCGCCGCGCCGCCGTCCTCCTGCTCCTCTACGCCGACCGCCGCGGGGACCTCCGCGTCATCATCACAATGCGCGCCACCAGCCTGCGCAATTTCTCGGGCCACGCCGCGCTCCCCGGTGGGAAGGCCGACAGCGTACATGAAACGCCCTGTAAGAAACGACGGCCCCCCCTTTTCTGTTTTGCTTGTTTTGTTCTGTTCTGTACGTAGTTGAGCCCATCCGCCAACACACACAACCGTTCCGCAGACCAGATCGCCCGCCGTGAAGCATGGGAAGAAATCGGCCTCCCGCTGGATGCCCGCCTCCCGAAGCCCTTCCGCATCGAACCCCTCTGCGAACTCCCCTGCAACATGGCGCAGACCCATCTCGTCGTCCGACCGTGCGTGGCGTTCCTCCACATCGACCGCGACGCATCATCATCGTCCTCATCGTCCTCATCAGCAGCAACAACAACAACAACAACAGCAGCAGCAGCAGCAGCAGCAGCAGCAGCATCAGCAACACAGCAGAACAACAAATCCAAGTCCAGCAACGACGACGACGACGACGACGGCGGCGGCGACATGTCCATCATCCCCCGCCTGGACGCCAAGGAAGTAGCCGCCGTCTTCACCGCCCCGTTCCACAACTTCCTCCTCACGACCGACGAGCCGCGGCCCGAGCGGACCCGCCGTCCGCTGCCGCCGGGCCACTGGTACGACGGGCGGTGGCTGAGCTTCCGCGACCAGGCGTGGCGCGTGCACAATTTCCACGTCCCCGTCGACGGGCAGAAGGTGAGCAAGCCGCAGCAGTCGCCGCAGCAGGAGGAGAAGACATCGCCGGAAGAAGAACCGCAGACGCGGGGCGAGAACGGGACGACCGCCGCGCAGGAGGAGCTGGCGAGGAAACTCGCCGAGGAGGAGAAGGAGACGGGCAGGTACAAGGTGTGGGGCATGACGGCGCATATCCTCCTCGACGCGGCGCGCATCGCGTACGACGAGGAGCCGGAGATGGAGCATAATCCCCACTTGGGAGACGAGAGGCTCATTGCGGAGGCCGAGGTTGAAGGGCTTCTGTTCGACAAGAAGCGTGGGGCGGAGGGAGGAGAGGAGGGCGAGGGCAAGGGCAAGGGCAAGGGCAAGACAGAACCGGTGAAGATGTGAAGGGGTGGAGGGAAGGGAGCGGCCAGAAAGACGAATTGTCTGGACCCAAATCACCCCTGCCACCCCGGGTCAGGCCACATCAGGCTCCTAGATGGTCACTCTCACGTGTCTATGAACTTGTTCTGCATTTTGCACGCTACCTCCCTGAAGTCAGGGGTCCTGCAATTTTTATTTTTACTTCATGTTCGTTTTTTATTTTTTATTTCTTTCTAGAAGTCTTGTCATCCAGTTGATTCCCAGCATAGGTGGGTGGGTAGGTCGTGGGCGGGTCATTCGGTATTGGAATCCGAGGCGACATGCTAGAGACGGAAAACGGCCCCGAGGATAGAATCTACAATTGGAAATCTCGCTTCTTGTTTCTTCGCTTTCGTCTTCGTCCTCGTCTTCGTCCTCGTCTTCGTCCTCGTCTTCGTCGTGGATCAATGGCATGCGTTGTCCTTGGTCGACGAAATGCTATTCCCGAAAAGCACGTATCCGACAAAAGCGCCCACGGCCACCGCGATCATGACCCAGCCGTTGTACGTCATGAAGATGAGCCTGTTGACGAGGGAGAAAAGCATGCCTCCATCAGTTACACCAAAAAAAGATAAAATTATAAAAGGGAAATACAAAAGAGGCTACTCACATAATCATAAAAGCGTAAAAGTTCTGCAGCGCATACAGTGCCGCTTTGATAATGTGGGCCGTCTTGGTCGCCTCGATCTGTTGCTGTCCTGTCCAGAGGAAAGGCGTTGACTCAGTAGGTGCATCACCACGATGATCGGCTTCGAGGTCGGGAGAGGGAGGAGAAAGAAGGCCATCTTAGCAATCTTGTTTGCCATCCTGGTTCAAACATTGCGTAAAGTGAGGATATCGAGGGAGGGGGAAAGGGCGGTGGGAATATGGGCAGGAGACATACTGGGCAAGGATTCGACTTTCTTGTTGACCTTGGTTTCGTAGCGACGGCTGGCGGCGCGGAGAGCCTCATAGCCGGCCGTGAGGGCGACGACGAGGAGGAGCGAGAAGAGGAGGGAGGACGTGGAGCGGATGTGCCATTGGCGGAAGACGATGCAGAGGTTGTTGGTGTCCCAGGTGAACAGCATCTAATGTTTGCGAGTAGAGACGAATGTCAGCATATCGGCAGTTTAGAATTTGGCGTACGTTGTAATGGTCGCTGCTGGCTGGTTTGGCGCGCCCGACGGAATGGACTGAAACAAACGTACGCTCATGCTGCATTGGTCGCTGCCTCCCATGTCCCCGTGGCCGCCGTGGCCGTGGTCCATGTCGCTGGTGTGCATCTGGCTGTGGTCGTGATGATCCATTGTCTCGAGGCTTTGGAGAGGACGAGGGCTATCTTGGAATCGGAGCAGGAAAGTGTAGGTCAAGGTTCGAGACAACTTGGATGAAGCTGAGGACAGTATCAAGATGCTTGTGTGGTAGTATATAACAATTGTATGGATTAATCGAGGCGAGGAAACCTGCTCAAAAGCGCGCAGGAAGGCGGTAGTTCTCGGTGAATGGAGGAATCGTTAGGCCGGGGCTGGCTGAGGTCGACTGATGGGGGCAGCTGCATCGCAAGCGGAGGCGGGACCGAGCTCGGACGGGGTCTTTTGATAAGATAAGAACACTCCTTCACCGTTCACCGCGCGATGTTAGGCACCTTACCTTATTGGGACTGATTCCCCACGCGGTACCTAGGTACGAAAATAAGATCGGATGATACTTCAGAGTACGTATTCCTTACTGAAGACGGGAAGAGGGGCGGTTTGCCTCAAGTCACAGTGTCTTTCAGTTGCCCCTCCATACGATAACTACAATGGCTTGCCTTACAGTAAAATAAGGTATCTACGAGTTCTTCATCAATCACTCTCCATTAATCACTTCCATTAATCCCTCTTCCTTCATCCACTCGCTCGATGAGACGTAATGTAAGGTATGAGGTACCATTAGACTGATCCGTCCATATCGATCCATCTTGCATGGTTTTCCTCTACTAAAGAGAACGGCTGGGGCCTGCTGAACTGAATGCCCGTTAATATACCTCGTTCTCATCATTGCCAACATCTCAACCTGAAATCACCAAACCCCCAGACTTAGCATCGCATACATACTCAGTCAAACCCCCCTTAACAACACTAGAAACCATGCTGTCGAACCCCATCAACCTGCCCAAGTGGTAAGTCTAAACGTTGCCACGACTATTGGATTGCAACAAACTAATCCATGGCTCAGGCTCGAAGAGAACTCCCACCTTCTCAAACCACCCATCAACAACTACTGCGTCTACAATGAAGACTTTACAGTCATGGTACGACACCAAAATTACCCCTACCTCCACACAACTCTTTTCCGCCTGCCAACCAGAAAGCCCCCCCCCCCCAAAAAAAAGGCCCATCCCGTCCAATCTAACCTAACAAACACCCCCCCCGTAGATCGTAGGCGGCCCCAACGCCCGAACAGACTACCACATCAACACCACCCCGGAGTGGTTCTACCAGTACAAAGGCGCCATGCTCCTCAAGGTCGTCGACCCCTCGGACGGCGGCGGCGCCTTCAAGGACATTGTCATCCGCGAGGGGGACATGTTCCTCCTCCCGCCCAACACGCCGCACAACCCCGTCCGCTTCGCCGACACCGTGGGCCTCGTGCTCGAGCAGCGCCGCCCCGCGGCCAGCGTCGACCGCATGCGCTGGTACTGCGACGCGCCCGGCTGCGCCACCGTCGTCCACGAGGCCGCTTTCCACTGCACCGACCTCGGCACCCAGATCAAGGCCGCCGTCGAGGAGTTCAAGGCGAGTGAGGAGAAGAGGACGTGTCCGAGGTGCGGTACCCTAGCTGAGGCGGCGCCCCGGCCGGGGAGTATTCGGGATCCTAATCTTGAGTGAATATCTATTTTATTTTCTTTTGTCTTGTTTCTCTCTTTTTTTCTTTTCTTGTCTTTTCTTTTCTTTTCTTTTCTTTTCTTTTTTTTTTGGTAGGTGGGGTAGCGGGTGTTTGCGCGAAAAAGTTCCTTTTGGAGGGGTTGAGAAGCGAGGGAGGGATAATGGGAGACGTCGCTTTGCGAGAAGTAAATTACGTCAAAAGTTGTACATCTCCTCAATTGGGTACGTTATACGGATACATATGCGATATGTGCCGACAGAGTGATACCGCCTCTCTGTCGGGCTATACAAGGCAAGGTACATGAAACCACCGAATGATACCTATCCTCTATACCAGACATCTAAATAAGGTAGGTACATTTGGCAACCAACCTTTCATGTTTCGAGACGCAGTGAGTCAGAAGGGGGAGGGGGCACAAAAAAAAAGTAGACACGGAGACCATCCAAGTCGGCAAATGTCTTCTCAAGTCTCGCCAAAGACGTAAGAGCTGGGCGACTCCTCCACGACCAGTTCAATCCTGCCCTCGGGAAGCTCCTTACCCCCGACGCGAATGCCGGCGCTGATGGTGTCGCCGGGAACCGCGGGGCCCACGCCGGCCGGCGTGCCCGTGAGGACGATATCGCCCTCCTCGAGGGTCATGACGCGCGAGATGTCGCTGAACAGGCGCGGGATCTGGAAGAGCATCAGGTTGGTGGAGGCGTCTTGCTTGGTCTCGCCGTTGACCTTCAGGAACACCTCCACGTCGTGCGGGTTGGCGATGGCGTTCTTCGGGATGAAGTCGCTCATGGGCAGGAACGTGTCGAAGCCCTTGGCGATGTCCCAGGGGAGACCCTTCTTCTTGGCCTCGTTTTGGACGTTGCGGGCTGTCAGGTCGATGGCCATGGCATAGCCTGAAGTGGGACAAGGGCGCAAAGGGGAGTAGCTGTCAGTCTTGCTTTTATGCTGCATGCTGGGGCTACTTTGCGGCTCTACGTGAATAGAAACGCGGGGAGGAAAATTGTCCCGCCTGAGTAAGGGGGTCGACGGATACACACCTTTAATGGCATCGAGGGCACCCTTTTCATCGTTGGGGTCGAGGTTGCGGACTTGCTTGCCAATAATGGCAGCCAGCTCAATCTCGAAATGCATATCAACGCCCTTGGGCCTCAGCACCGGCCCGGCACCGGGGAGGAGGATGGAGGAAGGGGGTTTGAGGAAGAAGAAGGGCTGCCTAGGCCGTGCATTGTTCAGCTCCTTGATGTGATCGCTGTCGTTTCCTCGTCAGCCGTTGTGCACGTGTGTGTGTCGCGTCGTGGGATGAGGGTCCGAGTCTCACCCATAGTTACGGCCGACGCAGACGACCTTACTGGCCTGTTTCAGTGAAGCCGCTGAGGCCATGGTTCTCCTGAAGAAAAGAGACATGGTGTGATGGATGAATTCTGGGTGAGGGTTGTGAGATGGTCAGCGGCGGTTGTTGTGTTTAATGTCGAGAAGGACGGCTAGCGTTCCGAGTCGGAAGTAAGCCGATGAGTTGAGGTTGAACCTGGCTCGCCCTGCTAACGTCGGAATCTCGCCCGAGCTCGGCCCGAGTGTGAACGCCACCTTGGGTACGTTGGGTGTAATTTGATGAGGCTGATAAGTGGGTGGGTATCACGAGCTCAGTACGAATAAGTACAAACTTAATAATCAAACCAATAGCCGTATATGTATATTTGCTTCCGACCTTATTTCGTAAGTACTTGATACTTCATATTCCCACTGGTTTATGTTGCGTGGCTGCCTGCAGGCACCACCTATTGACGGGCCTACATATATCTAGCCTCCACAGCTTCCCTTTTAGCTGCAGGGATATTCTTCCTCATACATCTACATATCTACACATCCCTATTCGACCTTCGATAGGTAGTTTATGCAGTCTAAGGTAATCAAGGACAATCAAATTGTCCATCCGCACACTACAGGTATTATTACCTTTCACAAGAACGACAAGATATCGGAACCCCAGAATACAGTTAGTTAACTGGCCGGAAAATAGGTCAGCATGCAAAGCCCGTTTGCGGCTGATTTGGAACATCCCACGTCTTCTGGCCCCAAGTGTACTTCGTGTGTAATTAACCCCACTTTTGGAGGTCACGTATTTGGGTAACAGTAACACCACCTCCGTCACCCCACACCCCACACTCTTCCTATTAAAGAAGGTATCTACGGTACCTACGTGGATAGCTTGTTCAGATGTGCGTATAGCGTAGTCTGTACGTACGATACACGTAGGATGAAGCTCAGTCTAGGCCAGTTCGGGGAGTCTAAGGGTGTGACGACAATATAGGTACTTAGGGGTTATTAGGTGCTCCTGGCATGGTCCGGGCGCATTTGCGGGGTTCCGGGAAAGAAAGCGAGTGGCGCCAAAGTTCCCCAAAGACCCACCGCCATACGTCTCCCGGAACCTTACGTTTTTTCTGGAGAAGGAAAGATTCGTCCACTTTGTCCTCCCCCAAACGTGAAGTAAACTTTATACGAAGTAGAAAGCTCCCGCCGCGTTGGGAAACCACATAATCTCATACTTATTTTATTCTGTTGCCTCACCTCGAGAAGGCACCTTGCAGAACACAACACAGAAAACCGCAACAACGCGCGCCCACAGCTTCTTACCAGAGTGTCAATCTGGCCAAGCAGCCACTACTATACAGGAAACCTTTAAACTTCTCTGTCATCAGTCATGGAGACTCTGCAACTGGCGCAGATGCTCGCAGACCTTAGCAGTCTTAACGCGGCTGTAAGACCATCTTTCCCCTTCCCTAAAGCGCAAGGAAGAAAAGAAAGAAAAAGGAAAACCATCACCACCTTTCAAGCTGCACCGTGCTAAATCTCCTTCCATCCTCACAGGAACCCGATGCCGCCGCAGCCCTCGTGACCGCAAACAAAACCATCGAAAAGACCGAGAAGCAGCACCAGACCCAGTTCCCGACCGACCAGCAGCAGCAGCAGCAATACCAGCACTCCCTCGCCGCAAGGCACCTCTCCGACGACCCGTCGCGCATCAGCCCCCCCTCGCAGGGCCACTCGCGCCACCACTCCCGCAGCGGCACGGGCCACAACACCCCGGCCCTCTTCGACAAGTTCGGCCGCCGCATCCTCACGAGCCCGCCCCTGACCCGGACCAACTCGTCGCCGGGGTCCGGCTCGGGCACGCCGCGGCGCGGATCGGATGTGGAGGAGCCCCCCGCCGCCGCCGGCAGCGGCGACGTCGACCGCGCGTCGACCCTCATGACGCTCTACGAGATCCGGACTAAGCTGAAGCAGCAGGATAACAGGAGCCTCGTGAAGGCGCGCGAGAAGATTGCGGAGTTGGCGGCGCGACAGCAGGCGCAGGCTCAGAAGGAAGGGGAGAATGGTCAGGGGTCGCGGTATACATATCCCAAGTGAAACTGGCTTGGGATGAGAGGCATGGGACAAGCCTCCCTTTTCCCTTTTTTTTTTTCCCTTGCTTTTTCTTTCCTTTTATTTTCCGTCCCAATGGGTCGGCTGGTCATAATTCTTTTCGCGACCAGGATGGCAGGCTTATGCTAGCTATGCGATGGACTACACGACATTGCGGGGCTGGTTACGGTTTTTTTAATGGGCCGTGGTACCAAGGCGCTTCAGGAGTTTTCGGGGAGTTCGGGTTGCGAAACACGAAAAAAACAGCAATCGGAGTCTTTGGTATATGGAGGAACGGGGCACGAACGGATTACGAGGACATGACACCACTTGATCTTTTTCGGACGGAGTATCCGTGAAGATGCGATTGGGAGCTGAGGAGTCGGGGCAATGGGCATGGCGTTGTTTCGGCGCACTTGGGCTCGTACTCCTATGGACGACATGGTTGTTGGAGAGAGGCTAGGGAACATATGCTCAGCGGGCACAGTTAGGGTCGTGTTTCCATGCGGTTTCTTCTCCCTTACTTCTAGCCAGACTCTACATCTACAGTTAAAGCGATGAAAGTATACCCCATGCATCATGAGCAGTTCCCGCGTTAAGGTTGATCATTTTCAACCTGCCACCTTGACCATTGGATAGTTGCGACGAAGGACTGGTATCAATGACCACTCGAACGATGATCACCCTGACGGGCGGAGGATTGTTACAAGGAGTCAAACGAAGTGTCACAGCAGACAATGGAGTGGTCGTCGCGGTGTTCGCGGTGTCCATCAGCTGCAGGGATGTGGAGAAGCATCCACCATGAAGCACGAGAGAGAACAGTGAACCAATCTGAAGATACCAAATGTTGATACCCATATTAAACGTCTACGTCTTCTCCCACCTCACCTCGTGGTGAGGAGATCCTGAGTCCTGACAGGAGTCCAGGGGTCGGCAGCCGTCATAGCTGATTACCACCAGCAACGCCACATCAATGCCTATTTGCTCTTGATAATGTCAACGACGACGACGTAGCAGCGTGGAAATGTGGAGGCCCTCGAGAGTCACGTTACTATAGGCTGATCTCCTTGAAAAGAGCACAGTGATTCCGTCGGTAAAGCTGCCTATCAATCTGCCCGACTTAATGGCTCGACCCGAGCCCCGAAACTATCGCGAATACCCATAATCGTACAGAAGCAGAAGTCTCCAATCTGTTATAATCCCTCACATCCCGGTACCAAGACTCATCAATTCCGTCAATGATAATCCTCTCCCTACAATAAAAACACCCTTAATTCCCTTCCTGTCGGGTAGCACACACATCTTCCGATATTTAGTCGTGATGCCTCGGAAGCCATTATACAGAGAATCTTCGTTTTCGACCAAGCTATTCTGAATGAATCGGTGCCCCGTAACATTCATCTTCGGAATCAGAAGACTTGAAAGATTTCGTCCAAGGAAATAAAGAAGGAATATCGAGCCCAGCTAGTGCAATAGCTGGTGCCTCACACTGACCACCACTTGAAATAAGTGACATTGTCAGAGCTGTTATTGTTATGTTTGAGTTTGGCTTCGAGCCTCCAACAGAGGCAGGAAGCTTTAGATATAGTATAGTGCTCCGCTTCAGGGGCAGGTCGCCTGACTTGCATCATCTCAAGAGTGCAAGTGCAGTGTTATTGCAACCGTTAAGCCAGGATATTATCCTCACCCTTATTTCGAAGGCCCTGTACGGAGTAAGCAGAGCAACGCCCATACGAGGAATTACGCGGGTTATTATGTTATGGCCCCTGTCTCTCCAACCGACTGGAGCGTCCTTGTTATGTTATGGATCATGGCCTTACCAACCTCTTTAAAGGTAGGGAAATGGACGAGATCGTAGGACGGGCATGCTGTCCTGCGAAAACGGATCAACGACATCAAAGAGACTCTGGTCAGGCCACTTGCTTTACCGTCCCCTCCCTACGTAGCTGAAACAGCGATACTGGATCGATGACTCCGCCCGGCAAGCGCAAATGGTGAATGGCATCGCCGTGGGAGTTGATCATAGTTTCGCCGTGACGGTCGATAACACCTTGCACTTGCTCTTTCTCGACCCACAGGCAGCTGGAATTGGAAGAGGCAACCTTCTCCCAAGACTTGACCACCTCAGGGCTGAGCTCAAGATCCCATGTTCCACGCCATGTGAGAGTGGCTATTGGGCTTGCTTTCTTTCTTTGGTAAATAGCCGCACATGCTTCTCCGGGTCTGCTGTTCCAAAGTACCATCGTTTCAAGCTGCGGCATGTGTGAGGCAAGTACGCCTGCGTCGCGTAATAAGGAAGAGATATCCTCGCGAGGGGCTGTTTCTCGGAGAATCGACGACGTGAGCGTCAAGAATCGCAGGTGATGCCAGCTATGAGACGGCCGACAGGCGTTGAAGAACCGCCGGGCATCGACCATGAGGGAAATCGAAAGATGTTCAAGCTCCTGGCTTCGCAAGACGAGGGCTCTAACCAGCATGGGACTTGCGCTGGGGTTATTGCTGATGTCGTCCGCATATGACGGCTCGTAGGCCATTGCCAACAGAAGCTGATCATTGGGATCCTCAAAGATAGATAGGCTTTTGACGCGACTCGGTATGCTCAATGACTTCGGCGAGTACTATCGAGAAATCAGTACGGACGGGTCATCAATCAGGGAGGTCACGGTTAGCAGAGTAAAACATACGAATGTCGCACGCCCTCTTCAATATGCGCGAAGCAACACGCCATGGCTCGTAGACTACACTCTGCAATTGGGGTAGTCTCTTCAATAGGATCTCCAGTGCCTGCGGGAGAATCTGCCGTCGAAGCTCTCGACGCAGTATAAATCCTGTCACTACTTCGACCTCGGGCAGAGATGATGGGAGATCGATGCAGACGGTGTCGAAGAGCCGCGTAATAGCCATATCACAGGGCGCCTCTACCTGCTGGCCAAAAACCCAGCCGTGTCTTGGGTCGTGCCATTGGAGAGTGCGCTTCAGTGGTTTCTCTGAATCTCTATCATCGTCGTAGCCACGCTCCGTATGATCAACCGTGAACTTGAACCAGTGCTCCGCATCGCTAGTTGAGAAGGCGTTGAGCTCTAGGACGAGGCGGCCTGTAGGCTTCCAGGTGCTCAGATTAGAGAAGAGTTGCTGTATCGCCTCTCCGACGACGGTGCTATGGTGTATCATGCAGGACGTTGACGCGTACCACCGACAAGCGCGACAGCCGTACCGCGGAAGTTCAATATTCAGCCGGACGTGCTGAACAAGGTGTCTTTGTCGGACCACCATGTGTTTGAATTCCTCGAGACATGACACCCGTAAGTTCAGTCGGTAAAAGTTCCTTGGTTCAACGAAGGTCTGCCATTCTTTGCAAACAGCCGCGCAAGAAGCTGCCCATCCCCGGTGCTTTTGGCGCGAGATTTGCCCTAGGATCTGTAGACGAATTTCCCACGGCAATGAATCCCAGGAGGATGACGCAGCATCAACACGTCTGTCGGTCATTTGGCGAGACAAGGAAAAAGGGAAAAAAAGGCCTTGATGGCTGTGATTTTGTGGTTGGGTTTGCTCGGCGTGCACCAGACACTCTACAGAGTCACAAGGCGTCACATATAGCCGCTGCGTCCACGCCTTTAACACACTTCTAGCACCAGCTAGTTGCCTTACCTACTCGTATAATATCAGCGGCTGTAATTATATTTCCCGAAGCAGGCGGACTTGAACTTTGATGAGAACATATACGCGTAGGATATAGGCAGTGAATCGGTGTGGAGCAGTGTGGTGTGAGTTAAGTGAACCGGAGCCCACGCTCGAAGCCGAGGGCAAATTCGGAGATGGCGAATGCGTGGCCTCGGTGGCTGAGCTTCGGATCACGTTCAATCGCGGAAAGTACGGTACCTTTTCGAATAGACGTCGCCAAGTGGTTTCGTTGTCCAGAACCTTTCTGCGTCCGGATACTGATTTGACACAAAGCAGGTCATGCGTTACCCCGGGTCAAGGGCAAAAGAAAACGTATGAACGTTGAAGGCGACAGCAACTGGGGCAGGAGAGGAGGCGAGATGGAATTGAGATGGATAAAGATAATCAAACGACAGGGAGCTAATAATGACGGCTACTAATTACTCAATACCTTAGTGAATACCTTAGTAATAAGCAGCCTTGAGATGTTTGCAGTGTATCGATGTATCAATTCCAGCGTGTCTACCTTACCTTAGGTACATAAGGTACGGATAGAGTACATATGCGTACATCAGTACCAAGTACACTACCTAAGGTACCTTGAGGTAGTTGAGAGTGGCTGTGGAACAACCTCGCCCCTCGGCCCACATGTCACAAGTACACTACACGTGTACAAGGTGCAACCCTGCTACTGTCTTCTTAGTGGAACCGATCCCTTGGCGACGTTATCTGACGCAAAGGGGACTGCTTGGAGAATACATATGGTCCACGTCACAGTCTGCTCCCCCCAGAGATTCCCTCTTTGTTCTCCAACTTTTCTCCCACTTCACCTTTCCTCGCCGTTCCTGCGAACACTTTGGGGTATCAGACTTTTGAGAGGTGGCTGGTGCATCTACCCAACGCAAGACCCTGATTCGGCGCTGACGCGGGCAATCATCTTTACCAAACTAACTCTATTCTCACCCGGTACCTTAGTATTATACGACAATACGGACGATTCGTACAAAGCAACTCATCTGACTTCGACGAAGCTACCTTACGGAGTAGCTACCGATAGCTCGGCTCTTTCCCCATCATCGCCCTCGTCCTCGTCCTTTGTCCTCTTCCTCGCCGCAACAACAACACTGCGTCGCATTGTCACCACCACCTATTATCACCTACTCTCCTCTGTTCATCATCAACCGCATAACTTTGCCGTCAAATTTTTACACCGACCTTTTCAGACCTCTATATCGCCTATCATGGCCTTCCTCTTCCCCGCCGACGAACTCGTCAAGAGGTATGTGAACCTCGCCCCTTCCCACTCGCCTCTGTAAATCGGTCCTAACATGATGCCGAACCCAGACAATACTACAACTGCCCTTCCGGTTATTATTACAGCAACGGCCGTTGTCGCGAACGCAGCAGCTGGTCTTGGTGGGGCCGCTGGGTCCTGACCGGCATGATCATTTTCGCGTTTATCCTCCTCCTCTGCTGCCTAGGGTAAGTTTTCTTGCCTCTTACCCCGCTACCGAAATTCGACTTTGTTAAAAAAAACTAAAGGTGTTTCAGCTCCCGCCGCCGCAGAAAGAGGGGCAGGCAACCCATGTACGGCACCGGCTGGATGACGAACAACCGTTTCGGCGGCGGCCCCCACCAGCAGCCGCAGCAGCAGCCGCAGTACGGGCAGGGCTACAACCAGCAACAGCAGCAGGGCGGCTACCACTACGGCCAACAACAGCAGCCGCAGTACGGGTACGGCCAGGGCGAGTACAACGCTCCCCCCGCCTACGGCCAGCCGCCGCCGCAGCCTCAGCATACCGGCCAGACGTTCACCCCCGGCGAAGGGTACTATGGCGGCCACGACGGGATTCAGCTCCAGCAGCCGCCTCAGGCGTATTCGCGCGGTGTCGACGGTGACTTTTCGCCGCCGCCGGGGCCGCCTCCCGCCAAGGCTTAGACGGGGTGGAGGTTGTTGTTGGGATACCGTACCTAGGAATGATCCATGAGAGTAGGGACGTTTTTTTGTTATACAGTACCATGTCTCACGACCGAATTTGCAAAGGTGCGCATTGGTGTGGCTGCCTGTTTGTCTGTGTGTGTACCTCTGTGTGGGGTGAGCGCATGGTCTGTTGAGGTAAGAATAGGCGTTCAGGTTTAGATGCATTTTCAGCAGGACAGTTGGGACTATTATCCTTCTCTGCCCATGATTGTGTGATGAATAATAGAGATTGGTAAACCAGAAACATCGGTGATGTACGAAGTACATTTGATGCCTACAAGCGTTTTGAACGAGTCTCGTTTTTGAATCGAGAACTATTGCTAGGAGATGACGATGTGTTTGAGATGCACCTGGTGGAATAGCGATCAGCATCAGCAAACATATTGAGAGGATGGACCCTGTCTGAAAGAGACTCCTGTCGCTGAGTAATCACCACGAACTCGCTGGTTTTTTCCCCTGCCTCTCGGAAAAGAACATGAAATTCTTTCTGACGTTTTTACCCCTTTCCCACTCGAGACAGGTTTGCCAAGGACCGATCCCATTGGGCCTCCGTCTTCGGAATAGTTCCCACGATCCTTTCCCTCTTTCTCTTTTCTCGGCTTAGCCGATGGGTTATCATAGGGTGATACCTAGGAGGCTAAATTGAATAATAAGGAATCCCGTCCCTAAATAATGTTAGGTGGCAGGTAAAGACCAGGAACGCCAAGAACAGGAACGTCTAAACGTGAGCCAAGCCGGATTCGACCTCTATAAGGTTGACATTTCATGGCTCAACGCGCCATAAGCAATAAGGACTCCATGGGAAAGAGAAGAGATGAAGGGGGTTCCTGATTCAGCATAATAGGTACCTAGGTAATTTAATAAAGTACACAGGATAACGGCAACATGCAGTTGGATACCTAAGGTACCTCTTGTCATGATACCGGGGGTCTCAGATGCTGGTATCCATTATCCAACCGCAGGGAAAGTTACTTGGCACGAAGTATCCATACAACGTACAGTAAAGGTACCTTACCTTTAATTATGACAGTCCCAAACCGCCCGTTTGAAGGGGTTTCTGTTCCTTGCAGGGAGGGTGCATGGGCGTTAATAAATTCAGCGTTGATCAACGTCAATAGGTACATACCGTACCTTAGGCCATGAGCACCTCCGTTAGCCGTTTCGTCCTTCTCCGTCCCGGCATCCCGTTATTGGGTCGTACCTTCCTGATGGCCACGAACTTTTGTCCTCGAGCGCCTTTTTTTTTTTCTTCGTCTCCCATCTCTCCTTCTTCCTCCTGTCTACCCCCAGCCGACCTGCGTTAGGGACATTGTCATCACCCTCAACGCTCAGACCTCGAATCCTTCTGGGGGGAGGAGAGAATAATAACGAGAAGAAAAATCCCACCTTCTCCGCTCATTCCTTTCTTCTTGGCCCTCCTTTGTCAATCGTCCAACTCCTCAGACTCGGATCGACCAGCCGTATCCTAGTCGTTAGGCTGATCGTCGACCCTTCTTGCTCTCCTTTACTGCCTCCTCCCTAGGGGCTGCGCCTCGCTTTCGTCGTTCTCTTCTCCACAATACGACTTTGTTACCGCGCCTTCGCACTCCCACAAAGAGAAAATCGGATCCATCTTTGTTTGGATCAGAAACAATCTTTCAAGTCTTTTCCGCGAATTACAACGAACACCCGATTGTGCTGTTGCCGCCATTCATTCTTGCCCGATTCCCCTGTCAGCTTTGCTGCGCCTTCGACCGTCACCCCCGCGAATCCTCTGCTGTTCGAATTGGCGCTGATTGACTCCCGCTTTCCCGACACCTATTCACTACGCCCACTCTCTCACCACATCCTTCCGCTGCATTCACGCCGTCGACATAGCTCAACCAACCTTGCATCCCGCGCCTTCGATCTTGTCCGATTTGAAACCGCCCGTCTACTTTTTCAACAACTAAATAGAGCGTTCCACTGGCTTGGAGCAGGGGTCCTCTAAAGAGCTGGACTGTCGACTTCCTTGTGGGGCCTGCTTCTCTCCTTTTTGTCGACGAGGTCAAAGAAGTGCAGAGGGGAATGGAGATATAGCCTCGAACAGCCATCAAGCCTCTCTTTCTACTTGGAGCACAAGATGCCTTCCGTCGATGTCGCCATGGCGAGGAGCCTGCGGGGAGGAGTGTGGGGATCAATCGTCTCAGGCATAAGTTCAGATCTCCAGGCACGGCAGATTACTGAAACCATAAACGATGTCGGCACCGCGCTGGGGAGCTGGGACAATTGCATGGCTGTAGACTGGTGCCGGTAAGTTTTTTTCCTTTTCCATTTTTCCATTTTCCCATCTCTTCTTTCCCTTAATATGTATTGATATAATGGCCATTTCGACCGCCATTGCACGGACCATTCGGGCTATTCTTGCTGACCAGTGCTCTCAGATGGCCCGTCATTGCGGCGATCATCGTCGGCGGTCTCATCATCCTCTCCATTGTCATTTGTGTCGCTCGCTGCCTGTGCTGCGGCGTCTCGTGCTGTTGTCAGTTCTTCTCCTGTCTCAAGTGCTGCGGCAACTGCTGCGGCGCCTTCGACCCTCCCGGCGGTAAACGCCGCAAGTACCTCGACGAACCCTATAACGCCCCGAACCAGGGCTATAAGCCGCATCCGCCCATGTTCACCCCGGCCGCCGCCCCCGTAGCAGCAGCACCACCTCAATACGCCGAGTTTGACGCGAGCAAGAAGGGCGACGCAGACGCTCTCCCTGCCATGCCGACATGGGAAGGAGCTGGTTCCAAGAAGGTCTCTCTCGAGGAGGACGCCGTCGAGCTGGAGACGATAAAGAAGCCCCAAGCTGGCCAGAGTGCCAGGAACATCCAACCGAGCCCGAACATGCCACTCATGACACACGGAACTGCTGGTCCCGCGAGCCCTATGTCGCCTGAAGATGCCAGGGCGCCCTACGGTCACGGGCATGGTCATGTGCATGGTCATGGATATGCCCACGGAAGTTCGTCCGGATACATGGCTGGAACTGGCAGATCTCCCGACCCTTATGCAGATCCCTATGGACAAGACAGTCAGGTTCAGGGCTATGGCCAACCAGGCCACGACTACGATCAAAACGACCCTTACGGACAACCTTCGTCGTCTGCATACGGCCCCGGGCAAAGTTATGGCGGCGCTGCCGTGGCACAAGGCCGCGGAACGCCACATCAAGATCGGAACGGCAGTTTTGGCGCGCCAAGTGCCCAGGGCTATCACGGGCACGGCTCATCGAGGTCTCCCCCGCCGAACTCGGACTTTAACACGGCGTACGACCGGCCCTATGGGCAGCAAGATGGATATGGACAAGATGGCTATGCACAAAATGGCTACGGACAGGACGGCTATGGGCAGGACGGCTATGGCGCTGGCGTAGCCCGCGGACCGACGCCGCACCGGTCGCCCCCTCACAACGGCCCTGGATCCGCTTTCGCGCACCCCGCTCGGAGTACACCCAGCCCTGCGCCTCAGGGTTACCGCCGCTCGCCCGGCCCCCAGGCCAACGACTATGGCTATAATCAGAACGACGCCTACGCGCGACAGGATACCCACGGAGGAAGCGACGCCTACGGCCAGGCCCCGTACGCGCAGGACCGCCAACGACAGCAGCTGACTGGCCCGGCGTCTCCCGGACTGCAGAGCAACGGCGGCTTCGACTTCAGCTCGGGCTACAGCCGTCCGCAACCGCAGTACGATTACGACGACCAGGGACAGGTGTCTCAGCAGCGTCCGCCACCCAGCAGCGGCTCGGAAACTGGATACGCCGGGCTCAAGGCGTACCAGACTCCACAGCGGGGATGGAGTGGCGTGTGATGCAGCGAAGGAAGTGGATGGGGCTGAAAAAAGGCTCACCATGACGACTTGTTAAAGTTTCTTTGATTTCCACTGGAACCCCTTAACGTACGGTTTTTAGACGGCGTTGCTCTTGTTTTGTTTCTCTTCGCCTTCTGTCATTCTGCCTATTTTGCGCTTGGCACCAGACCATCGTATATACCAGCGATCTGTACCTCTATTCGAAGCTCTTTTCTTTTTCTTTTCTTCTTTTTTATTGTTCCAAATACTTAAGAATCACATTACGATATGTTTTCCATCTTGGAATTTCATTTTGACGGGATTTTATCTTGGGGCTGGGCTCTACTTATTGGATGGATGCCGGGATTGCATTTATATAGCGTAGCTTCTCCTGTGAATGAATGACCAGTTGGGAAATCAATTTCTGGGTATGCGAGATAAGCATAAGAGAGAACGTATGATGCTTCCTCGTGTAGAGGCTGGATAGCCTTGAATTCCACATTTCACGGTGTTACGGTAAAGTACGTATGGAGTTGCGGATTCGCTTCAGTATTTCCCCCTTTCTCATATGCCATGTGCTACGTGTACAGAAGAACGAAGAAATCAAAAACTTGCTTGGACGAAAGGAAAACAAGAAAATGCCAACCCGATCCCAAGATGGCCAATACTTTACTCTATGGCAGTGGAGAGTTTCCGCAACAGAAACACAAACGCCCGTGGTCCCAGCGCATGTTTCGTGATAATACTCAACTTGAAAAGCAACCATAAAAGAGAGAACACAACCCCGATAGGAAGAAGAAGAAGAAAAAAAAAAAGACAAGGGAAACAGCCCCGTGTAAAGAAAACCAGAAACGTCGTTATCTTTCGTCAGAAGCAGGGAGGTCCAATCAGCAAAACGGCGCTTCCCATCCCATCACTCTTTCGGATAGAGCACGGGGCCCAAAGACGTCTTCGACCCGCGCCGCTGGCTGGACGTATTGGAACTGCCCACCACAGTGGGCGCATCGCCGTCCAAGTCGGGATCGTACTCCTCGCCCCCCTCGGCGCGGTGGTTCTTGTTGTGGGGCCGCTGCGGCGCCATCTTCCACCCCGTCTCGTCCTCGGAACGACGGCGGCGGGAAGCAGCAGCGCCGATCCTCCTGTCAGCATCATCATCGACATCGTCGTCGTCGTCGCTTTCGCTTTCGCTTTCGAGTAGGACAGTCTCGTCGTCGTATAGGCCCGAGTCGACGGCTTCGTTCCGGGCAGCAGCAGCAGCAGAAGAAGAAGGCCAATCCGGGTCCTCATCGGGGAGACGCTCGTGGTGGGCGTGCGGGGATGCCTTCTCCTTGATGAAGGAGTCGATGATGTAGTACTGGAGGGCGTTCATGATGAGGGGGAACAGCATCATGACGAAGACGATCTGGAGCTGCTCGTTGCCTTCGGTCCAGCGGAGGGCCCAGTCGCCGATGTGGGAGAGCCCGGGGAAGACGAGGAACATGAGGAGCACGACGACTTTCATGCAGAAGAGGCCGACGAAGTAGATGAGGGATTGCTTGAGCCACCACCACGCATTGGGCGGGTTGCCGTAGTAGCCTGACTGGATGGATTCGCGGGGTTTGCCGAGCGGGGTGTAGGCGGCGAGCATGGTGAAGAGCTTGAGGAGGCCGATGAGGATGGGAATGCCGAGGGTTGTCTGTGGGCGAGATGGTTAGCTCGATCTACCACGCCAGAGCAATTACAGTGAACAGAAGAGAAAAGAGAGACGGAAATAAAAAAAGGTAGGGGAAGGGAAAAGAAAAGAACAACGTACATCGATGCCGAGGTTGAGAAGGTAGAACGAGCACGGGTTAGGCTTATACTCATCATCCCCGCCGCCGTCATCCCGACCTGTCAACCACCTCCTGGCAAGAGCGGCGGCGGCAGCAGCAGTAGCAGTAGCAGCAGTAGCCGACCCACCCACAACGACGGGCTCCATCTGCACAGAAAACCGGCCCGAGGTCAACATGGACATGAAGATATTCGCGACGTGGACGAGGACGGAGCCGAACACCTGCTTGGACACGTCGAAGAACCAGATCTTGAGGGGCCGCTGCGGGCGCTCCCTCCACCTCTTGTATACCAGCGACAGGAGGGCCAGGCCGCCCAGGCCGGCTTGCACGACGAGGGCGAAGGAGCCGAGGAGTTCGCAGTCGCCGCCGCTCGGGGGTTTCATGCTCGCGGGGGCGGCGGAGGCGGTTGCTGATGGTGTGGATGATGCTGTTGCTGTTGCTGTTGCTGTCGCTGTTGCCATGGCGGAGGCGGCGGCAACGATGGCTACGATGCCTGCCATGTTGACCGGGGTGGAGAGGATGGTATCGGGGTCGATAGGGGGTTACGGTCGCGATGGCGAGGTGTACCGGGAGGGGCAAGTCCGAAGATGCCGAACAAGGGGACGATCGACAGCCCGTTTTGGAGGTGGGGCCGTGAGTTGTGCGTGTAGGTCGAAGTCGCGAGAATTGAGGAGAAAGGTTGGACGGATGGACTTGGACACAAGCAGGAGGAGTTCGGATAGAGTGAACGAGGATTGAACGTGGCGCAGCAGAGAGAGGGTCGATCGGCTAGGCTGCTTTTCCCCAGACGAAGAGGGAGATCACCGTTGCGGTGGATGCATCCGGAAGAGATGTCGGTTGGAGATGGTTGTAAGCGAGGGATCGAGCGATAGATATTGAATCCGGTAGACAACGCTTTATCCCGTGTAAATGAAGCCGTCGAAGGAAAAGAGGAAAGAGAAGGAAAGGTTGTAAAGACGAAAAAAAGATTAAGGTGAAGAAAAGGACCTTACGGAATATAGGTGGTTAGGTGAAGTTGATAAGGACAGAAGAACCAAGGACGGACGATGGCTGTGCGTGAAGGTGAAGGGGGGCGTCACCTTGTGGCCTTGTTGGTTGGGCTGAGGGTGGGGGGGGTTCTTGGGGGGTCTTGGGGGTCTTTGGAGGAACGCCACTAATTCTTGATGCTGTCACTCTGTTACACATTTTATATGGGCCAGTGGTCCAGTGATCCATAAAAGGCTTAGGGCCATGGCCCCTGAATAGGCAACTTAGTCATAAGGTAGTTTGTGTTATACCTAGGTAGTACGGAACATTTTGTACATTTTGTTTCGTAAGGTACACGGAGTAGGTACTCCGGACTCGGACCTGAGAGTGGCGGTATTGCCCGGCTCCCTACCGAGGGGACTCCCGTACTTCAGACAACCTAAGCAATCTCCAACTTCTCCAGGGACAGCCTCGCCATCTCCACAATCTTCAAGCATGGTCGGTCCTTCGTGCCCTGGCTACACATCGGCTGTCGGCCGGCGGCGACGAGGGCATCGAAATTGTCGTGGCGCCGCTTCGACCGGTTCTCCATGGCGGTGACGACGTCCCGGAGCCCGGGGTGGCCATAGCTGTGGTCATAACTACGTCTGTGACTATGGCTGTGACCATCGCTGACGACCTTCTCGTCGACGGTGGTCCTCCCGTCCACCCGGAAGCCGTACAGGTCGACCTTGAGCACGGCGCGGACCGTGTGGCGCCACTGGTCCGGCTCCATGACGCGGTTGTCGTACATCTCGACGACGGTACTGCGGCAGCTGACCTTGTCCATCTCGCCCAGGCAGCCCCAGAGGCCGCCGTAGTCGGTGAAGCGGAAGACCATCTTCTCCCCCTTCTCCCTGGCCCGGGCCGTGGCCTCGTCGACGAGCTCGAGGATCTTGATGTACGCGTTGACCGTCGTCGGGATCAGGGCTCCCAGCATCATCATGTTCTGGACGGACTGGATCGGCAGCGGGACCGCCGGGTCGTCGACGAACGGCTTGCTACAGGCCGGGCAGACCACCACGTCGTGGGCCGCCTTGGCTGCCGCGCGTGCGACGCCCATCGCCAGGACGACGTCCTCTGGTAGCCGAGAGAGGGCGTCGAGGGAGAGGTAGATCTGCGACAGACAGGCGCACGACGCCTGGGGTAGAGCCTTGTGGTTGTGTTTGTTGTGCATGGGACTGGTGTTTTCGGGGGCCACGGAGTCGCAGGCGGAAGGGGGTGTCTGGAGCGAAGTTTCCGAAGCCGAGGCCCCGGATATGGAGGACGAGGAGTCGCTGGGGAAGTCGCCGTGGCCGTGGCCGTGGCAGTGGCCTTGGGCAACGGAAATAAGATCTAGTGGTAGGGCAGACGTGTCGCCCCTGTCGCCCGTGTGTCCCAATCCCGCGGACGGTAGTGGTGGTGGTGCTGTTGCTGCTGGCGTTGCCGTTTGGAATGCCTCTGAAGACAAGATTCCGGCGAGATCGTCACTGATGTCTTGGAACACCGGCTTATCAGCGGAATAGCTCTCGTTGAAATCGATGCCGTCTAGGAGGTTAGCACCGCCAAAGTGGAAGTCGTCGGAGGGAAACGGCGGCTCGCCGAACATCGTATCAGGACCGCCTGTTGAAAAGTCAAGGGGGAGCGTAGATGCTATGATGCTTCCGTTGGCATGCGAATACGTATCGAGAAACGATGCCGAAGATAACACGTCCAAGTCGCCTTTGCCTGTGTCGTTGTACCAGGAGAAGTCAGTCTCCAGCCCCGATATGGTGGTGCTGCCGGATTGCTTCGAGGGGTCCGCACATTGGACCTGAAGGGGAAGCGGAAGCTGCAAAGGGTCTGTCATCGACGATCCTGCACTCGCGCCCTGAGTAGTAGTAGTAGTAGTAGTGGTGGTGGTAGGGGTAGTATCCACCATCTTGGGGACAACTTGTTGGTCGTCGCTCTCGCTCCCTTCGAGATGACGGCGCTTTCGTGGCCTCCCCATGGGCTTTTGTGGCGAATAGACGCAGTTCAGCCCTTCGCGACGACACCGAGAGCAGCCGTCGGGCTCCTTAGAGCAGGCCAGCTTCCGTGCCCCTTGTGTCGAACAGTCAGCCATGATTCCTTTCTGACACCGGAGTCGGGCATCGGGGAAAGCTGGCCTGGAGAAGAGGGCGAGAAAAAGATGGCAAAGGATTAAGACATACGACACTCATCACAGGCTCGATGCTTCACCACCCCGTTGTCGGATTTGGTCTTGGGCGGCTGACTTCGTATCATGTTGGTAGCAGGGGAGCAGGACAACAAGAGGGTATCCGGAAACAAGTCAGGGCCGTAGGATTGACAGTAGAAGAAATAGGTATGCGAATTTCCAAGTATTTGCCGTCCTCTTTCTGTTATGAGGATATAGTAAAATACGGTAAAATATGGCAATAAATGGAATGTCTCCTAGCTGAAAATGTCACTTCAGCTTCTATTCGGTTTACTCGATGGTTTACCCGAGTGTGGAACGGGACAGACGTGGTCAGAAAAGGAGCAGTACTTGGACGTATGAGTGAGGTTCATTTCATGAGACGAAGATGGATAAAATGGAAGAGGGACCGGTGGGGGGGTTGTTACAGGTCATAGAGGGCTACAACCACCCGGATGGTTCAGGCATCGTTCAAAGGAACACCTGACATGGGGGAGATGGGGGAGGAATGGACTTCGACCTGTAGGAGTACGGTGTACCCAGTACATTGGGTCAACGGCGAAAACGGACCGTTCTGTTGGTAATCATGAGGTACTTTTACATTTCTGAGGATGACTCCCACCTCCTTTGTTTCCGTAAGTTGCATGTCGGTACAGCTACAGTACCGATATCGAGTCCTCCGGATTCACTAATTACCCCAAATCCAGAGAAATTGGCGAATTCCCAGAGGCCATCCCATTGGCTGTCATGAAGCCCCGCAATTGACCCGTTGTAGAAAGCGGTCAAAAGACCCCCCCAGTCCATTCGCGGCAGAACAGTAAAAGAAAAAAAAATATTGATCCAAACCGAGCCAGCGCCAGCGCCAGCGAAAACCATCCAGCCATCTCAGAGAAGCAGGTGCCTTGATTCGTGGCATCCAGCAATCCTTCGCTCCCACCGCTTCATTGACAGCTTCGTCATAATTATCTCCATCTCAGCCTTTTCAATGGCGCCACCACAAAACGCCAAGAAGCGGAAAGGACCGCTACCTGATGCCGATCCCGTGTCGGACGATGAACTCGCCCATGCCACCTTGGAGGGCATCTTGTCTGGGAGTGAAGATGAAGATGACGAGGATGACTTGGACTTTGAGACGTCAGGGTCTGAGAACAGTGGCGCCGACTTGAATGACGACAGCGAAGTCGACGACGAGGACGAGGACGAAGATGACGACGACGACGAAGCCTTCCTAAGCGACGAGATCCCTTCAGACGACGAAGGACTTGAATCTTTCGACCGCAAACTTGTCGAAACCAGCAAAACGGACCATGTCGTAGTTGGCGAAGACGAAGTCGAGGGCGAGGGCGACGAGCCAAACTACAGAGTCGTTCCCGGCGCCAATGGCGGTGTCCGCTACGAGTACGAAGAGATCAACCCCGTGTATGATTCCGACGACTCCGACGCCCAGGGACCCGAGAACACCATTGGCGACATCCCCCTCTCCTTCTACGACTCCTACCCCCATATTGGCTACGACATCAATGGCAAGAAGATCATGCGCCCGGCCACGGGCGAGGCCCTTGATGCCCTCCTCGAAACCATCGAGATTCCCAAGGGCTGGACTGGCCTCACCGATCCCGCTACCGGCAAGCCGCTCAACCTTACTCAGGACCAGCTCGAGCTTTTGCGTCGTGTCCAGATGAATGAGATTCCTGAAGAGGGCTACGACCCATACCCTGTTAGTCCTTTTTTTCTTTCTTTTTTCTTTCTTTTTTTCATCTTTTATTCTTTTCTTCTTTCTCACCAACTCCATATCTCTTATCCATTGACTGCTAACATTCATAATCAAGGAAATGGTCGAATGGTTCACCTCCGTCGAGGAAAAGATGCCGCTCAGTGCCGCCCCCGAGCCGAAGCGTCGCTTCATCCCGTCCAAGTACGAGGCCAAGCGCATCGCCAAGCTCGTCCGCGCCATCAAGGAGGGCCGCATCCTGCCGTACAAGCCTCCCGAGGAGCGCGAGAAGGAGGAGGCCGAGAAGGAAGAGACCTACTACGACATCTGGGCCAACGAAGAGGCCAAGCCGCCGAACGTCATGAACATCGCCGCCCCCAAGCTCCCGCCGCCCGGCTTCGACCTCAGCTACAACCCGCCGCCCGAGTACGTCCCCACCAAGGCCGAGAGGGAAGAATGGGAGAAGCAGGACCCGGAAGAGAGGGAGAAGGAGTACGTGCCTGCCAAATACGACTCGCTACGAAAAGTCCCGGCCTACGGCTCCCTGGTCAAGGAGCGCTTCGAGCGTTGCCTGGACCTCTACCTGGCCCCCCGTATTCGGAAGAACAGGCTCAACATCGACCCTTCGTCCCTGCTCCCCAAGCTGCCTCGTCCCGAAGAGCTGAGGCCGTTCCCGACGTCCTGCCAGACCGTTTTCCGCGGCCACGAGGGCCGCGTCCGGTCCCTGGCCATCAGCCCGGACGGCGAATGGCTCGCCAGCGGCGGCGACGACTGCACGGTCCGCCTCTGGCATCTCCGCACCGGCCGCCAGGAATGGATGGCCAAGCTGAGCCTCGACGAGGCCGTCAACGCCGTCCGGTGGCGTCCGACCAAGGACACCTTCATCCTCGCCGCCGCCGCCGGGGAAGACATCTTCCTCACGGTGCCCCCGCGCGGCGCCGACGGCATCGACAAGAACAGCCGCGACGTCCTCGATGCCGGCTTCGGCTACGCCACCAACGGAACCCAGCCGTCGTCTGCCGCCGCCGACGCGAAGAAAGAGCCCCCGGCGAAGTGGTCCCGGCCGGGCGCCAAGCTGGAAGACCTCGGCGTGCTGCTCAAAGTGACGGTGCGCGCAGCGGTCAAGGCGATCAGCTGGCAACGGCGCGGCGACTACCTCTGCACCGTGTCCCCGACGGGCCAGCGCAGCTCGGTGGCGGTCCACACGCTGTCGCGGCACCTCACGCAGATCCCGTTCAAGCGGTTCCAGGGCCTGGTGCAGACGGCGCAGTGGCACCCGTCGCGCCCGCTGCTGTTCGTGGCCACGCAGCGCAAGATCCGCTGCTACGACCTGCAGAAGGTCGAGCTGGTCAAGGTGCTGCAGCCGGGCGCGCGCTGGATCTCGTCCTTCGACGTGCACGCCGGCGGCGACAACATCATCGTCGGCTCGTACGACCGCCGCCTGCTGTGGCACGACCTCGACCTCTCCACGCGGCCCTACAAGACCATGCGCTTCCACCCGGAGGCCATCCGCGCCGTCAAGTTCCACCGCGGCGGGCTGCCCCTGTTCGCCGACGCGAGCGACGACGGCACGCTGCAGATCTTCCATGGCAAGGTGGTTAGCGACCTGATGGAGAACCCGACCATCGTGCCGGTCAAGCAGCTTAGAGGCCACAAGGTTGTCAACAAGTTGGGTGTCATGGATGTGGACTGGCATCCTCAGGAACCGTGGTGCGCCAGTGCCGGTGCGGATGGCACATGTATCCTGTGGACATAGTGAAAGGGGAAAAAAGAAAAGAAAAGAAAAAAAAAAAAGAATGTGGTCAGGCTACGGCTCTTGTAAATATTGTCGTCCCCTGTTTCAGCGCGGCGTTGGGAATAAAAGAAATCTAGACACGTCAACCAACTTTTACCCCTAGGTAGTGTTTTGTATGATGAAGTGAAGAAAGAGCAGGCATTATGCGGTTTTCCCTTGGAGCCGTAGCAGCACAATCTGACCCTGACGATCCGCTTCCACCACCCCTTAGAACCTCCTCCCCGCGCCAGCAAACCTGGCAAACAACTCCAAGTCAAACCCATCCGCCATAGCCTGATACCCCCTAGGGCTCAAGTGCAAGTGATCCCCCTCGTTGTAAGGCGGTGCCAACGTCTCCGGGTTCTCCGGATCCCTCACCATAGCATCAAAATCCACCACGGCATCGAACACCGTCCCCTCGGCGGCGCGGATCCACTCGTTGAGCCCCTGCCTCGTCTTCTCCCGCTCCGGGTGGCCGTACGCCTGGCCCGGGCCAGACATGGGCGTCAGCGTCGCGCCGAACACGGCAAGCCCGTGGCGCCGCAGCCGGGTAGCCATCTGGTGGAAGGCCTGCGCGAGGCGGTCCCCGACAACGGCCTGCGGGCCCGGCTCGGCGGCGGCGGTGCCGATGTCGTTGACGCCGATGAAGAAGAGGACGTAGCGCACGCCCGGGTGCGAGAGGACGTCGCGGTCGATGCGGGCCATGGCGTTGGGGCCCAGCCCGTCGGCGAGGACGCGGTTGCCGCCGGCGCCCTGGTTCAGGATCGCGATAGCCGGGCGGCGGGCCGATGTGGTGGCGTTGTTGTCGGCGTTGAGGCGGGCGAGGAGCTGGTCGGGCCAGCGGTTGTTGGCGTTGGTGGTAGAACCACGACCGTCGGTGAGGGAGTCGCCGATGATGGCGATGGTGGCGGCCTCCTCGTCCGCGCCGGGGGTGTTGAGCGGGGCTTCCAGCGCGGAGATGAGGTACCAGTGGTCCGACGGGGTGGCGTTGTTAAAGTCGGCGTCGGCGACGTGGTTCCCGTGCACGAGCCAGGAGGTGGTGCGGCTGCCCGGGTGCGAGGTGAGGTCGTTGGTGGTCTGGCCGTCGGCGAGGTAGATGCTGATGGCGAGGATCGACTCGGACTCGACGGCGATGTCGATGGGGTCGGAGAGCACCAGGGCGCCCTGGGGGACGATGATGGAGCGGGAGCCCGAGAAGGTCACCTCCTGCGCCGTGTTGGGTTGGATGGCGCTACCGCCGGCTCGGGACGGGTCTACCGGGAGGGCCACGGAGACGGCGGTGATGGGGAGGTCGGAGCCGCCAAAGGCGTTGCTGATCTCCAGACGGAGAGTCGATGTGGCCAGCGATGCCTTGACGGTTTGGCGGATCGTGCTGTCGTGGAAGACGCGTCCTGTCTCGTTCTGTTTTTTCCCCCCCGGCCGGTCGTGTTAACCTTGGTCTACGCTGACCGAACTTCTCAGGAGCAATTGACTTACAAAGGGCACCGGAGGCAAGTTATGGGGTTCAGTCAGCTGTGGCATGGCGCCCCAGACCGTAACCCAATCTTTGTCTTCATCTCTCGGCACACAGGGATCGCTCGCAAGGACCGAGGACGTTGCTGTGCCCAAGACGAGCAAGGCCGTCAAAGCCGTCCGAAGGGAGAAGCCGGCGAACATGGTGAAAATAGGTGATAGGTGAGCACCTTGGAGCACCAATTGACTTGAACCTGAGCTGATTGACGATCGCCAGTTGAGGACCAGAAAGCAAGGGATTCGAATATTCAAGAAAAACCCCGGGCCTATTATCTCTCCTCCAAGCCTGAGCCTCGCACCGAATGTGCGTCGCAAGAGGACAACGTCTTCATTTTATGTTTTCTCAACGCAACGTCATGCAGCATTTTCCATTTCCGACGCTCACAAGCCTCGCCACAAGTGCCGAAGCGGTGGAGTCTCCGGTGGTGCGGACTGTGGACTGTGGACTGTGGACTGTTGGAAACATGGTCGGGATGAAGCCCAGCATCTTAGGCTAAATGAGTGACAGGGGGCGTTTCTCGACCGTCGATTGAAGGAAAAACATGGGAATGAGAACCGCGACTTCTACCAGCCGAATGGACCGTCAGTGGTCAATGGCCCCCGCTATTCACCAGGCTTGGAGAGCTCGGAGCGTTGGACCAGAAGGGCAAGAGGGTCAGCCGGAGGCGGGACCGGGGGGCCATACTGAGTGGCATCATTTCTTACTGTAACCGTGGTTGTCTTGTGTACAGCAGATTTCGATGACCCTGGGAAACAATTGAAAAGAAGAAAAGAACATGAAGGATAATGCCAGTCGAGGAAGAAGAATCCGCCGTACGTGAAGGGGTGTGGCATCTGTGCCATCTTCTAATCCAGTACCCTTTCACCTTTGGGCTCTACAAATTCTGGCCCTCGTCTCTTTTGTCTTCCATGTCAACGCTGACCTCGCATGGATACAAATGCAAGACGGCAGAAATGTCAGTAGAAGAAGACGGGAAGAGTAGGAGAGTCGGCAGCTACCGGGCCTGAAGCCTCGGGAAGGGCGGGACGAGGCGGAACCACTAGCGGCCGGGCCGGAGGTCCACGTGGCTTCCGTGACGGTAAAGCGGTCGAACTCTTGCCCGGGCCGGGTCTCGGCTCGGGGAATCACCCACTTGCACTCGCATGTCATTTCTCTTTCGTGAATGGTACAGATGGTCGACGGGCCGAGATCCAAAGCAAAAAAAAAAAAAAAAAAAAAAAAAAAAAAAAAAAAAAAAAAAAATTCTAAGCCGCGCCGAGTCGTTTCTGCTTCTTCTGGTCCAGAACCGCCGCCGGTCCCGAAGACGACGCCGTCGACCCCTTCCTCCTAAGCCCGCCAGCCTTAATCCGCCTCACGCGCTGGTACGACCGGTCGAGCTCGTTCTCGACGGCGCACCTGACGCGCAAGGCCGCCACGGCGGGCCACACGCTGCGCTCGCCTCGGAGGATCCAGTAGTCGAGGGCCTCGCGCGTCGGCGTCTCGAACAGCAGCCTGACAAAGTCCCCCGCCGTGACCTCGGGCACCAACGTCATCGACGCGGCGGGCACGCGCTCGTCGACGAGGAACCGGCGGATCCCCGCGGGGAGCATGCGCAGCGTGTCGAGCTGGTGCAGGCGGTGGCGCAGCTCCAGCCCCACCATGCGCACCAGAAAGGCCGTGACCGACGTGGTGGTGCGGCTCCCCGTCTCCAGCAGCGACGGGCCGTGCATGTCGCTCTGCAGGAAGGGGATGAGGTAGGGCCGGGCCTGCGACACGATGAAGTGGTTGACGTTGAACAGCTCGGCGATGCGCGAGAGCGGCGACTCCCGGTCCGAGTACGACACGTGGGTCCAGTGGCGGAAGTCGATGATGTTGGCCGGCGCCCAGGGTACGATGTTGCCCTGGGCGTCCTTGCAGAGGATTGTGGTCACTCGGCGGCCATACAGGCTTGGCGAGGAGCCATTTGACGCTACGGCCGCCGTCCAGATTAACTATTGCCATGTCAGCTCACTTTCGGTGTCCGTCGTTGTCCCGTCGGTGTCCCGTTTCTCTTTTTTTTCTTTTGTTTCGGGGGGGGGGGGAGGGCCTGTTTGCTGCCAAAAAAAAGAAGAAAAAAAAGAAAAAAAGAAAGGAGAAAAAAAACCAACATACCACATTGGGTGCGGTAAGATAGTTGAGAAGCGTCGGCACGCCCCCCTGCCCCTCGGTAGCCACAGTAACGTTCAAGACCCTCTTACTGCGATTAAACGCTTCTTCAAACGTCAAATCCCCCACATTGGCGCGGACGCAATCCTCCAACACCTTGACGTCGAGGAAGTAGCCTTCCTTCCAGAACCGTCTCGCCCGCCGTAGCAGCGTCTGCCACCTCGTGGCGAAGGACTGCTGCTGTTCCTTTTTCCTCGCCGCCGTCAGCCCCTCTTCGTTGTTATTGTTATCGTTATTGTTATTGCTACCGTCGCCGGCGTCGGCACGGTTCTCCTGCGCCTCGGTCTTCCCCGCAAACGCCGACAGGTCGATCCCCTCCCCCCTGAGGACGTTGGGGAGCTCTTCTTCGGTGTGGATGGCCACGAGGGCGGCGATGAGGGCGCCCGTGGCCGTGCCGGTGATGATGCGGGGGAGCAGGCCGCGCAGGAAGAGGGCCTTGACGACGCCGAGGTGGCACATGCCGAAGATGGCGCCGCCCTGCAGCACGAGGGTGCTCCGCCCGAAGGCCTGGCGGGTATCGTGGAGGAAGTCCAGCTTGGTCTGGTTTGTGAGGGTTGTAGGACTGGTCGTCGTCTCGCCGCTGGCCGTGGAGGGGCGGTTCCGCGTCGTGTTTCGGCCCGTTTGCGTCGAGCTGGTGGAGCCTTGGCACTGCGAGGGAGAAGCCGCGACGAAGGACGCGTGGTGGTCGAGAGAGTGAGGGGGAGGAGTAGTAGGTAGGGCGGACACGTCTTCGACGGCTTCGGCGACCTGGGTGATGTATTCTTCGATGAGGTACTTGGTCCCGGCGAAGGCGCGGTTATAAAGCTTGGGGGAACTGATGTTGCCGAGGTTGCGGACGAGGCCGGATCGTAGGAGATTGACGAGCTGGTTGATGTTGTCCTCCTCGCGGGCCTCGACGAGGGAGTTTAAGCGTTCGTTGATGAGACGGTAGTCATAGTATTTCGACGTGGGGTTATTCCTCCAGAGGTCGAGTCCTAGCAGGTTGTCGAGGTGGAGGGCGGCCTCTTCCCATTCCTCAAAGGTTTCGGCGTTACGGAGGAGGTCTAGCCAGAGCTCGACGGGGCTCTTTCGGGTGTACCATTCGCGGAATTTCTGTTTGTCGCAACGTATTTGACATGTCAATCCAGAATTCACAATGGAGAACAGGGGCATGGAGAAGACACAGGAGACATAGGAGACTAGGAGACATACCCTTTGCCAGAACTGAACAACATACACCACCACTTGCCAGAGTGCAAGGACTACCCCCATGTTGGATGAGCTGCCTGATAGAAGAACATGAGGAGTCGAATCGACTTCTACTTGATCAATACAAAGGAGAGCATTGGCAAAGACCTTGCGTCGAGGAAATGAAGGCGTGATATGATGGCGGAAAGCGGGAGGAGAGTTGCGAAGCTGATCAGATGCTTGTCGGAGTGAGGAGTGAGGAGACGACTGAAGTTATGGGATCGGGGACCGTTGAGGTGCGGGTGGGGGTGGGGGTTCGGGGCAAATGTTGGGGTTCGTCCCGTTGCAGTGGCAGCGCCCTCCCCAACACATGCACGTGCTGCTGTAAGTACCTTAGTCTGTACAGTACCTTCAGTGGGCTAACTCCGACCGACAGCTGCGTGACATGTGAAGATGGGTACCTTACTAAGGTAGAAACTTACAGATACCTTACTAATTAATACCTACCATACCTTCATCCCAAGACCTCACAGAGGTCACTGCAACAATTAATTGCCTTACATTATCAAGCTCAAAAAAGAAAGAAAAAACTGAAATGCCCAATACAAAGACGGACAGACACGGGCAGGCCGCTGAATCCGATTTCCAGATTGTAGTTGTTGCTAATCCCATTGGCCCCCTGTATGCGTACCTCTAAGCCTGGTAGTATACAAATTAGTTCCGTGCTCTTTCTTACGACGTATGCTTCGCGCCCGGCATTGAAATTCCAATACTCTAGAGGGGAAAATGGCAAAGAACAAAGCGTCCTGAAGCCTGACGCCATGACTTCACCCCTCTACTCGTCATCCTCGTCATGAATGACTGGTCGCCTCCTCGCACGACTAGTAGATTCCGCCGCAACCTCATCGTCAAGGTCCCCCTCGGCGTCCTCATCCTCAGACTCCACCGACCGCCGCCTCTTCTTTCGCGGTGCCTCATCCTCGTCCTCATCATCCAGCACCTCCTCCTCCTCCTCGTCGTCGTCGTCATCACCACCCCCTTCGTCGCTGAGATCTTCATCGCTGGGCGCGATAAAGTCGTCTCCCAGGTCGTAATCGTCTCCCGCGCGCCGGGCCCCCGACGGAAGATCGTCATCCGAGTCATACTCGGGCCGTCTCCGCTTCGCCCTACCCCCCGCGCCCACGCCCGACGCGCCCCTCTTCCGCGACCCGCCGCCCGCCTTCCGGCCTTCCAGGTCGCCGATCGAGAGCGCGCCGGCCCCGCCGCTGCGTCCGTACCGCGCGCCGGCACCCGCGCCGCCCTCCTGCCTCGCCTGGGTCGTCTCGCGCCTCCGCTGCGCCTTCATGCGCTCCTTCTCCGCCTGCTCGGCCTGCCTCTTCTGCAGCTCCGGGTCCTTGACCGTCTTGATGATCATGTCGGCCTCGTGCACGCCGCGCGACGCCGCCGCCATGCGCTCCGCCAGCTTGGCCAGCGCGTCGTCCTCCACCTCCTTGCCGGGCCGCACCGCGTACTGCTCCGAGACGTGCCCCACCATCATATAGTGGTTGCTGCTCAGGTTCGGCGCCGCCGCGTAGTAGTGCCCGTCCTGGAGCTCCTGGTACGCCTTGTCCAGCGGCGGCGCCAGCATCTTGCTGCTCACCTCGAAGTGCTCGTCGCCGATCGACAGCGTCAGCGACCCGTCGCTCCACCGGTGGAGCAGGGCGTTGCTCTGCAGTTGGCCCGTCGCGGGGTCCTTGCGGACGCGGATGTCCGCCTTGGGGTTCTCTGCTTTGGCGTTGGCAATGTCCGCTTCCGTGGGTTCAAACGTGCCGCGGTCGTACAGCTCGGGCAGGATGCGAATGAATTTGGGTACACGGAACGATCGTAGCTGTAAGGGGGGGAGAGAGAGGGAAGGTTAGTCTTTTGCGCTTTGCTATAACCCGGAGCGCGAATTTGACAGAAATAAAACATACGGTGCCGTCTCCGGTCTTGGGTACCCTATGCCGCTGCACTTCCACCGACTCGACCACTTTGTTCTGAACGTCAACGGACTGACGGTCTTCATCGTCATCGGACCCGACACGTTTCTCGTCGTCATCGTCACCAGCTTCGCCCCTGCCTTCTCGTGCTTCGTCCTCGTCAGAGCCGGCACCACGCTCGCTTCGCGGGAGGATATCCTCGTCGTCCGTTTCACCGAAGAGGTCGGAGCCCGCGTCTTCGGGGATCTCGTTCAATTCTTCCGAATCCGACATGGCAACTGACGTGCAGTCGATGGGCGTTCTTGGGGCTTGTGAAAACCGATTGGCAGGCGAGTCGAGTTTGTCGAAGTAATATGGAAGAGGATGGGAGTAAGGCGTCTAGGAAGGAAGATTGGGAAGATAAGATGGTTGAAGTTTCGCGCCAGCCTTGTTGCAAGCTTGCCAAAGTTTCTACGGGGTAGCTTGCCTTCCATGTACCTTGGTACACGATTGTGCTAGCTAAGGTACATTACCTTAGGTACCTTAATGTGGGTCGGCCCTCCAACGGACTCCATTCCCATGCTATGGACTTACTTTAATCCGTTTGGACGTCAACGTTTCAACGGCCTGCCTCTCGGTATTAGTAGGTCTGCCTGTACCAGGGCTCAATCTCAGTTTGGGATGGCTCAACAGGTACAACGGATTTCTATAATTGACACAATTCCTTATATAATCCTGCTAAGTTGATCTTGTCTTTTCCACAGGGAGGTCTGATCACGTGACTCTCCATCAAAACCCGTTCACTTTCCGAACATGGCTCGCTTAACGGTCTTGATTCGGATTAGTTCCGTTCTCTCTCCGCTTCCTTCACCCCTAGTCCAGTAAAAGACCCCCCCCCCTCCCCCCCCCGGAAGGGGGCCAAAAAGGGGGACAAAGGGGGCCAAGGCTCCATTTCACTCTACCTGCCTTAAGGTAAGGGTCGTGTCACCGGTCACCCTCAAACAGCTTCTGCCCTGCCCCTTTCCACCTACTTCATACTTCGACTTCGTGCCTTACCTCGAGCCACAACTGTTCCTCCCGCTGCTTCATGAACACCAATTTCTTGTCATAATCATCTGGGATCTCTGTTCCTTTGGAGTTGGGCGCTGTCTCGGGCCCTCACTTGGCCTAGCTACTTGCTCGTCTTATTCTTCCCAGGCCCGTCCGTCCACCTTGCGGCCGCCCTCGGTACCTATATCGGCCTATATCTATCTTCTCTCAGCCTACGCAGACGCTTCGAGTCCCGTGTCCCTGTCACCATGTCGAATCTCTTCTCTGGAATGTAAGTAGCGGGGTCTTCTCATTATGTCTCCACACGGCATCGCAGTCTTCTGCGTTTCATATATCTACCATCGTCGAATGCGGGGCGACATGAACTCTCTCTTTCTCTATCTCGGTCTCTCACTCCCCCAAGCCGGTCAAGTGTCTCTTATCCGAGTAGAGAAGACGACTCGGGAAGCTGAACGACCCATCTCCCTCCTCCCGTCACTCACCCGTTGGAACTCGACGCAATGAGGCATGAGCTCGTGTGAGGAGACTCTTTTCAGGAAGAGACCCGCCCCCCCTTACAAAGGCAACATGCTCCTCTAAACAAAAGATACCAACTCACAACTCACCAGCAATGCCCGCTTCCGGGGAGGCGGCGCGTCACAGAAGCCATCCCCTCAAACCAAGAGCCCAACCTCGTCCACAGCGGGAGCCGGTACCCCCCACTCGTCGAGCGACTTGTCCCAGGCGAGCCAGTCCTCCTCGAGCCAGGCCCCCAAGGTCCCTCCCCTTCCCAATTCGCCCTCCCTCGCTCAGACCATCGGCATGGATGAAGCCAACCGGTCAATGGCCAGTGGTGAAGATATCCTCAACTCCTATCAACTACCTCGGCCGTTACCCCTGTGGCTCAACTCTGCCTATGCCAAGCACATTGTCAAGGGGAACTTCATGACCCTTAGCGCCCGCCCAAAGACGGTTGAGCAGGGCGAATGGATCGCTCATCAGGGTATGTTCCCCTTCGTCCCTTAATCTTGTTTTTATCATAATCTGTTACCATCACCACACAAGGGTCGCTGACAGCTTAACATGGCCAGTGGTCGAACACTATCGCAATCTTTGGAACTTTGTCCGGGTGATACATGAAAAGGAAGATGATGGCACGTCCATCTGCAGCAGCGCCACCTGTCCCAAGATGTCTGCCGGACAGTAAGTGACATTCGCATTCGCTGCCTCTCCCACATGTCCCCATATATCCCCGGGATATCCATACTCATCCGCCCCTAGCAACCATTCTTTCACCTGGCTCAACAGCCGCCGCGAGCCCGTCGAACTCCCCGCCTCCGAATACATCACCCTAATGCAGCGCTGGATCTCCGGCAAGATCGACGACACCAACATCTTCCCCACCGACCCCTCGGGCGTCTCCTACGCCCACAACCCCTCCATCACCACCACCCCTCTCTCCCAGCTCTCCAGCCCCACCGGCGAGCCCGAGTGGGTCGGCAAGCGCTCCGGCTTCCCCAAGAACTTCGTCGACGTCTGCCAGACCATCTTCCGCCAGATGTTCCGCGTCTACGCCCACCTGTACTGGGCCCACTTCACCGACCCCTTCTACCACCTCAACCTCGAGAAGCAGCTCAACAGCTGCTTCTCCCACTTCGTCCTCACCGCCACCGCCCTCGACCTGCTCAAGCCCACCGAGCTGGAGCCCATGCAGCCGCTCCTCGACCTCTGGGCCGCCAACGGCACCTTCCCCCCCGAGAGCAAGGCTTACGAGTACGCCAACATTAAGGTTGGGGAGCATCTGCTCAAGGTTGCTGGCGCTTCCTGAGTCATCTGGTGGGGGGGCTGGTGTCGCTGACTTGCCGTTGGATTTCTTTCCGATCTCTGTCTTTCACCTGGGAGTCGTGGTGTGAGATGGCCCAGAAGAGATGAGGGATACGAGGTGAAGAGCTTATGGGCCCCGTTTTCACGTAGGAACGGGCTTGACCCATGACCATTGTGCTTGATGGCTGCAATGTGGAAGGTGTATCGAGTTATGTTTCCATGTCCTGTCGTACTCGGTTGTCTTACTCGGTTGTCTTACTCTGATCATCACCTCTGCATTATACGGCTGCAAAACAGTCTATCGGGCTATGTACTCCAACGAATAGGTTTTTTTTTTTTTTTTTCTTTTTTTTAAAAAAAAAAAAAAAAACAGAGAGAGAGACATAGCTACCTAGCTAAGCTTCCCGCAATAGAATCCCTTCAGAGCACACAGCTTGTGATATCTCCCGTGTCGACTTACCACACCTGAAATCAGTGCCCCCCCACGGCGAAAACAGCTGACAGGCAGCTGAAGGACGAGCTAGAAGCCTCCATAAGAATGACACTCCAAAGTCCACCGCCTTCTTCATGGAACGAAGACATTACAGCAGACGTCTTCTCTATCACGATGATCTACGAAGCCAGGGATAAACATCTGGCAGAGAAAACAAATGACCCAAGGCTCAAGGTAGAAGCTAACAAGAACTGGGTTACCTCTATCCTATCTCCAGAGTTTCAGACAGAGAGATATCAGAAGAGAGCGTTTGTCTAGAGCACCAAGTCAATGACACGGCATGCACCATGGCCGCCTCGGCCCGCGTCGTCCTCCCGCCCGTCGGACATGGGGAAAAGCACGGAGTAAGATAGCTAAACTCCTGACCCAGAATGATGGGTACAGCAACAATACCCAGGGGCAAAAGGGAAGGAGGAAACACACTACGTCGTTGAGTCATAATGCGAAACAAAGCGGCGCCGACAACGTGGCTCACAGTCTCCATCTCGACATCATGAAGGGGGGAGAGACCCATGGGATCTCGCTCACCGCACATCTCAGTCATCGCCAGCAAAGCATCCATCCCCACCCCCGATGTGGGCAGACGGTGATTCTGGTTCCCCCGAGCAACCGTATGAAGCTGGATTCCCGCCTTTTCTCGACCGTCTCCCCGAGTCGACGTGACGTTCCGTCGGACGGAAAAAGGTGGACATCGCGGCCACGGGAGCGCTACGCTACCGCTTTCCTCCCTCGTCCCGAGAACAACCCGAGAAGCCCTTTCTCTCCTTCCCCATGTGATAATGTACGGAACACAACGTGTGCTTTCAGTTTTCCCGCACAAAGTCCAGCAAAGGCGCGGCTGTGGAGCAGCAACGGAATATCGCGAAAAAAGATGACTCGCCCTATTCTCAGGGTCAGTACTGGATTCGTCAACATCTGGAAGCCTAGTAGGAGCGCTTCGGTCGTGAGTGGAGTGGCGAGGCGGTGGTAGAGGTGCAGGGACCCAGCCACTTCCATTCTTCTTCACCGCCAATACACCCGCCTTCTTGTTCTAATAATATGGAACCGCTCGGCAACCAAGCCCGGACATGACGAAAAATGGGAATGTGGACACACGATGATTAGAGCAAAATAGTGCCCAATGTCTTCCTTCACCTGGATCTCGATGAGTCACAGCCAAAAAATGGGCATTCAGCAAGATCCGGCGGACTTCAAACTCCCCCTTTTGGACCAGATGCTACCGAATCAACGTGAAGAGGAAAAAGCTGGGCCTCTTCTCCACAATCCCCCAAAAAAATCCGAACCAAACAGACTTGCATACAGTACGATGGGGCTTCTTGTTTCACCGTCTTTGCATTGCATGGACCGTATCGACATGCGGCTATCCGCATCTCCCAGGGACGATGCAGTCCGGCGCAGGAGCGTTTGAACCATTCTGTTGCTGTTTCGAATCGCCTGTCTTTGACTTGACTTCAAGCTCTGGTAACCAAGGTGAGAATGCTTGCAAAGAAACGCATATCAAGGTCTTGTAGGTAACCAGAGTCTGAGAGAGAGTTGCTGGTCTCTGGTCGGGGACCAATGACTGTGTCGGTCGGTGGCGCCGACGCCTTCTGACTTGGTTTGATGTTCGATGCCTGTCTCTCCGAGAGTCTCTTCACCACTTCCTCACCGCTGCTCCCTAGGGACGCCTCACACCCGTAGGATACTTCCAGCCAGGTCTTAGAACGGTACGCACGACGCAGAGAGGTCATGAACGTAAAGATCAAGGGTCCTGGGCGTGTTGAGACGGGAGCCAACTCTCGCCGACTCAGCTACCCCTATTTGGTAGTCAGCCAGGCGCTGGGAAGAGCCCGACGAGATCTAACCGTCGGGACTCAGGCAGAAGAGCTAGGCGCAGACCCTTAAACGCGTGTTGACATGGTCCTGGAAGACGGTTGCTAGGCGATTCAACCCGCGCTAAGTTATCCAGCCTCATTCTCGGCAAGTTGGGATGAGCTGAACGACACGTTAGAGTGGAGTGACTGTCGAAAGAGGCTCGTGATACGAAGTGATGATGGATCTCGACCCAGGACATGATAGAAGACACCAAGTGTCTTCAAGGCCAGACCGCCCCAAGTCGGTGACTTTGTTTCATCTTCCAGCCGGCATTTGCTGAGTCGCCTCATTGTCTGCTGGATCTCATGGAAAGTTAGATATGCTTCAACTGCGACGCTAGTTGAAGCCTGACTAGAGAATGCTCAATGTCGCCCGATATCCAGCAACGGAGACAGCATAACAGGAGCGGCTGAAGGTACTAAGCCCTGACTGTCCAGCTTGGAGTGATCGATCCAAGGGTCGACGATCTAGGGCGAGACGTGACAGCTGAATGAAGCAGCTCAGTATGGTCGTACTCAAATAGAAGTCAAATCCAATACGTTCGGATAACGGATGCCATTTAGGGCCAGAGTACGGGACTAGAGACGCGTAGCCTGGGGGGGCGCTGAAACTTGGGTCGGACCGGTCCAAGGCGGCCTTTCCCTCCAATGCATCTCGATCTCAGCATGTCCGGTTGGGCGACGATGTTTGGGCTGGAGTCGGGGTCTCTCTATCGAGTAGCCAATGCGGCCTGAAACGCCTTGAACGCACCAGTTGGGGGAGTGATTGGAGCAACTCCGGGCCAAATCAGAGACCCATCCACATCGACTTGAGCCCGCTCGTTCATGCATGTTAGATTCAGGGGTGCGAAGACAAATGTGAAGCCCAGGAAGATCAAGTATCGGAATATTGACCATAGCCTGGCGGAGGGAGGCAGAGATGGGGGTGCGTCCTTTTGAGGCGAATGGGTGGATAGATGGCGAGACGACGCCTTAAGAGTCGATACCGATGAATGCAAGATTCGTGGTACGAGAAGAAGCAAATGAGAGGACATTCATGACCGCGCCGTTAGAGGTTCCAAGCCCTTGGGTGCAGTTGCAGTTCAGGATCCGACTAATAAGATAGCAAGACAGTGATAGTGGGCAGGTCTGTCAGCTGGACGGAGCGGGAACTGCACTGTCAGCCGGCCGTGCGTATTTCCTGTAGGGACCTTAGAAAATGTACGAATACTAAGCTTGCGCTGGCCTTGTCCAAGCGATTGGCGGTGAAGACTTCGCGGGAGAAGCAGAAACGGGGCCGCTTCAAGGGGGATCCTCCGCGGACCGTCTCGTTAACTTTCCCAAATTCGGGGTTGGGGAGAAGTCATTTCGAAGGGGCACGATACGGCGGCCCAAATGACGCGTAAGATACTAAGGAAACGCGTGCCCCGCGAGGCGAAGAGATCCGTGAAGAGAAGGAAGGTCGTGGGCAACGTCGTGTCCAGGCCAGCGACCGGTTAGAACAACGAAAAGGCGAACGACGATCAAAAGTCTATGTCGCTCCAAAACGGACGGAGATCTTGGAGACGGAGACGCAGACGGATGGCGGAGAATGGGCGAGCAATGGCAATGCGCGACGGCCGGCCTATTATGCGGCCATGAAGCACAGTGGAGAGAGCGCCGAATCCATGACGACAGTTCTGAGTGGTCGGCAGCGGTTTGCAGCTGTCCAGAAAGGATACGGGGGGGGAGAGAGAGAGAGAGAGAGAGTCTTTGGGAGCCGCGATGCTCCGCTGCGGGATTGGGCAGCAACCAGCCACCGTGTCTCCGTAGGTCAAGCCAAGGTACGAAGTATTCGTAGATACAAGCGCCTGGGTGCTCTGCCTGGCGACCGTCGGAGGGAGATGTTTCGAAATGTCTTTTTTCTTTCTTCTTTCTTTGTGGGCTCCCTCTCGGATATTTGCTCCTGCCAACCAACCTCATACGTTGCACTATACGGGCAACGGAGATCGGCAACTCCATTGTTCCTGGTTTCTTGCTCTGTCCTGTCCATGATGACTAAAAAGTAAGCCGAGGTATGGTTCAACGACCATTGAGACCATTGACAGATGCCAGACTATCTCACGATGAAACAAAGCCTCAATCGGGGGGGCCCGGAGATTCTCTTGGTTCCTGGCCGGCTTCACCCGTGACATTATCAGAATGTTTCTCGTGCTCTCGTTCGTTTGTCGGCAAAGATGAGGGCCAACTGCCAACTGCCAACCGCTGGACCTGTCTTATTACCCCAAGTGGTGTGAATAATAACCACGTTGATGCTGAACTAAGGCACCATATTTCTCGCTCTTCGTGTCTGGACTTTGATTGACGTCTTTATGAGCAAATCGGCCCTGTTGGTATTCTGACTTTTGTCGTGGGCGAGGGTGAGAGAGTAAGAGAGAGTATGAGAATGGCGAGAACACCTGATGAAGTGAGCACGTTTCACGGGACCAAGTCCGAGGTGATCACCCGGGAATAGCACCGCTGGTATCTTGTGGGAGTGGTTAGTCAAATAATTATGCGGTCCTTATCACGAAACCAAGACAAAGCCCGCCGAGGCCGCGCCGCCAGTGTCGTTATAGCACGCAGGTCCTCTATCCTCTCCACCATCCCATCCCAAAAGACAAACGTCTCAGTTTCGTTCGTGAGCCTGCTCTCTGGGACACTCTGGATCTTTAGAGGCGCTGATATTTCTGGGAGGAGGCGTTGGTCATCCCACGGGTCATTGAGCTATGAGAGGCGCGGGATGTAAGACAGTGGCTGTTTAGTGGTCAATAGCGTATGGGGGATCTGTAGAGTCTGTAAGGTCTGTATGCTGTATGGTCTGTATGAGGGTTGGAGGAGCTTGCTCATGGGAGCTTGGTGCGATCGCTTGGTCGGCGGAGTGGATGGGCGCTGCATGTTCGTGGTCACCTGTCGGGTAGCAATGATACGATGCAGTGGGTGTACCTAAGGAGAAGGGGAATGGGAATGGGAATGGGAATGGGGGGTCATCGATGCCCAACCTTTCCCAGCCTTCAGGACTGGCTGGTGATAGGCCGGTTGCGTTTAGGAAATAATGCGGGGTACCTAGGTACCTAAGGTAGGTATTCGTACTTTTGTACATCGTACTTTGTTACGGAGGAGGAGCGTCAACCTGGAAAGCAGGTAAATAAAGTGGTAAAGTAAGTACCTTATCTCATATATCAGGTGCTTCCCTCCTTTGCATAGGTACCTTAAGGTAATATCTCTAGAGAGAAAAACGGTGACGTTATTGTACGAATATAACAGGAAGGAGGTATACTTCGTAGTCGTATTTCGTCTTGCTCAACATCCGTCCCAAGGTAGGCGCCTCACCTTACCCTTTCCTTCCGAATGGGGTAATACAAAACCATCAGTCATCCTCGTGACTCGGAAACGCGTGCATGATGTTGAGGCAAGTTCTACTAAGGTTAAGGTAGGGTGCTATCTTATTACTTAGTTTGGCCGCCAAAAGGAGCAATAAGAGAACGCTTGGGGAAGGCAAGATCGGGTGATCGACTACCTATGTACCTACCTTTCGCACAGATATTTGTAACTTCTTAGCCAAGTGCTCCTGCTTCTGCTTGTTTGACCCGGGCGACTTGGAATGGAAGGAGAAGGGCACTAGTCCAGATTATCTATAGCTCTTGCCCGAAAGCCTTCGGGGATGTCTACCGGACCAATTGCTTATTCTTAGTGGGCCCGGGCTCCAGTTCGGCTCGGGGCGCTTCCATGACGCGAGCCCCTTCACCGTTTGTTTCTTTTTCTTTTTTTTTTCTTCTTTTTCGTTTTTCCTTCTTTTTGTTCTTTTTTTAGGCCTATTTTCCCGTCTCTTTCCTGGCTTTTAGCCTCTTCGACCTTTCCATTCACGGATTTCCTTTTTCAGCCATTACTCCTGTCATTTTCTACTCAGCACTCCGTACTGGGCGATGGGCACCATCCCAGGCCCCAGGTCGCTATTCGATCGATTTGCTCCCGGGTCCCGCAGTGTTGACCAGTGACCCCCCGTCTCGTTCCCGTCTGATCCGTCAACTTCTCCCTGGTTTGGGCAAACGGCAATCATTCGCTACCTTATCGACGGCCTTTTTCTTCTTCTTTTTTTTTTCTATTGTTTTTCCCTTATTCCCTAGTCTCTGGTTATTTTTCCCGGTCCTCTTCTGTCTCGCTTACGGCCGAGCCGAGCCCTTCCCAACTACACTACGAATCTCTTGTGTCCCGTTTAAGCAAGACGACAGGGGTCCAGAGGGCAAAGCCACGTCTTGACCATTATGTATGATCTCATTCGTTCATGTCATCTTCTTGTCTTCCTGTGACACCCCATCAGGCAGGATGAATTCTCCGTCGAAACCAGTCGGAGCTCGTCCAGACCATGGTCACTGGTCACGCTTGAGGTGATAATCCTCAGCACATTCTCGTTCTTCGCGTTTCAGGCCCCTCGAGCTGGGAGAGCCAGTCAGAAATAGGGTCAAAACCGGCCTATCCTGGACAACGGATGGAAAATAATGAGACGACTAACCGGGCGAAGAGGATAGACTACCGAGTGCCTGTCGCCATGACATGACCGTTCACTCACCTGAAAGGCTGCCGGTGGTTCATTGTCTTCAGTGTTCCAGTCACTACAGTATCTCGCTTTCCGAATGGATCTTTGCTACATCTCCTCCTTATCGCTTACTTGGCCAGCTTGCGGTTGGCCTGTTCATGTTGTAGTCGATCGTCCATCTGGATCTGCGAGGTCCTCTTGGCCCCTTGGCCCCCCGAAACCGTCAATGGGGAAGAGAAAGAGTCACAACCCTCTACTGTCGAATGGCTTGTCAGTTGCCCCGTGGGACGGTTGGACCAAAGACCGTACGAAGTACGAATACAGGGCTCGAGGACCTACCTACATAAGGTACAGTGAAGAAACGAAACGGGTCCCATCCGACATGCCGAAGACGGCGGTACAGTAGCGAAGGGCGGGGGGCTATCTGGCTCTCTGCCTTTCTGGCTCCTCTCACCGTCACTTTTCCCCTGACCATTTGCTCACACCGTCCAAGCAAACGCTGCTTATTCTCACCACCACGGAGTACCGTTTACCGTTTCCGTTTCTCTCCAGGCAATAAACTGAATACGGAGTACGGATACTGAGCAACTGATTACTTCGTACTCCGTACCTCTTTCTCTTCCTCCCTCCCGGCAAAGCCAAAGCCCACACCCTCGGCCCTTTATCCCTAGCCCATGCATATCCCTGGAGGGGCCTTTTACTCGACCGCCTCTTTACCCCACCGCCCACCGCCCACCGCCCTCTGTCCGTCGTCTATTGCCCGTTGCCTTGCCCGTACAGTCTTCCGTCTTCCAAATTCCTTCTCTCGTCTCCGTTCTCCATCCCGCTCCATACTTTCATGCATCGTCTACTCGTCCTCCCCCAATGCCATGCTCTGGCTTCCCTTGACCGTAACATGTCACACCCACCGTAATAAGAACTGTAGCCTCAACTGGTTCATCTGGTCCCATACCCCCCCCCCCTTCCTCCAAATAACTCGCCCTTTCTCTTGTCCAAAGTACAAATCAACCCCTCTGCCCACCCTCCCCCCCGCGCCGGACTCCCACACCCATCTTGGACATCAACAAGTTATTACTTACATCCCACCCTTTCTGACTCTCGTGAGCGGTGGTGCTTGCATTTGCATTGCGAGTCGCAAAGTCTTCTTGTTTATTATTGTTCCATCGGCCCTCCCTGACTTCGTTCTATCATCCGCCTCCCTCATATCCTCGCTTCTTCACTTCTTCACTTCTTCCCACCCCATTATTCCAAGGGCACAGGATAGAAGACCTAGAGTGCATATACTCACACTCATACACACACTACCACACGAATCATATCTCCTCCGATCTACTAACAAAGTCGCTGTGAGTCTACTCTTCTCTCGCTGACATCTTGCACTTGCACTACCATCTGCCCTGTAATCTTTCCATCTCCCAACTCTCCTCACGGTCTCTCTTGTCTTTCCTCACTCTTACCCTTTCCCCTTCGCCTATTCCTAGACGTCGACTTCAAAAAAAAACCACACTGTCCGTCTCAGGCACTCACCATCCTCCTCTTCTTCCCTGTCTTATTTCCTGCTCCTTCTCCTTACCCGCGCCCCGCTCGCTCTCTCGTCTGTCCAAAGCAGTGGACCGCCCCGCCGCATCACATCGCACTGCCAGAATCCAAGCCCTACAACCGTATTACATGCCGCTTTTCACAAGTGCGCTCCTGACCGCCACTATCAACTAACAAAAAAAATTGCATGGGCAGCGAATTTTGTTCGATATACGACACGGACATAAACACCGCCAAAACAAAACCCTTCCTCCTCATTTTTCTCCAAACCGCGCTGCTGCTTAGACGGCCACGCGCCAACAGTGAACCGCCATGGTACCAGCTTTCCAGATGCAGCCCTACTACAGGGCGACGTCTTTGAGCGTCGACACACATCACGCTCAAAAATATTTCGAGGAAGAGGACAACAGCGTTCTGGACGAAAACATCCTGGAGCACAGTGCCGTCGACTCAGGCTTGGAGATGTCACCCCCCATGGCCAACAGCCGGCGGGACTCCTTCGCCGTCGGCTCCTCGCTGTTCTCCCCCAAGACGGAGGACTGGCACTCTGTAGACATGCAGTCTATCCCTTCCAACAACCCCTTTATCGGGAACCAGTCACAACAACACAGCAACAACCCTTTTTTCCGACTCGACCGCCCCGACCCATCTCCCTTCGGCCCCCCGAGCAACGCCTGGTCATTAGGTAACGGCTCCGGGTCTTGCACCCCTCTGCCGCAGTTCGACGGTCTGCCGGCGGAGTTTGATGCGGCCGCGTCCCTGTTCCCACAGCAGCCGATGCAGAGCCATACGCCTATCACACCTTTTGGCAATCCCTCGGGCCAGGTCAACTTGTTCTCCTCTCTCGGCTCCGCCACCCAGCCGATCCCACCATCGCCGCAGAAGGCCTGGATCGGTCAGAACGAGTCGATGGCCAAGAAGATGCGGCCCAACACCCCATCCATCCGCTCACACAACGAGCTCCGTCGGGGCGATGGCATCAGGAAAAAGAATGCCCGCTTCGATATCCCGGCCGAGCGCAATCTCAACAACATTGACCAGCTCATCGCTCAGTCTACTGACGAGCAAGAGATTAAGGAGCTCAAGCAGCAAAAACGCCTGCTACGTAACAGACAGGCAGCGTAAGTTTTTTTCTTTTCTTTTCTTTTCCCTTTTTTTTTTCTTTTTTTCCCTGCTTTGTTTTCCCACTCCCCCCTTTTATCGTCACAAAATACTAACGTCAAAAAAAAAACCCAGTCTGGACTCGCGCCAGCGCAAGAAGCAGCACACTGAACGTCTAGAAGACGAGAAGAAGCACTTCACGGCTGTCCTCGGCGAGATGGAGGAGGAGATGGCGGACCTCAAGGAGAAGATGGAGCAACTCTTGCGCGAGAAGCAGTCGTACCAGGAGTACGTCGAGACGCTCACCCTTGAAAAGGAAGAGATGATTCGGTCGCATACCATCGAGACGGGCGAGCTTCGGAAGAAAGTCGGCGTCCTCACCGACCACGTGCAGAGGCTGGAGAGCTCTGCCATGTCCGCCGGCGCGCCCGCCGCCCACGGCTTCCCCTCGGTCTTCGACGACATGGACGGCATGACCATGACCGGCCTGTCCGCCCCGTGGGACAATGCTGGCCTATTCGGGGAGTATCCGGACGAGCCCGAGGAAGTCAAGCAGCAGGAGCTCCAAGTTGTGCCCGCCAAGAAGACCGAGATTCATTTCCCCGCCGAAGTCGAGAAGCCCGCGACCCAAGGCGGCATTCTCTTCATGCTCTTCCTCGTGGGCGCTTTTGTGCTGTCGAATCGGTCGGCATCGGCGCCAAGCATCCCCCGCGTTTCCGAGGACGTAAGGGCAGAGGCGGCAACGCTTCTCGAGAGCGTGTTCAAGGATGCCGGCGTTGGCGAAGCATCGACCACGATCCAGGGCGGCATGGCACCTCAGCCATCGGGAATGGCCTGGACCAGCAACCCGACCCTGTCAACAAGCGCAGGTGGCTCGGCCAACGGCAACGTCAACGTCGTGGAGCCCTCGATGCTAAGCCAGCTAGGCGACTCGCTGATCCAGCCGAGCCAGGAGCAGACGAATGAACAGATTTTCGGGCTCTCTGCGGCACAGTATAACGGTGTCACCTCTCAGGACTTCCTCCAGAATCCGCCCGAGCGTTCCACCAGCCAGGGACGGAGAAACCTTGCCGAGGCGCTGGCGGGTATGCGAAATAACAACAAACAATCGGCTGCCGAAGTGTACACGAGGTCTCTGTTGTGGGATCAGATCCCCAGCGAGGTGGTCAAAAACTTCGCACGAATGATTGCAGAATGCAACAACGCAGATCAGAACGAGCAACGACAGCAAGAATGCATGGAAGCCTAACGGCGGACATGGGTTGCATATACGACCGTCGGAGAGGACCCCCCTTTTTCTTTACAACGCTCCTCCCCGTTCTAATGCGTCTCGTTATCAATTTATTATTCGTCCTCTTCTATTTGCCACGGCCACCTCTCTCTCCCCCTCTCTCCCTCTCCCTCTCCCTCTCCCTCTCCCTCATCCTATACGAACATGACGCTCCCGCGCATCTCCAGACACTGTTGCTCACGCACCAAACAAAACTTCTTCTTTCACACACATCTTCTTTTTTTTCTTCTTCCGGTTCTCTTGCGTCTCGTCCCAGAGCATGAAACCGGTCTTTATTTATCTAGTTCGAGGGGGGCTTTGAGGCTTGGGGTCTAGCGAGCGAGCATGATGGTTTTTTTTTTCCTGTATTTGCATCTCCGGTTGGAACTTTTCTTACATATTTTGGTGCGCCTCCGTATATGGAAGGGGATCTCAACAGGCCCGAGGACCCAGTGGAGGAAACAGATTCAGCAATTGGACGAACCCCGGCCATCAGTGCCAGGCAGCATTCTTCTGTTTTCTTTTTTTCTTTTCCTTTTTTTCCTTGCCGACTTTTCTCTTCTTCCCACCTCTTTGTACTATGCTGGCTTTAGTTTGTCGGTTGGCCATGTGGGTTCGCGGCGTCAAGGGCAGGGGAAAGGCATTTGGGAGAGCTGGTCTCGCAAGGAAATCGGCATGTGGCTTGCAGGCCGGGATGGACAGGTGCAGGCCTGGGAGGGCTTTTGGATGAGGGGATCATGGAGCGCTCTGAAATTGATTGACGATGGGGGGACCTCCACGTCACACGGGATTTGATGATTTTTACGAAGACAGGACCCGACGGGGGGGATGAGGGAGGACGGATCTGATGAACAACATGACTATCATGACCACGGCCACGAAACGGTTTGTCTTTCTACATGAGCGGAAGCAAGCGAGCCCAGTCTTTTCTTTTTTTCTTCTTCTTTTTTTCTCTTTTTTTCTTCTTCTCCCCCCCCCTTTTTTTTTTTTTTTTCTCCTTCCACTTCTTCTTCTCTTTTCTATCTTCTTTTTCTTTCCTCTTCCCTTCCCGGACTTGAATTGCCCAGGAGAAGGGAATGAGACGGGTCACCTCGACCTTTTACAGACCAACTCTGGTGTGTGACATGATCCGTCATGTCATCACCAGACTACACCACGTCGAACAGACGAATCCAGGTTTCTCCTTTGTCGTGAATGTATTTACTAGTTTAGCTGCTCGGCAGTCACGAAAAGGCGCCGAGATGACAATATCATTATCATGAATAACTTACAACCGAATAGCGTGAAGAGCGACAAGTGGAAAATGAAAATGAGAAGGACGCTGAGAGCCCAGCCAGGTGATGATGACATGACATGCAGACAGAGTTGGGCCTTCGTTCCTTGCTGTCTCGGTCTCGTGAGACCCCGTGATATGAGGAACGGCGTACTGGGATGGTGGAGGGGATGATCTGCGGCAGGATGGGGGCAGGTGATGGGGGTGGATGGTGGATGGTGGATGGTGCCGGACAGGGTTTCGATTTCCTCGATGTTTGGTTGGTTAAGCGGGACGGAAGTAGGTGTGTGATCTGAAGTACGGGATGTATGTAAGAGATGAGATGGACACAAGTGGAAAAAGCGACGTCGGGAATCTGGGCTTTTGGGTTCACCGGGGGGGGTGTGTGTGTGTGTGTGTGTGTGTGTGTCGAAAGCTTGGTGGATGGGCGGGAGAACTATGGAGGAGGTAGTGTCGTGTTGGGTGGACGGTCTTTGTCCCCCTCCCTGGGTCAGTCACTGCAGGTGGCTGAGCGTGGGGTTGGGGGTGTAAATTACCCATGAGACGCTGCCGTACGAGGGAGAATGAATGCCGGTGACGGTCCCCAGAGCATCGCAATTGTCATGATGAAATTGCTTAGAGATTATGGTATATACACGTCTCAAGTCGGAAAGCACTTCTCTTCTCGTCTTGGACCACGCAAAATCTACACGATAACAGCGCAGAAGCCGGACATCTGGCAGTGAAGACATAGTAAAGACATAGCATATGTTCTGTCTTCCCTCCCTTGCACCTCTGGTCTGGACCGTGGTAGCTGTCGTGCCTCGTCGCCCGGTAACAGCTCGTGTTCTACGTTCCAATATCCTGATGACCAGAGAAAAAATAAAAAAAAATAAACCGTGACATGGTGATTCACGATTACTAAGGTAGTAGTTTACTTAAGTACCTTATTCATATAGTCGAGTTTCAGCCCCCCCGTGGTACCCGAGAAAGTCCTGCAGCTCCGTGGGCACATAGGGAGGGGGGGCCTACTTGGAGGACAACAGGGGGGCCGAGCACGAAGTGTACGGCAACACACGAGCATTAATTACATGACCCGAAACGACTCGCACGCTGAACTTTTGGTGTCTCCGCGCACTTCGCTTCTAACTCCCGAACTCACCAAGCACAGCCGTTCCGTCGTCGAACGACATAAGAGACATGAGACATAAGACGGCTGAGACCCCGGACCATTCATTCCCCTTCCCTTAGCTCCTCCCGTGTTCATCTGAGCCATCTGTTCGACGTTTTATCCCCGGTGTGTAAAATAAAAGGCAACAGTACAACTACAACCTTGCCCTCTCAGGGGGGGGGGGAGAGGGGGGAGTATCACCAAGTTGTGAAGGGAGCAAGTCGGAAAAGGATCACGGCATGCTGGGGTACCTACACCGACGGAAAGATCCCGCAATTCTCCTGGCTACCCAGTATGACGGGTGTTAGGGGCCCTCCCTTTTCCAGCCCTTTTTTTCTTTTCTTTTCTTTCCTTTCTTTTCTCTGCACCGTAATGTGGCTTCATAAACACACAGGCGATGTACGATATCAGAGACAGAAAGAAGGCATATTCTACGTCTATGCATCATCTACAACCCGCCAGAAAAAGAAGAAAAGAAGAAAAGAAGAAAAAAGAAGAAAAGAAGAAGCCACAAAACGCCAGACAAATATCCGCTGTGTGACAAAGACGCGATTCCATCGAAACCCCTCCAAAACGCATGCGCCGTGCAACGGCCCGCCGGTCGCGATGAAGGGTAGCGGCATAGAACTCTGCCTGCCGGGACGAATTGAACGCCCGCCAGCGGCAGCCGGCCGCGGGGGACGGAACCGAGACACGAGTGCGGGGCCGAAGCCGAGGTTGAGGCCGAGGGGTCAGTTTCGGCTGTCCGCCGAGTTCCCGCGTTTCAAACAATGCGAGAACAAGTCACGCTGACCGTCATCTCGGAACGGCCAGCCCGTTTGCAGGTCAAAACGGGGAACGGCCTTGCTGGAAAAACCACCCTGTATATTTTTTCCTACTTTTTCTTCTTCCCGCCACCACCCTCCTCGGGGGGGTCGTACTTTTCTTTCCAGATCCTGCATGTTGATGTTGACGTTAGTTGACTCGCCCCTCATTATAAAACGGTCTAAATAACGGGTTAAAGTAGCCGAAAAGGGGAGGATAGGCAGTGTGGATGGCAGCGCGGGATGATATGGAGACATTGATAAGGGATAGGGATTCAAGTCGTCCAGCACACCCAACTTCTGGTAAAGATGGATGGAACGTGGGCTACTAGTAGTCTTCGTTCGTGATAGTCCGATCGGCTTCATACCACTAGGCCTGACGATACTACCGATACTACCACATCGCGATCAGGCCGTAAGAAGGGGGACATTTCCAAGCCGAGCATCACGGCGTTGGCAGGACCGGCGGAGGCCCCGGGCCACTGAGAGGGGCCACCTGTGCACCCCTTGGTTCGAACTAGGTCATCTGCAATGCAGCCAGTAGTGTACACTACACTGGCCATGCATCGCATCTCCGCATTCTGATATTCTGACCTCGCGTGTGGTACGGGGAGGACAGATGCCGGTTCCCGCGATTGGGGACCCGAAGAGCGAGGTGAGACAATGGAGGGGGGGAAGGGATAGGTTAAAGGAAAGGAAAGAAAAAGAAAGAAAGAAAGGAAAAAAGGAAAAAAGGGGGGACAAGAGGGATAGACAGAACAAAGTGGGACGAACGGACGGAGAGGGGAATGCGACGCACCAAGAGTTACCCAACGTTTTATGCCCGTTCTTCTCTGCCATACGATAGTAGCGAGCTGCTGCATACTACGGAGACGCAAAAAGTCAAGTCAGCTTCCATATCATACAACGTACACATTGGTTGGGACCCTTTGCTCATTGCTTCCTTGGCAGGCCGGACATGCATGCGGCCGACTCCGAGGCCATGACCATGGTTTGCATATTTTGATGCCCAATCTGCATGGTGCAGAACGACGACGTGTAGAAGCAGCCAAGGGAAACAAGACGACGAGAGAAACAGGTGGGGGAGCAGAGAGCAAACCTACCTTGTCTTTCTTACAACCGAACCCCTCGAGATAGCACCATGCCGTCTCGTTCATGGCATCTAATTCAAAAGGACTACCGTTAGCTATCCCCCCCCCCACTCATCCCAAGTTCTCAGGCTTCAACGGTGCAAGGGGCGCATAGTCCGGTCAAGAAGATATGCATGTTGGACTCACCGGTATCTCCAAGATTCGCGGCCGTCTCATAGTACTACCCAAAGGATTCCGTCAGCCTGATCTTTTCCATCTTTTTCCCTTCCCAGAGGGAGAGAAGCGGGGAAAGAAAAAAGGAAATTACCTGTTTTGCAGCGATGGGATCTTTGTTGGTACCCCAGCCGTGCCTGAACGAGTTGCCCAGCTCGAAGATGGCGAGGACGAGCTCCCCTTTGGCGGCGCCGCCTTTCTTGAGACCGGCCTGCAGCGCCATCTCCTCGACGGCTGCCGCGTTGGATGCCGCCGCGGTGAGGTATCGAACAGCCGTGGTCACATCGGGCTGACAACCCCAGCCGTGTCTGTCAACCATCAACGGACGTTAGCTGTTCTGCTGTGTCGTCGAAAGAAGGGGCATTTCTCCCTCGCATTCACTGCGCCATGCAGACCGTCCCCCTAACTCTCGACCCCTACGCGAGTTTTCCCTTCAACCGACCCTCGCTTTCTTTCTTTTTCTTCTTCTTTTTTCTTTCTTTTTTTGTTGCTCTCATCTTCCCCGTCTCTCAACCTGGGACGGCATGAGGTAAAGGGAGAGGGAGAGGAAAGAAACGGCTCACCTCAAAGCTAGACCATACAGAACCTGACTCAACGGATTATTCGCCCCCTTCGGATCCGCCAGCCGCCGAAACAGCGCCGTCGACCTCGCCAAGTCCCCCTCCTCGTGCAGCCGTATCGCCTCCTGAATATCCTCGTCGATATCCTTCGACGAGACGGGCCCGGGCGTCGGACCCCTCCCAGGTCTACTCAGTCCCGGCACCGGCACCGGCGACGGCGACGGCGACGAGGCAAAAGCACTCACACTCCGCCCCCTCGTCGTCGTCGCCTCCCGCCCCCCTGTCGGCGGCGGGCTAGCCGGCCCGTTCCGCGCCATCTCCGCCGCGGAGGCGAGCATGGTGGCGCGGTGCTCCCACTGGCGCTCGCGGTCGGGCCCGTCGCCCGGCGCGATGTCGGGGAGGTTCTGCGGGACGTGTTCAGACGAGGAGGGCGCGCGGGAGAGGTGCAGGCGTTCGGAGAGGCGGCGGCGGGAGCGGGAGCTGGTGCTGGTGGCGCTGGCTTGCGAGGCTTGCGAGGATAGGGAGGCGCTGCGCGAGCGGTGGGACGAGCCGGGGTCTCCTGATGCGGTGAGGAAGCCGGGGTGGTGGTGTTGATGTTGGTGGGGGCGATGGTGGTGGTGGTGGGAGGGGGGTCGGTAGGCGGCGTACTGGCGGTCTGATGACGGTTGGATGGGGTCTTCTTGCGCGTGCGTGTCGGAGCGGGTGAATTTGAACTGGGGAGGCGCGTTGATGGTCGGGGTGACAGTGGAGGCGTCGACGTCGACGTCGACGTCGTTGTCGTTGTCGTTGTCGTTGTCGTTGTCGTTGTCGTTGTCGGCGTTGTCCTTCTTGCGGAGGATGTTTCGTAAACCCATTGTGACGACTGTTGATGGTCTGTGGTCTTGGTAATTATGCAGCGTATGGGAGTGATGTTGTGGGAGGGACAAGGAGGATAGGAGGAAGGAGACTAAAGCCAGAGAGAGCGAGAGAGAGGGCGCGAATAGTAGAGGACGGAAAACACGCTGACGATGTTCACTAGGACTTGATTGGCGATGATGTTGCTACGGTAGGACGATGTCCATGACGGTGATGATTCGAAGGGAAAGACGGAAGACGTCGCGCCATTACACTGCGAAGTGTATGGCCTTTGAAGAAATCGCGGGGTTCTGCAGTGGTGGTGGTGGTGGTGCTTTGTTCGCCAAGTTGCTCGTCCACCCGTGCAGTCGGTGCTTAGGCTGTTTCTAATTCAGGAATCGTGCCCCGTCCTGTAATGTTTAATGTTAAAAATAGTAGAGCCTGGATTCCAAGCAAGAAGAGTCGGATTGGTCCGGTGATGGCCGTTTTGCCGCCCGAGTCTGGGCTGTCCGTTTGTCCACGAGGAGGGAGACGCGAGAGTGAGAAACGAGAGACTTAGGGACTGGAGCGGTTAGGTACCTAAGGTACCTAGGTACAGTGAGTGAGCAAAAGTTTCGGAATAACCCTAAAGTAGAATGCTTCGAACCTTTTGGGGAACACTTTTTTTTTAGGGCAAAAACTATATTATGTTGCAAAAGTAACGAATCACTGGATCTTTGAAATGTACCGAAATTATTACTCACCCACTGTAAGTACTAGGTTAGGTGCCTTACCTTAGTGAGCACTGCCCCCCTATGAGCCCCCGTTACCCCGCCACAACGGTGACCTAAGCCTCTCGCTTTACGCCCTAGGACCGACCATCAGGCGTTACCTTATACTCTGTACCTTAACTTATTACGTACTCTCACACCGTCACTGACGAAGCCATCAACATCAACATCAGGATAATTCTGTTCAGCCATCAACATGATTCGTATTATTACTGACACTCTAATGACCAGGTCTTTTGCCATGCCCCTCTCCTTCCTTGCTCTTCTTTTTTTCAGTTTCTTTTCTGCTCATCTATAGTGCGGGTCATCACCATCCAACGCCGATTTCTTCCTCACTGGTCTGTCTCTTGGGTATCTACACCGTGCTCTCAAAAACCGCCATCCCTCCTCTTTCCGCATGTCGGAATGCAATATATGCCAGCATCCCAGCCATCTACTGACATAGATGATGAGAGCATTCCCGTGTCGGGTCGCTCGTAATATGCACGCCAACGCTGGATCCAGAGAGCAAGTAGGGGCGGGAAAAAAAACAAGAAAATGTCATCGTCGTCACCGATGAGATGGCCCCGTAGCCAAACGTGCATAGGAAAAAGTAGCAGCGACGGAAAAGGGGAGGGGAAATATAGGGGGCAAAGAAAAGGAAAAGGGGGAGGGATAGGTCAAGGCGCCCAGGAAAGGCCAATAGCACGGGAGCGAAGGGCGGCCCCTTTCACAACACTTTCAAAGGGCGATATAATCGCGCTGGGCTACAAGGTCAGCATCTCCGGACCCGTCCCCGTCCCCGTTGCCGCCGAGGAACTCGTCCACCTCGTCCGAGTCGACGTCGTCGCTGTCTGCCGATTCGTCTTCACTCGACAGGTCGTGGTCGTGGTCGTCGTCGTCATCCCCCGCCTCGCCCTCCTGCTGATTCTTTCGAAGGACGCTTGCCCTCTCGCGGTGAAGGAGCTTACAGCCCTTCGTCTTGCATTTGCCCGTGTTGCTAAAGTCCGGGCACTCCGCCACGTGCCGCTCCGTGCACCCGGCTCCCGCTTCGCAGTAGCCGTAGATGCCGAACGCCCGGCACACCGGCGCGCTGGGGGACACGTGGTGGTGCGTATACGGGCAGTTGGCGTTTGCACAGTGCCCCTTGATGTAATGGAGGCACGTCGGCGTGCGCTGCAGTGTCAGCTCATGTGAGAGGTCGCACGTCTCGCCATTAGGACAAATCCCCTTCTGGAGGAAGTCCCGGCAGACCGCCACCTTGGATGGATCATGAATGTACCGGCAGCCCGGTCCCTTCGGACAAGTACCTAAATGTGGGAACACGAAAAAGAGTCGTCAGTGGGTCACAAAACATCCTTCATACCGTCTACCCCGTGTGAAGTCGCCCCGCCCTGTTGGGATGTGGTTCTCCAAGAATGACGCAAAAACGCAAAGAGCGGCCTTTTGGCTGGGGCCGGGGCTGGGGATTGGGAAAGAATGAACAAAAAATACCAGTCGACGAGAACGTTCGGCAAGGTTCGGAAACCTTCTTGACGCCGGTTTGACTGTCCCTCATCCATTCACGTTAGCAGGTTCCCTTCCATGCGAGACCAGACATACCGTTGAGCTTTGAGGATGCCATGGCGGTACAGATTCCCGTTGCGGCTCCGGTGGAACTTGACGCCTCCTACTGTCGCCACCTTGGGCGTTTCGCTCGCGGAATGCAAATCTCCTAACCGAACGTGAGTCGTCTTGAGGGCTCCTGAACGCATCGAGGGATCCCCACCTGCAACTTTGACCAGTTTGCTGCCGTTGTGGGCTACGCGGAACCGAATGCCGTGTATCTCCACCTCGTGGTGACCTATGGATGGGGCGTGGTTAGCAGGACCGGCAACGGCAGCAGCAACGGCAGCGCCGGCAGCAGGGCCACCACCGAGATGCCGCTGGAAGTGACTCGACAGCTTGGCCGTCTCTCTGGCGTTCTGGTCGGCGAGCTGTTGCTTCCGCGTGGTCTCGATGGCCTTGGCTCGGTTCTGGTTCTCCCGTTCGTAGACGCTCGAGTTGATCAGTTGACGATGGCGCGCCGTCTTCGATACCCAGGATGTAGCAGTCGAGGCACCGGATGTTTGCACGGCTTCGGCGGTGCCGGGCGATCCTGTTTGCGCTCCTCCATTGTTCATCACGAGCGTTCGGTTGCGGTGTGGTGCGAATCGGCCGACTCGATACGACGGGTGGTGAGAGCTGCTACCGCGACGGTATGTATTATCTGACGACGGCACGTTACATTAGATCAATCCTCCATGTCGCCATGGCGGGGAGATGGGCTATACCTCGATGATGGGCGGGGTGGTGGTTGATGATGCCGGCTTGCTGGTTCTTGTGGCGATTAATCTTGCCTGTTAGAGAGTTCCAGTTAGCAAAACACAAGTCGTGATAGATTCACAGAAACCCATAAGGTGAAGTCCTGACCAGCAAGCTGGCCGATTTTGGCCAGGAGTTCTTGGTCCTCGGAAGCCATGGTTCGTTCGCACAGCCGTATCCCACACAAGGAATAGAGTGAATGGCCGTGATAAAAGAGCGCGCGGTTTTTGATCGCTGATATGCGTGAGGTGGTGTTCTTGAAGGATGCCTTAGTTATCTACGCGTCAAAAATAAAACAATCATGAAGCTGAATGCAGGATGCAGGATGCAAAATCTCTAACGCGCATGGGTAAGAGAAGGCCAAGTCGATGGGTAGAGCTGCTTTAAAAAGTTCATACCAAGCCTATGTCGTAGACATTGCCACTGATAGAAGTAGCAGCCCATATACAAGTACCTTCGTACCTTCCATGATTTTACTGTTAAGGTAAAGTACCTACCTTATTACCTTACGTGTACTGATAAGGTATCAAGGTATCAAAAAAGCGTGACCACTGAGTCATCACATTGGCATGGGCTGGGAGCCTTGTTCTACTGCAAGGCTACGACCAGGGAAGGGGAAAGGCAGCTTTGTCCTGTCCATCTCTCCCTCCTGCCCCAGCAAGATACTCCAGCTGCAGTCCAAACCCCGGTGAAAGCGGCCTACAGAAAAGCTGACGACCTGTCCATAGAGAACGAGAACTTTCTCATGACGACCCGAATTTGCTCCTAGACCGCCCTTCCTTCGCCTTGCAATACTCCCCCTTCGGCTTGCCAACAGCGACGACACCAACTTGAATCCAATTTGTCACCATCGTCATCTGGCCTACTTCTCTCGTTTTCTCGTTTGCTAGCAAGAGAAGAGTCTCACAGCGTGTGGTCTTTTAACCGGTGATAGCCTCGTCTTTCATTCAGTTCCGTCTCCTACACCCGACATCACAACCATGTCGTCTTGGGACCTCCTCGACGAGAGGGAGGAGCAGGAACTGCACAAAATTCGCCTCCTTAACGTGGAAGAAAAACCATTCAAGCGAATCACCAAACGCATCGCCACCATCACAGCCCTCGCCAGAGAACGCCCCCGGCAACAAGCAACCCCACCACCCGACGGCCCCAACGGCAACGATGCCGCCGCCGCCGCCGACCCCCAGTCGCACCCCGACATAAGCTCGGAGCGCTCACAGCTCAAAGAAGACGTAAAGCTCGACTTCGCCGCCTTCGACAGCAGCATCGCGCGGCTCCAATTCCTCCTCGACGCCAACGAGCGCGAGCGCGACCGCTACGCGGCCGACCAGCAGCGCATCCTCTCCGAGTGCGCCGCCGTGCGGGCCGACAACGCGCGGCTCCGCGAGAAGCTCGACGCCGCGCGCGCCACGCTGGCGCAGCGCAAAGCGTTCGACCGCATGGCCGACGACATCACCAACCGCGCCATGCTCCGCCCGCGCGACGACCAGCGCGTCGCCCTCCGCAAGCTCGAGGACGAGTGCGCGGCGCTCGAGCGCGAGACGGAGACGTATACCGTCACGTGGGGGGAGCGCCGCGACCAGTTCGCCCGCATCATGGACGAGGCGGCGCGGCTGAGGAGGCAGATCCGCGATGAGCAGGAGGAGGTCGAGCGCCGCGAGGGCATGAACGAGGATGGCGAGGAGGATGGCGAGGTGTCCCGTGCTGGTGATGGCACGCCGAGACATCATCTCCACCACCATCCTGGTTCTGGGAGCAGGGGGAACACACCCCGGCCGGACGGGGAGGCGGGGACGCCCAGGCCGACGGGTACCAGCGGGGGAAGGACGCCGCTGCGGGAGAGCCAGCAGACGGGGGAGGGGCAGGGGGAGGACGGTCCCAAACCACGTGGTGAGGGCCCCGAGAGCGTGTCTGGACCGGGAAGTACGGCGGCGCATAGTCGGGACGGGACGCCCCGGTTGCAGCAGCCCGAGAACAACGACGAGGGCGAGATTGAGGAGGGCGAGGATGTCGAGATGGAAGAGTCGGCACCGAGGACGACAAGGTCACAGGCGCGGATTCGAGAAGGCACCCCTCGGATTACGGTGGCTGCACCGCAAGGCAACGATGGCCGCATGGAGGTTGATGACTGAAGAAAGGAAGGTGGGACGCAGAAAGATTTGTTGGTTGGAAACATGGGGAGACGGTGATTGTTCTGTTCGTTCCAACCGACAGGCAACACACTGCAGAGACAGATACCCAGCGAATTTATAGACGGCATAACGACGACCTACGAGTCGCGTTGATTCATTATGGTTGTCGGTATCCTGGCCTTTCTCTAGCTCCCCTTTTTGCAACTGAACGTGACATTAACGTTGACGCTGCCTTTCTCGTCCCCCTCTCCTTTCTGTCCCCTCTTTTCGCTATTGTAGTCGTAACCTCATCCACAAAATAAATCTTCACATCTTCACATCTTCACGGCTCGACCCTCGCTCACGCAACGCCCGGGGCCTTGGCCTCCAGGCCTTTCTTCAAAGCCGACCTGGCAAGGTCAAGCTCCTCCTCGGTTGCGCCGTTGGTCTCAGCCAGGGCGATCTGCTCCTCGAGCTTGGCAGTAGCCTCGTTGATCCGCGTCCTGACGTGGGGGAAGATCTTCTCCGTTTCGGCGACGGCTTGTTTCTGGGTTTGAAAAGCGCAGTTAGTTCAGGTTCACGGACCGAAATGTTCTCTATGCAACGCGAGAAGGACATGGTGGTTGGGAAAGGAGTGGGAAAGGTGGAAGGTGGAAGGTGGAAGGTGTTGCTAGTACATACCAGCTGCTTCAGCATGTGGTCCCGGTTCCCATCCTCGTCAGGCTTGCCCTCTTTGATCTCGTTCTCTAGAGCGACGACCTTGGATTTGTCGTTGATGAGCTCCTTCTCGTAGGATATCTCCTCGCGAAGGAGACGAGTCACGGCCAGCGTGGCGATGGAGAGTTGGGATGGGGGAGGCATCGTGGGGTTCTTTCAGGAGTGGAAGTGGCCAAGTGGGAATGCAGGCAGTAAGAAGAGAGGGGGCGGAGGATATATGGATCAATAGCTGAGAAAACAGGCAAAAATGGGTATCGAGAATCAAATGAGATGGTTGACGTTCGAAGCAAAAAAAAAAAACGACGGGTTGACAGATAAATTCTCAAGTCATCAAGAACAAGAATCGATGGCGGGGTACTCTGTAGGTCACTCTGACGCTTGAAGCATCATGGACGGCGCTCAAGCTAATGCAGGGGTTATTGGTCCTCCCTGGAACCCTGCTCCACTTCAGTTAGACCTGATTAGGATACCTTAGATAAGCGAGGCTCGGCTCGCTTGCATCGGATGCCCAAGGTACATGTACAATACAAAATGGTTGGCTCTGCCCGTGACCTGAGGTAGATCTCATCTTCTGTATTCTCCCCGCGCCTCCAGAGGCTCACGTTATCGTGGTTCAGTAAGACTCCTTACATCTAGCACCACCTCCCTTTCCGTAAGGCTGGGTTCTTGAGCCCACGTCCGCATGGCTGAGGAAAAAAAGTTTTTATATTCAAATCAAGTCTCCCAAGCCTTCTTCATTCAGTGCCAACGAAGAAGTCGTACCACTACGAGTAGGTATCTATCTACCTTAGCTATCCTACTAGAAAGAACTCCGACCAAGTCAGACAATCCAAGGGAAACAGAACCTGTAATCCTACTCCAGTAGTCATAGCACCCATCCATCCCCGACGAGTCAGTCGGTCGAACATGGCCGAACCGAGTCCTCCCATAACTCCTCCGACAAGTGCTGGCTGGCTTCACTGCAGGCGCGCGCCGGAGAGAGAGAGAGCCTGTAATTCCTTTCTTTCCACGGAAGCCATGCCAGTGCTGTTCAGCCTCGTCCCCGCAGAGTCCAGGGCTCGGCGCACCCTTCTCTCCACATGTCGTTGGTATCTTTCCGCAACGCCAAACGCCTTTCCCTGTCTCGCCCAGACGTCGTCATGCCGTACAAAGAAAAAAAACCCCCGCCAGCCAGAAGAGAAAACAGAGCCGCCAAGAAAAAAAATAGAACACTTTTTGAAAAGAACAAGAGGCGGAAATAAAAACCACCTTGGTGCGTCCGAGAAGATGCTCGCGTCGTTATAAGCCATCAGCCATCAGCCATCGCCATCACCAGCGGTCCGATTACCTCCCTAGGCCTCGACGGCCACGTGAAGCGCGCTAGCGTGGTTCCGTTGTACTTGGGGCTGTGGCTCCGCTTCTGCATTCTCCTCCTCTTCTTGCCCCGCAATCTCGCCGCCGGCCTCGCGTTCGGCCCAGGCACCCCAGAGGCCCCGCTTGCCGCGGATACGGATGGGCGCGCCCATGCTCTCGCCCTGCTCGACCTTGATGGCGTCCTTGGTCGCGAGCACGAGGCACTCGAAGAACATCTTGGTCGCGTCCGCCTTGGTGGTCCGCTCTTCGGGGAGGAGGTCCTGGAACAAGACCGACGACGTCTTGCGCTTCTCGTCGTCCGTCTCGGCCTCGGGGCCGAACAGGTCGCGTAGCACGTGCACCGCGTGTTTGGTCGCGTGCGATACCGGCCCGCTGTCTTGTGGGTGAACGATCGGGGCCGTCGTCTCGTCAAAGGGAGCCATGGAGGAACCGTCCCTCTCGGCCGTGTGGTGGTCGTCGTCGTCCATCTGCAGGCCCATGCCGCCGTCGTCGGCGGGGATCTCGTGCACGGTGCTATCGCCGCCGGCGACGCTCTGGTCGCCGAGGTTGTTGGCGCCTCCCTCCACGGCGAATTCGTCTTCCTCCCCAATCTCCAGACGCGGCGACTTGGGCGTGCCGCCGCCATCCATATCGGCAATCCCGCTATCCCGTTTCCTCTTCTTCAAGTCGCTCGCTCTTGTGGCTTCGAACGACAGCATCCCGCGGAGTTCGGGTGCCCAAGCGGCACTACGTCCGTCGAGCATGACGTTGGCGACGAAGCCGCCGTTCTTCTGCATCTCCATCAGCGCCAGGACAAAGGGATCCCTAGGCAAAAAGACCTGGGGCTTCAGGATGTTGTCGCGGTTCGTCTGCTGCTCCTTGATGTGGTTGCTCGCGAGCATGGTCTGGTCATCGGGAAGCAATAGCTTCCTCTTCTTTGCGCGTTGCGGGTGGCGAGCGGCCGACGGATCGCCTTGTTCGGACGGCTCATAGAGGTCGGCGTTCTGCCAGCGCGATACCTCCTCGTCTAGCCGTCTGGTTGTCTCCTCGTCGATGTCCGACAACGGCGACTCGGAGATGCGAGCGCGGCTCATATCGGGTACAGCAGTAGCGAGGCCGGCGAGGGCCGTCTGGTCGTCGTCGGGGTTGAACTGGAAATCGTCATCGCCCATGCCCATTGGGATGTCGCCCTCTTCGTCGGCGATGCGGATGCCGTCTCCGTGCACGTCTAGGGCCAATGACTCCTCTCGACCCCGGCCCTGCGGGTCCTTCTGTTGCGGCAGCATGTCGAGCTCGCTGATCATGTCGTCCTCGATGGGACGGGCTTCGGGCGCTTCTCGACCCATTTCCACGTCCACGGCCGTCGGCCGCTCGTCGTCGTCGTCGAGATCCATGCCGAAATCGAGTTCCAGCTCGATATCCTCCATCGGCTCCAGCGCCAGATCGTCGTCCATCTGGGTCGAGTCTTGCAGGTACTGGCTGTTGTTGAAGTCCTCCTGCAGGTTGATGTCGCGATTGCTGACGCGGCCCTTTCGGCCCATCGGCGTAGATGATACTTCATCGATCTGCGACAGCAACCAGGCGGCATCAGGCGGCGGGGGCAAGTCGAGGTTGTCGAGAGGCGTGATCTTGTCCGGTAGAGTGAGAGCCTCGCGGTTGTGGACTTGCAAGTTGCCTTCGGGAATGTCGTGGTCATCGCTGGAGCGGAAGGCCTATTTGCCGGGTGGTCAGCAAGCGACGACCATAAGATGAACACAATGCACTGCTTGTTCAATGCTTACCATTTTGATCTTCATCGAAGCCTCGTTGCAGTCATCCAAGAGATATCGCGCTTTGCGGCTGTAAATCCTGACGACACCAAGAAGCAGCTGGCCGCTCAGACGGAGAGCCATCGGCGCTTGCGTCGGAGTGATGATGGCTTCGACGCTGTCCTGTAGGTTAGATTGCAGAATGTGTGTCTTGGAGAGCCGCTTCTCCAGGTTGGCCGACAGCCATACCCGAGCGAGCGGCCCCGTCTTCTGCACGAGGGGCCCCGCGTAGAACATCGCGACAGGCGAGCGGGAGCAGAGACAATAGATAGCTCAGCTCGTGATGAGTCAGGACGGGAAAGAGTCGTGCGAATGGTGATGCAAGCAAAGGATGGATCGAAGCAAAAGCCACGTTGTTAAATAAACAAGAGAGTCTTGAGCAAGAAAACGCGCCGAGTCGAGGTGAAGGGTAATTACGTGCGAAGTGGGACGGGGGCGTTTGGTCAAACTCGTGGGTAGGTTCGGGGATAAAAACAATCGAGCGCGTTTTGTTATGGATCCCCCCCCAAGGTCGATCGCGTGTGCTGCTGTGCTGCAATCAATCCGAGCAAAGCGCAAAAGTGGCGCGTGCAAAGCAAAGAAAATATCCGCTAGCAGTTCGAGAAGCCAAAAGAAAGAGGCGTGTCGCAAGAGGTGTAAGAAGTGTGTGCCGCGACGAAGTTTGCCAGCATTTGACGCTGGAGAATGGGAAGAGGCGGGAGAGAGGTGGGAAGAAAACGAACAGGAGCAGAGCAGGGGAGCAGGGGAGATGGGGAAAGTGGGCTGGTCGTTCCAAGCGACGGGAAGGTCATTGGGTGTTCTTGGTGTCGACGCCCCGCCACCGTTGCTTCTCCAACAATGGCGGTGGCTGGGGACTGAGAAGGAACGAACCACTTTTCTTGGACCTGATTGGTGATGATCGAACCCTATGAGTTACACTAGCCACATCACGTGATGTGCCTCGCCAAGGATGGATTGCCTAGCCAAAAGCAGATCTCGCGAATTGGCATTTGACCCGACGTACACATCCATATACAGTCTTTTCGACTCGATACAATGACACTAAAACGATCCAACATACGGATAATATGGTATGATGGAGTTATTCACTACCTAGACTTATTCTCATTGTCCTATTAGTCTCACTTCGTAGTCCATCTTCTCTCCAAAATCTCCGAGCTAGAGATTCGGTTCATGCTCACGCTCACCTCTACGAACCAAGAGAAGTTGCAGGCTGTTTTCCGTCAAAGAATTCTTGCCGAGGCCAAATCTGTAGCCTCGTCTGTCGGCGAAGGATCACTCAAAAATCATATCTAGGACCTCCTTAAGGTTCAGAACAGCTGAGCCTCGAAAACGGATGCCAACTTGCGATGGCGATGGGACGCCTGCCATGGCCCCCAACTCGCTGCCGTACTTACTGCCTTAGGGAGATGTCCTTCCGTACTTATACTTAAGGTACTTGGTATTACGTGCTATCCTACCTTACATCAGAACTGCTGGATGAATACCGTACCTGATATAGTGGTATTGCCAGGTGTTCGTGAGAGACAGTATTAGTAACTCAGGTAGGTATGAAAGTACGGAGCACGTACTCCGTAGTCCGTCGTCCCTACGCCGTGAAAAGCTCCTTCCAGAGTGAAGCTCCCAGGGCCCAGTGGGTCCATGGTACTGACGAATCGCCTGCAAGATTGGGCCCTAGAGCCTATGCGTACGTCACTATGACCAATAAGGTTAGAGCCCAGCAACTCGATTGGAAACCATAAGTCCGCGACCGGCCTAGTCCCGGGTTAGGGAGAAGTACCTGCCTGACCTGGTCCATTTTCCAGGGCACTTTCAGTAATACGGTACCTAGGCAGTGTAGACACGTTGTGAACCTTGCAGCCCATGATGCTTTTTTTGTTGCCTTTTGTTGCTTTTGTCGCTCTTGTTGCTTCTCCCAACCGTGACACAACCGTGAGACCAACACTTCCCTGGACATGCCCTTGGGTCGCGACAGGCCCCTGCCAGCTGATACGCTGATCTAAAAGACTTGTGTTTCTTTCCAGGCAGAAGAGGCGTTTCGATTTTTACGAGTTCCACACGCAACCCCCCTTTACGCCTTTACGGAGCTGCAGAGCCCCGACGCTGCATCCCAGAACGGGGGAAGCTCGCTCGAACTAGCAATTTTTTCCATGACTTGGTAGTACCCGTGTCCTGTCCTCCTCGAGTCCTGGACCGATATCGAACCGAATCGAACTCCAGACGCCGCGTGTCAGGATGCAGTGGCCATGGCGTGGCGACAGCGACTCGAAGGGCGATGCCTTGCTTCCCATGGCCAATATCCCCAGCATCAATGGCGCTGCTCACGATGATGGCCTGGACACGGAGCGCTCGAGGTCAAGTCGTCCCCATCTCGTACGCACCACGTCGGCGCAGTCTAGGGTGAGTAACCCTCCTTCTTGACAACCATTTTTCTGCTTTCATCCCCCTTCTCTTTTTAACCTACCGAGGCTTCTTCTCTTTTTTGCTCGAAAATCTGGCTTTTGGATCACATGGTGGTCAATTGGTAACTAATGGAGTCTCCAAAGGGCGTTGCCGAGGAATTCTCCTTCCTATCCCCAGACGAAACAGCTTCCCGGCTCCAGACCTCACTCACCCATGGCATCACCCCGGCAGAAGCACTGACCCGACTACGAGACTGCGGGCCCAACGAGATCCCCCACGAACCCCCCGAACCCCTGTGGCTCCGATTCGCCAAGCAGTTCCAAGAGCCGCTGATCGTCTTGCTCCTCGTCTCTGCTGCCGCCTCCATCTTCCTCGGCAATACCGACGATGCTGTTAGCATCACAGTAGCCGTCACCATTGTGGTCGCCGTCGGCTTCGCCCAGGAATACCGTTCGGAAAAATCCATCGAGGCTTTGAGCCACCTAGTTCCGAACCATGCCCACCTCATCAGAGCGAATACGACCAAGTCGGCCCCGCCGGCTCGGATGTCGTCGAGCTGGCCCACCGGCGTGAATGGCCAAGTGGACGAAACCGAGAGGGACCTCGCGAATGCGATAGAGGCAGCCATGGACACGGCGTCCTCCAAGGTGATGGCCTCGCAGCTCGTCCCCGGCGACCTGGTGCTCTTCGCCACGGGCGATCGGATCCCCGCCGATATTCGCGTTACCAAGGCGGCCGACCTGACCATAGATGGGTCAAATCTGACGGGAGAGACCGAGCCGGTTAGAGTCACTGCCGAAGCTCGTTCACGGCCTGCCTTGCCTGCCTATCTGGGAGGAGGAGGAGGAGCAGGGAACAAGCTCGAACCCCCAAGCCCTGTTGGGTCCACGCCGTCGTCATCAGGTCGAGATGCCGCCGACGAGGGCGAGAGCAACATCGCATACATGGGGACTCTTGTCAAGTCCGGCTATGGCCAGGGTGTCGTGTTCGCGACGGGGGGCAACACCCACTTTGGCACCATTGCCACCAGCGTGTCCGGCACCGAGAGTCCTCGGTCCCCCTTGCAGCTTTCGATGGACGAGCTCGGCTCCCAGCTGAGCAAGGTGTCGTTCGTCATCATCGGTCTCATTTCGCTGGTCGGCTGGCTACAGGGCAAAAAGCTGCTCGAGATCTTCACCATATCCATTTCTCTAGCTGTGGCGGCCATTCCTGAGGGTCTACCTATCATCGTTACCGTCACCTTGGCGCTGGGCGTCCATCGGATGGCCAAACACCATGCCATCGTGCGCAGGATGCCCAAGGTGGAGACGCTGGGGTCGGTAAACGTGGTCTGCACAGACAAGACAGGTACGTTTGGATGTTGGATGTTTTGGGCCGTGGCTGTTATCGGGTCAAGTAGTGTGCTCTAACCGTAACATAGGAACCCTGACGACGAACCATATGACGACCGCCAAAATGTGGTCCTTTGGTTCGAAGGGAGCTATTGACGTGGATTCCGACGACGAAGCCATCGAGACCAAGCCCGGTGCCGCCACCTTACGTATACTGCGCATCGGCAACATTGCAAATAACGCCCGCCTGGCGCAGCAATATTCCGAGAACGGCGTTGCGGCCAGGGCGGTTCTCTCCTCCACCCTAGGCGGTAACCAGACGTCGACGCACACCCGGTGGACCGGCCAACCAACCGACGTGGCCATGCTCGATCTTCTCGACAGGTTTAGGGAATACGACGTGCGGGATTCGATGGGCCCTCGCATTAGCGAGACCCCCTTCAGCTCGGAGCGGAAGTGGATGGGGGTCACCATTGGCGGAGAGAAGGAGTATGCGTACATAAAGGGGGCCGTCGACAAAGTGCTCAGCGCCTGCGACACGTACCTGACCAAGGAGGGAAGGGAAAACGTCCTCGACTCGGCTCGGCGCCAGGAAGCCTTGCAGGCCGCGGAAGACATGGCGGCCAAGGGCCTGCGGGTGCTTGCTTTTGCCAGCGGGCCGATACGGTCAACGTCGACCAGTTCTCGGGGCCCTGGGGGATGTGGCGCCGACGAGCTGTACTCCGGACTGACCTTCGCGGGTCTGGTCGGGATGAGCGACCCGCCCCGGCCCGGCGTGGGCCGATCCATCAGGAGGCTGCTGCGCGGTGGCGTCAAGGTGGTCATGATCACGGGCGACGCGGAGATGACGGCGGTGGCCATTGGCAGGCAGCTGGGCATGCCGATCCCGAGACCCGGCGACTACGGCCCAGGCCATTCCAGCTTCCGACCGGTGTTGCGGGGCGACGAGCTGGACAAGATGACGGACGAGGAGCTCGCGCGGGCGATCCACCACACGACCATCTTCGCTCGGACGAACCCGGACCACAAGCTCAAGATCATCCGGGCGTTCCAGTCGAGGGGCGACATCGTGGCCATGACGGGCGACGGGGTCAATGACGCGCCGGCGCTGAAAAGGGCCGACATCGGCATCGCCATGGGTCGACACGGCACCGACGTGGCTAGGGAGGCGGCGGACATGATTCTGACGGACGACGACTTTTCCACGATTCTTCGTGCGATAGAGGAGGGCAAGGGCATATTCAACAACATCCAGAACTTTTTGACATTCCAACTGAGCACCAGCGCCGCCAGTCTTTCGCTGGTATTCGTCTGCACTCTCCTCGGTTACAAGACGCCCCTGAATGCGATGCAGATTCTCTGGATCAGTAAGTCCCACTTGGTCCTCAAAATCAAGAACGACAACAAGAAACGAAAAGCCAGTGAGATCTTTCTGCTAACAAAACATCCCCCCCAGACATCATCATGGACGGTCCTCCAGCACAGTCCCTCGGCGTAGAAGCGGTGGACCCAGACGTCATGAACCGGCCCCCGCGCAAGCGCAACGACGCGGTCCTGACCCGCGCCGTGCTCACGCGCGTGCTCACCTCGGCCGTGATCATCATGGTGGGCACGCTGCACATCTACCGTCGCGAGATGTTCGAAGACGGGGTGGTCACGCGGCGCGACACGACCATGACGTTTACGTGCTTCGTCCTCTTCGACATGTTCAACGCGCTCGCGTGCCGGTCGGAATCCAAGTCGATCCTGCGCGGCCAGGTCGGGCTCTTCTCCAACACGCTGTTCAACTGGGCGGTGGCGCTCAGCCTGGCGGGCCAGCTGCTGGTCATCTACTTCCCCTGGCTGCAGGAGGTGTTCCAGACGGAGGCGATTGGGTTTCTCGACCTGGTCCGGCTTTTGGTTCTCTGCAGCTCGGTGTTCTGGGCGGATGAGGCCAGGAAGTATTGGCAGTATGGGAGGCCGAGGCAAGGGATTGGGGGTAGATATAGCCAGGCCGTATAGACGGAGGGATGCCATGCCATTCAGTTGGTTGGGGTTGGGCGGCTGCTGTGTTGTTAGTTGTAGTATACATAGAGCGGGTATGATTTTCACGGATCATGATCCTCTTTGCATTTGTAGACTTTCGGATCTAAAGGTAACATAAAATAAAACAGTATAAGATGAGAGAAATTGTGCCTGTTCTTTTTCAATTCACTGCCGCGTTTTTTGATGAACAGACGGAGGATGTTTCCGCCGAGGTTCCGGGGTCGGTCACCGGACGGATGTGGGGGTCACAGCGTCCCCACACCGGTGACCGGGCTCGGGTGAGACTTACCACTTACATTCTCTGTTCCGAGGTTGGAGAATACGATGAGTTGTACTGCGTTTGCCCCCTGGCGTCGAGCGTCGACAGCCTAACACACCCCAAAGGTAAAAGGGAAAGAGGGAAACTGTCTTGGTCTGGTTTCCGAGTCAGATTGAGACAGTTATGAGGTATCAGGATACCGGGCGCTTCCCATCCTACAGTCATATTTGTTACACGGACACACACACGCGCACACATACACACATATCCTCATGAACAACCCGAGGCTGTTTCTACACGTGTACTGTTATTCAGTTTGACAGACCGAGTTTGTGACACCACAGACGCAAGATATCACATTGGAAGTGTATCATCCCCCTAGAGTCGCTTGCCGTCTTCCGCTTCCCCCCATTCTTCGCCTTGCCTTGTCTACTGGTCCTACTACGTCTGAGCCGACGACGAATAGGAAGATTCGGAGGATGCTGGGCTTTAGGGAGTAGCATCCTTGGACGTACTATTTCACTACATGGCGAGGGAATGATAAGGCCTGGGCGGACGAGATTAATGTCAAGTTAAGGGAGTCGACGGGAGTGAATGAACGGAGGGACATGTAAGCTCCTGGGGAGAGGTGAAGCTTCATGGAAGCTTCACTACGATGTACCTTATGAGGTACCTTAGGTACCTTACCTTATGAAAAGTTGCTCTGATAAGATATGTAGATAAGATATGATAAGACCTTCACGTGACGATACTCGAATTGGTGGATCGAGCAATGAACACACCAAGTCAGGAGGTCAGGTCGGTCAGGTAGCTTCACGACGTATTTACCACCAAACTGGTACCTCTGGATACCTTAGGACAGACGGAGTAGAGCTTCCTCCCCGTCAACTCAACTCTTCCCACTTCTCAAACAACTTCCGACCTGCTTAACCACCCGAACCTCCATTGCTGGTGGCTCAAGTAGCTATGCTTATGCTATGCACTACCAGCCAGCCAGCTAGCTAGTTCACGCCAATGACCTCCCCTTCACACGGCGTATCCTCCGCTCGCCCACACAGCGACAATGTGTCCCCCGACGCCGCTACCCGCCACGGCGGCAGAGCTACCACCGCTACCACCGCTACCACCGCTACTACCATGACGACCTCTCACGATCCCCCCTCCTCCGGCTCTTCCGACTCCTCCCACTCCCCCTCCGCCCCCAACCTCCTCCCCGACATCTACGCCGCCTCCACAGCCGCCGACGTGCGAGCCGCCCTCTCGACCCTGCACGCCCGCGAATCCACCGTAACAAAACGTCTCAACGCCCTCCTGGGCTCGCAAGCCGACCTGGCGCGGGACCTAGGCCGCCTCGATCTCCTCCGCGCGTCGCTAGGCACGCAGGTGATCGCGGCGCGGTCCATCGGGAACACCATGCTCGCGGGCCCCGCCGACACGGCCGGCACGCTGAGTGGGCGCGTGCGGCAGCTCGACCTCGAGAAGAGCCGAGTGGACGCGACGGCGCGGGTGGTGCAGCAGGTGGCGGAGCTGCGGGCGTGCGTGCTGGGCGTGGTGGGCAGCATGGGGGCGCCGCAGGACTGGGAGGCGGCGGCGGGGTACCTGGCGCGGGCGGCGGAGGTGCCGGAGGCGATCACGCGGGGCAAGTTCGCGGCCGAGATCGTGCCGACGGTCGAGGTGCCCGACCCGCCGTGGGTGACGCTCGAGAACGCGCGCGAGAGCCTCTGCGGGTTGTTCCTGCGCGAGTTCGACGGGGCGGCGAAGGAGGGCGATGGGGTCAAGGTCACGCGCTTCTTCAAGCTGTTCCCGCTCATTGGGAGGGGGGATGTCGGGCTTGACGTCTATGGTCGGTACGTTTGCCAGGGCGTTGCTGGCACGGCGAGGGCTGTTCTCAAGGAAGGTCAAGGGTCCGGTGGCGACGGTGAGGGCGACGGCGGCGGCAGCGGCGGCGGTGGTGTGCAGGCGCAGGCGCAGGCGAGGTCGAGGCGGGATGGGTTTTTCTACGCCAACGCGCTGACGAGGCTGTTCGACCACATTGCCCGGATCGTGGAGGGGCATGGCAGCCTGGTGGAGAGGCATTACGGGGCGGGCAAGATGGTCAAGGTCATTGAGCGGCTCCAACAAGAGGCTGATGTGCAGGGTGGCATCATCTTGGATGCGTGGGTGGACGAGCGCGATATCGACCGGCGCATTAAGGACGTCAAGAGTTATCCGTTCTCGTTTCTGGTGCAGAGCTTTCTCCCGCAGTCGCAGCCGCAGTCGCAGACGCAGACGCAGCAGCGAGGAGGGACGCCCCGGGTGAACTCGCCGGCTATGGGGGGTGGTTCTTCCACCAACGCGCGCAATAGTGAGGATGAAGGGGTCAACATGAAGGAGGTGGATGGGGTTCTCAGCGAGATTGCTGTGATGCTGGGACGGTGGGCGCTCTACGTCCGTTTTCTTGCAGGAAAGGCCAGAGTGAGTTTTTTTTTTCTTCCTTTTTTTTTCATTTTTTCCCTTTTTTTTATATCATATTAGGACTTCTTGACAATCAAGAGCATAAACTGACTTGAACCATGATCTAGAATGCCGACGTACCAGAGGACACACCCTTGGTATTACCGGACATTGTCGTCAAGTCCAACCTGAACCGCAAAGTCTCGGACAAACTCATCACACCGTACAACACAATGATGACCTTCTTCTTCAGGAGATCGGTGGAGAAGGCCTTCCAACTCGACGAGCAGCCCACGGGTTTGTCTCTTAACATGAGCAAACACGTCGACGCCAACACGCCCTTCATCATCTCGGCCGTCGACGACGTTATGTATGTCGTCAACGCCGTGCTGGACAAGTCCCTATCCACGGCCCAGAGGGACGTCATGGGCTCGGTCGTCCCGATCATCGGCCGGGTGCTGGAATCAGACTTTGTCGGCATGGTGCAGCGCAAGATGCGGGACGAGTCGTACCCGAAACCTCTCGTTCAGGGGGGTTTCCCGCCGGAAGACAAGATCATTCAGTTCATCGTGCTCATCAACAGCCTCGACACGGCCAACGAGTATCTCGCCCGCATCATCTCGAGCCGGAGAGGCACAAGTACAGGCACAGGGGCACCCCTCCGAGAGTCGTTCCCGTTCGACAAAGACGTAACCTTCGTTTCCGCAGCGCTCGAAGCCCTCCTGGCCGCCTTCACGGCCAAGACGACGGAGCTGATGAACGAAGGGCTCCAAGTGCTCTTCAGCCACGTGGTCAAGCTGCGGCTGCGGCCGGTGCTGACGGACGCGTTCCGGGACGTCGACTACTCCCTCACGGAAGACGAGCTGGCGGAGGTGGCGGCGCAGAACGACGAGAGCCAGGAGGAGGTCGAGGTCCTGGAGCAGCAGGTGGGGCGGCGGTTCGAGCACGGGTGGGACCAGCTGATGAGGCCGATCGCGCGGCTCATGACGGCGCATACCTTCTCGGTGCTCCACGACCTGACGGCGCGGTACCTGGCGCGGGTGCTCGAGCAGCGGGCGTGGAAGTCGCGGGTCAGCGCGTTCGGGGCGATCCGCATGGAGAGGGACTTTTCCGGGATCGTGGGCACGGTGGGGAGGGGGAACTACGGGGTGCGGGAGCTGTTCGCGCGGGTGGCGCAGGTGCTGATGATTGCGAACATGGAGGATGACGAGTGGGAGGTCCTGGCGGCCGGGCATGAGGATGCCGGGGAGGGTGGGGAGGATGGTATGATTTGGGTGCTTACCGAGGAGGAGAGGAGACGGGCTCGGAATCTGGTCCGGGGATGAGGGGGGCTTCTTCGCCGGAAGGGGTCCGACGAGCAAGGGGTTTACTTAGATGGGTAGATAGAAAAAAGCAGCCGGCCTTGACTTGGCATGTATCATTTTTACAAGACACGAAGGGGCGGTAAAGTATGTTATTTGAGGAGATGGTATCGAGTCTAGCAGACATAAAGCCCTTGTCCGAGTCTTGCGGCCAGGCGTCCGGAGCCCCGGAGTGTTGAGCCGGGAGTGTGGCCGAGTGTGCCTGCAGCCGGCGCCAGCCGGCAGTAGTAAAAAGAAAAAGAAAAAGAAAAAGAAAAAGAAAAAGAAAAAGAAAAAGAAAAAGAAAACGAAAAAGAAAAAAGGCCCATGACTCAACTCAACCCGCAGCAAGAAATGAATTTCTTCTTACACCAACTACATCGACGTTGCCCAACAACTCATGCCATCACCCTGAAGCTCCGAACATTTCACTCTTCTCCTTCCACTTAATCCCATGATACCCTAATACATCAATAAAGAAAGTCACAGGTTGACTCCGGAGCAACAGAGAGAGAGAGAGCCCTTGACGAGGTTCACGGCCAAACAGTCAAATTGGCTCTCATCAACTTCTCCGGTATAATTCGACGCTGGCTTTCCAGCTTCAGCATCGCCTCGACCAGCAGCAACACGCCGGTTTATACTACTACTACTACTACTACTACTGCCACATCACGCCATCCTCTGCCCAACATGGCGACAGAGACTAGAATAGTGAGGATAGGCAGTCGGGAGCTGGGCCACTTCGAGCAAGTCGGCGGCGAGAAGCTGGGCAAGTGGCACATCTCTACGGATCCCCACTCATCACAATCCATGGAAGCGCTACGAGAAGCAGCACGGGAACTCAAGACGAGCGACATCCCCGTGGCTTTCCCAACCGAGACCGTCTACGGACTCGCAGCCGATGCCACGCGCAGCAAGGCCGTCAAGGGCATCTACGCCGCCAAGGGTCGACCTGCGGATAACCCGCTCATCGTTCATGTCAGTGACCTCGACATGCTCCGGCGTTTCCTCCAGCCGCGAGATGACAAAGATGACACCAACGGCTGCCATGGCGAAGGGAACACCAACACCAGCTCACAAACAGCACCGTCCTGCCGCTCCTCCTCCTCATCCTCCTCCTCGCAAAAGCCCGCAGACCCCATCCCGACCATCTACCAACCCCTCATCGACCGCTTCTGGCCCGGCCCCCTCACCATCCTCCTCCCGAACCCCACCCCCTCCAAGCTCGCCCCGGAAGTAACAGCCGGCCTCCCCACCTTCGGCGCCCGCATGCCCGACTCCCCGCTGGCCCTCACCCTGATCCGCCTCGCCAACGCCCCCCTCGCCGCCCCCTCCGCCAACGCCTCCACCAAACCCTCCCCGACCACCGCCACCCACGTCCTCGACGACCTGCACGGCCGCATCCGCCTCATCCTCGACGGCGGGCCCTGCACCGTCGGCGTGGAGAGCACCGTGGTCGACGGCCTCTGCGACCCGCCCGCCGTCCTGCGCCCCGGCGGCGTGTCGCTCGCCGAGCTGCGGTCGTGTCCCGGCTGGGAGGGCGCCGTCAAGGCGTACAAGGATGCCGCGGAGGACGGGAGGAAGACGGCGGTTGCCGCGCCCAGGGCCCCGGGGATGAAGTATAAGCATTATAGTCCCCGGGCGCGCGTCGTGCTGTACGAGGCGGCGTATCGGGCGGGTGCGGATGGCGTCGCGGTGGAGGATTGGCAGCGCGTGCTTTGCCTCCCGGGAGGTTCTTCTACTGCTTCGTCTGTCCATGGCACGCGGGCCGGGTCGGAAGGGTCTAGGCGAATGGGGACCATTCGCACCCGGAGGTGGAAGCGGGTAGGCGGGCTACAGGGCGGTGGGAGCTCGCTCGTCATGCCCGAGGTTGTGGCGGATGCGGGTCTGGCTACGACAGATGGCGGGGAAGCGCTGTTCGAGGTGCGGGAGGGCGAGTTGCGAGATGGCGACGGCAAGCCTTTGGCGCGCATTTTGGACATCGACTTGGGAGACGACACGAGGGGGATCGCCCAGGGGTTGTTTTCGGCGTTGAGAGAGCTGGACAGGAGGCAGGTGGACACCATTTTCGTCGATGGGATTAGCGATGGGGATGACATGGCCGCGGCGGTCATGAACAGGTTGCGCAAAGCTGCGTCGGAGATACGGGTGTAGATGGGTCGTTTTTATTTCTCGTGTTTCTCGCCAAGCAGAAAACACACACATTGCATATATAGATCATAATAGAGGAACGAGGATGTGCTGGTCCTCCCCACGTCGAATCATGTACGAGTTGGCATGTTGCTTTGGTTTATTTTTCTTTGGCCCTGCCTCCTGTCTGATGCAAATGGCACGAGGGAAAACAAGAGAAGAAGAAAAACGACAACATGCCCGAGACCGACAATTGAATCCGATAGAAAACTCCGTGGCAACCGAAGATGCGCTTCCTCTTTTGTTCCCCTTTGTTCCTCGCCCTTGCCCCCCTGCCCCCTTGACGCTCCGTCTCTGTCTCTTTCTTTCCTTCCTTATAGACCTTGTCTTAGCCAATCGGCCAGCTTGGACCGGCCCAACTGCGCCAGGTTGTTGACGCCCTGTTCGCTGAGGTCGATGCGGCGGAGATCGACGTCCTGGGCCGGCGCCCGGCTGACGCGCTGCACGATGATGGTGGGGTCCGTCTCGAGGATGACGCCGTCGTCGACAATCTCGTCGACGGCGAGGGAGAGGAGGTCTAGGTTTTCCGTGATGGTCCTCCTGTCGACGGCTTGCCTGGAGAAGTTTTCGTTAGATTTTGCCTTTTTTTCCTTTCCCTCTTTTCCCTCTTTTCCCTCTTTTCCCTCCTTTCCCTCCTTTTATTTCCTGTCTTTCTTTCTTTCCTGCCTTTCTTTCTTTCTTTCTTTCTAACGACTAACTCGGGAGAGGAGCGTCTCTTACTTGAATAGAAGATGCAGACTGTCGCGGAGTGCTAGGATGGCGTTGTAAAGAAGCACCTTTTCCCAAGTGTCAGCATCAGCCCCCCACGTCATCGTATGTCTCAGCCAAAATGGCCGCGGGCAGCCTTACCTCGTTCTCGTCGACGGAACCGACCAGGTAGAGCATGCAGTCGCTCTCCATCTTGTACAATCTGGCCACGGTGTTAACCGACCTTTCGCTCCTCCCCCTGTCTCTATCGTCTCCGCGCGTGGTGTTGGAGAAACCTACACAACCCGGTTGTCGTATAGAATAATGTCGCCCGTCTGCTTAGCCGTCTTCTCCAACAACCCCTTTTCGAAGGCCTTTTGCGACTTGACGTCTGGGTACGGGTTCATCTCGGCGGGGACCTGGCCTATCGAGGAGGGAGGATCATGCGTTAGTCAGGGTCAAGGTATGCGCGTGTTTGGCGATGGCGCATTACGCATTGAGGGTGTCTCCGATCGATGGTCATTCGATCGGGAGCAAAGGACACTGCATACCATCCTTGAATCCTGCCACGACATTATGGGGAGGAGTGTAGTATCTATATCACAGTCGGATCACCGTCGTCAGTTTTTGTGTCCGAAAGGAGGGATGATCGAAAGAGGCGTACTTGGCAAAGAGCCTGGAGCCATCCTCAATGCTTAGAATGACAAAAGCGTTGACCGAGAAAAGAGACAATCCTGGCGCCATGTTGACAGAGTGGTGAGCTCGAAGGCCAGCCCCCGGTGAACCTTTACTTTGTTTGGAGGGCGTTGGTAGTGGGATTGAGGTGTATCTAGAGGTGTATCTAGAGGTGTATCTAGAGGTGTTTGTATCTGTAGCTGTAGGTAGGTCCGTTATTGACCAGCCTGGCGGCGCACTTGACAACGTACCCTGGTCAGCGCCGAGTCGGTAAGTTGAGGGTGGTCGGTGTCTTGTTTGGCCGCTCCGAAGTACTTGGTACCGTGTAACTACGTACCGCGTAAAGTGGAAACGCGTCTTCCCCCCCTTTCCCCTTTTCGAAACGCGTCCAGCCCTGGAAACGCGTAAAGTGGCTGCAGTAAATTGGAAATTGGGGCCCACTTTTTGATTCTCCCACAAAGGCTTCGTTTCGTTTCGCTTCCTTCTCATCGTCTGTCTCCCTTGCACGTCACTCATTACTCGAAGCAACGCAATTGCCGGGCCTTCAAAACATTATCCTGACACTGCTTGCCCTTTGTACGCCACAGCACACTTCGACTTTCTACTCTCCTCTCCTCTACTCTACTCTGTACTCTCTCTGCCTGCACCCCTTCGTCATGTCTTCCCCCACACGCAGGCGGTCAACCCGCAGCTCTCAGGCCGGAACCCCTCGCCGATCCACGAGGAACTCGTCCGTCGCCCAGAGTAGTCCTGCTGCCGGTCCTGCTGACAATGCATCGCAGGAGGGCTCGCAGGAGGGCTCGCAGGGCGCCCGAACCCCTCGTCAGCCCCGCCCCTCGAGGCTCCAATCCAGCCCTCTCGTCTACCAGTCGTCCTCTCCCGCCCCCGCCCCCGCCCCCGCCGCCGCCGACCGTAACGGCCCCTCCAACCACAATGTCTCGTCCCCCCTGCGCCATATGACCAACAGCCAGAGCTCTGCCGCGGCGAGACCGCCTCCTAGCTCCCCTCTCCGCCAGCAGACTGATACGCAGTCCCAAGGCGATGGTGATCGGACGCCTCGGGCCAGCGCCCAGATGCGAGGTAACGGGTGCCGCGCTTCTCACCATCAGTATCAGTCGCTGTTCGCTGACACACGCTGCAGACTCCTCCCCTATCCGATACGACCCGAGTTCAAGCCCAGGCCGATCTGTAAGACCGCCGCACTCGCACTCTGACCTGCGCAGCGAGAGCAGCAGCGGTCTCTTCGTTTCCGACCGTTCCGCCACCGCCCGCTCCCGCAGAGGCGACATCAACTCCGACGCCCTGGGGCCGTCTTCTCGCTCCGTCCGTCGCCTCTTCGTCGACGAATCCGGCCGTGTGACGCGGGAACACGCCGCAGCACCCGCACCCCTGGGGTCGGATGCCGCCTCGTTCAGCAATCCGGATCCGCACACCTCCGAAGCCGATCGCCTGGCCGGCCAGGGCCAGAGCATGATTTGGGGTACCACCGTCTCCATCGACGACACCTTCAACGCTTTCAAGGACTTCTTGCGCCACTTTACCCTCAAATACCGTATGTACAGAGACGGCGCTACCGAGGCCGACGTGCACGACGCTCCCGATGCCAACTCCAAGCCCTACTGGGAGGCCCTCGAGAACATGCTTCTCCTGGGCAGCACGAGACTCTACCTCGACATTTCCGACCTCAACCTCTACCCCCCCACGCGCAAACTGTGGCACCAGATCCAGGCCTACCCGCAGGAGATTGTGCCCGTCATGGATCAGTCCGTCCACGACTTGATGGTGGAGCTGGCCAGGACCGAGACCCTACGTCAGCGCTCACAGAGCTCCACCGGCCCGGGGTCGCAGCGCAACAGCAACAACAACAACAACAATCCGAGCTCGCAGAGCTCCGAGCCCATGTTCCCCAGCTCGGATCGGCCGGATGAGCCCCCCTCGCAACGGTCCCAAGCCGACCAGCCCTCGTTGGAGGATAGCGTCTCGCAGATGATCTACATGGTGCGTCCCTTCGGCCTGGACAAGATCACCAACCTACGAGACCTCAACCCGTCCGACATGGACAGGCTCATCACCATCAAGGGTCTCGTCATCCGGACCACCCCGGTCATTCCCGACATGAAGGACGCCTTCTTCCGCTGCAACGTCTGCAACCATTCCGTCAACGTCGGCCTCGACCGGGGCAAGATCCGCGAGCCCACCGAGTGCCCCCGCCCTCGCTGCGCCCAGAAGAACTCGATGCAGATCGTCCACAACCGCTGCTCGTTCGAGGACAAGCAGGTCATCAAGCTGCAGGAGACCCCCGACGCCGTGCCGGCCGGTCAGACGCCGCACTCGGTCTCCGTCTGTGTGTACAACGAGCTCGTGGACTTTTGCAAGGCCGGTGATCGCGTGCAGCTGACGGGCATCTTCCGCGTCAACCCCGTACGCGTCAACCCTCGCCAGAGGACCATCAAGAGCGTCTACAAGACCTACGTCGACGTCCTGCACGTGCAAAAGGTCGACAAGAAGCGGATGGGTGCCGACCCGTCTACCCTGGTCATCGAGGGCGACGAGGGAGACGATGCCGCCAGGGCCGACAACAACAACATGGAGCAGACGCGGAGAATCACGCCCGAGGAAGAGGAGAAGATCAAAGAGACGGCGGCGCGGGACGACATTTACGAGCTCCTGTCGCGATCCCTCGCGCCGTCCATCTTCGAGATGGACGACGTGAAGAAAGGCATCCTCCTGCAGCTCTTCGGCGGCACGAACAAGACCTTCCAGAAGGGCGGCAGCCCCAAGTACCGCGGCGACATCAACGTCCTCCTCTGCGGCGACCCGTCCACCTCCAAGTCGCAGCTCCTGGGCTACGTGCACAAGATCGCCCCGCGCGGCGTCTACACCAGCGGGAAGGGCTCCTCGGCCGTGGGCCTGACGGCGTACGTGACGCGCGACCCGGAGACCCGCCAGCTCGTCCTCGAATCGGGCGCCCTCGTCCTGTCGGACGGCGGCGTCTGCTGCATCGACGAGTTCGACAAGATGTCCGATGCGACCCGCTCGGTCCTCCACGAAGTCATGGAGCAGCAGACCGTGTCGGTGGCCAAGGCGGGCATCATCACCACCCTGAACGCCCGGACGAGTATCCTCGCTTCTGCCAACCCCATCGGCAGTAGGTACAATCCGAATTTGCCGGTTCCCCAGAACATCGACCTGCCGCCGACGCTCCTGTCGCGTTTTGATCTCGTGTATTTGATCCTCGATCGCGTCGATGAGAAGAATGACCGTCGACTGGCTCGCCATCTTCTCTCCCTGTACCTTGAAGATGCGCCCGACTCGGCGCCTTCGAACAATGACATTCTCGTAAGTTTTGCTTCTTTGCCAATTCATTCAAAAGAAAGAAGAAAGAAAAAAAGAAAAAAAGAAATCTAACACCACGTCAGCCCGTCGAGTTCCTCACCTCCTACATCTCCTACGCCCGCGCCACCATCCACCCCACCATCTCGCAAGACGCCGCCCAAGAGCTCGTCGACAGCTACGTCGAGATGCGCAAGCTGGGCCAAGACGTCCGCGCCGCCGAGAAGCGCATCACCGCCACGACGCGCCAGCTCGAGTCCATGATCCGCCTCGCCGAGGCCCACGCCAAGATGCGCCTCTCGCACACCGTCACCCGCGCCGACGTGAAAGAGGCCGCCCGGCTCATCCGCTCCGCCCTCAAGACCGCCGCCACCGACGCCGAGGGCCGCATCGACATGAGCCTGCTCACCGAGGGCACCAGCGCCGCGGAACGCCGCCGCCGCGATGAGATCAAGGACGCCACGCTGCGCTTGCTGGACGACATGACCGCCGGCGGACAGGCCGTGCGGTGGGGCGAGGTGGCGCGCTTGTTGGGCGAGGGGTCCAGCGTTCCGGTGGAGCAGGCCGAGTTTACCGAAGCCATGCGCGCGCTGGAGATGGAGGGGTTGATTCTGGTGGCTGGGGAGGGGGCTAGGAGGACTGTGCGGCGTGTCACTGCTGTTGTCTAGGAGGGAGCAGATCCGACGATGTGATGCTCATGTTCGTAACGGAAAGGGAGATTCGTGATTTACAGATGCAACTCCAAGATCGATTTCCAGATTCCACCAACTCATGAGAACCAAAACACCTCATACAACAAACCGAATTGCTCCGATCCATGCATCGATCTCTATGGGGTTTTTTCTTCTTCTTTTTCCTCTCTTTTCTGCCCCTGCTTGCTTTCCCTCACCAATACTCCCGACTCCGCCCCTCGACAACGAAATTGATAATGACAGACACGAAAAGGGCGGCGCAGAGGGCGCTCGGCCCCCAGCGGTCGTAGTACTTGACGTTCCGGCGGTTGCGGATGGCGGCGCTGCGGTACAGGTAAATGGCGACGGAGTAACAAATGGAGAGGACGGCGAGGAGGGTGAAGATGCCGGCGACGATGAAGGAGGCGCTGGTCGGGCTCGCGCTGAAGTTGAGGAGCGTCACGGCTACCGCGCCCACGTAAATAGAGTATTCGAGCTGTTTTGTTTATTTTCCGCGTTTCCCGTCAGCAAAACTGGAAATAGAGGAGTAGGGAAGAGAGAGAAAAAAAAAAAGAAGAAGAGCGTTTGTCTCACCCATCCCAGGAACGTCCTCTCCGCCGCAAAGTACACCTTGGGCTCAACCCGCACGGGCACGTAGATCTTCGTGCCGGGCGGTGCCTTGAACTTCTTGGTCTGCACCTCGCCCGGGCCGAAAAGCCGTTCCTGCGCCTCGCGTCGCGGGATGCGCTCGGCCCGCGGGTAGGGGACCAGCCACTGGAGGGCTTCCAGGGTATGGTGCGCAAACTCCGACCCCTTGACGCTGGCGAGGGTGGAGTAGTACGTCCAGCCGCCCAGCCGCCTCGCCTCTTCGAGCCGGTCGTTGTCGTCGTACTCGTCGTCCGAGTAGTAGATGTAGTCCCCGTTTGATGTCGTCGCCGCTGCTGCCGCGATGGCGTCTGTCGTGGTCTGGTCTTCGACGTCGAGAGCGCCGTCTCCGCGTCTGCCCGTCGCTCCGGGAGCTGCGGCGGATGGTTCACCCTCGGTTGCAATGCTACGGGCCCCTGCTGCTGCTGCTGCTGCTGCAGGTGCTGCAGGCCGGGGGAAATCGTCCTTGTCGGAGTCGTAGTCGTCGTCGTCCTCCTCCTCCTCCTCCTCCTCGTCTGAAGTCGTAGTGGTCGTCGAATGCTCCAGCCGGTGCTGGATACCAAAGTCGTGGCTAACGGGTTTCCGAATGTCCACGTCCATCTGGGGCATCCAGAAGGGGAGCAGATGGATACGTCCGGGGAACAGGCACGCCACGCCGTGGATGAACTTGGAAAACTTGGGCACGGCCTCGACGAGGTGGCTCGAGATGAGCTGACGCACCCACTCGGGCGGCTCCTGTCCCAGCTGGGTCTGGAGTTTGACTTCCAGGATGGCGTAGGGGAAGCGCGCCACGTCCTTGGGCGGGAGCTGGGAGAACGGGTAGTCGACGCCGATGTCCATGCGCCTCCAGTTGTCGCCGGAGCGTCGGACCCCGTCGAGGTTGTCCTCGCGGATCATGGTCAGCTCGGTATCGAGGGAGATGCGGACCCGCGCATCGGCCGGCAGCTGGAAGGCCGTACGGTTGTAGAAGGACCGACAGACGGGCCTGTACCCGTGCTTGAGGACGGAGTACTGGACCTCGGCGGCGAGGCGCTCGTCCTCGTCGATCTGCTTCTTGGGCTTCTTGCCCTCCTTCCGCGCCTTTTCGAAGATGGCGGCGGGGAGGAGCTCGCCGCGCATGTAGGCGTTGACGTTCTTCTCCTTGAGGGAGAAGCGCGCCTTGACCGACTTCTCGCCGGTCCAGTCTTCGCGGTGGGTCTTGCGCTCGACGAAGATGTTCTCGCTCTGCATGCCACCGTACCAGCGCAGGCGGATGGCCTCGGCGCCCTCGGACTTTTTGAGACGGCCCTCGTACAGCTCCCAGGTGTCCGGGTTGTCGTAGTAGATGGAAGTGATGGCCGAGTCCTCGGGCTCGAACTCCTTGCTGGCGTTGAAGACCAGCACGGGCAGGTGCTTGAGGATGACGAGCTTGAGCTCGGTGACGTTGTCCGGGTGGACCCAGTACTTGGTCGTGTTGCGGACGAAGCTGCCCTGGGATCCGCCGGCGGCACTGTCTCCCTTTACCGGGTTACCGCGTGTCCGGACGAGGTTGTAGAGTTTCGACAGCTGGACGACCGAGGCGTCGTAGTTTTCTTTGTAGAAGGGCTTCGCTTTGAGTCGCGCATCGAAGGCTGGTTTCAAGTGCCAGTTGGTCATTTTCTGCAAGTATTCCAAGAAACATGTCAGTAAGGGGTTCTTCCTCTAAAGGCCGACATTTGAAGGGTCTCATGCAAAAACGTACGTCGTGTTTTTTGATAATCTTGTAGAACCCGGTATAATTGAGCTGGACAAACTTGGAAAGGTCGTGGACATCGGCGATGATATCACTGAGGACCTCCTCGAGCAGGATAAACTCCTCCTCGCTGGGCCCCGGCTCCTGGGGCCCCCGCTCGTTGAGCCGGTTGACGACGCTCTCGACCTCCTTCTCGCTGACGACGATGCGCCTCGTAATCTCCCTGGCCTTCACCTGCTGTTTCGTGTGCACCTTGTCGAGCTCCATCTCGAGCTTCTTCACGAACCGGGTCTCGTCGTCTTCGGTCCATTCGCGGCGGCGTTCGGTGGGCTGGGTCGCGGCGGCCTTGCCCTTGGGGTCGTCGGCGTTGGCCTTGGCGTCGGGGGTTGTTACGGGGACCACGTCGCCCGAGGCAGATTTGAGCTCATCCTTGAGCCCATTGTAGTCGATGTAGTACCATTGGTACTCGCGGATGATACTCGACCGGAGCTGTTGGCCGAATTTCATGACGATGACGCCGGGTCGGGGGCGCCAGGAAGGGTCGGTGTCGGTTGGTCGGCGAGTCGATCTCCAGGATGTCTCGCGCGTGGTGAGGTCTTGTAGGATTAGCATGGAACAAGAGAAGCCGAGAAGCCGAGAAGCAGTGGAGGATGGGAATGCGGAGTGTGAGTTGGAGGGGGAAAGGATGCATGTGATGGGATTGATACGCACCAAAGCCGAGACAGGGATATAGAACAGAATATAATAATAGAATAATAATGCTTCGTAGGACCTGGTAAGGTGATGTGATACAAATACCCGACGTGTGTGCTGCAATGCAGGGTGCAGAAGTGCAGAAAGGAATATTTAATGCGACGAGGGGATAGGGAAGTGGACAAAATGGACGAGAGGAGGTCTCACTTCTGCAACCACAGACCAGTGAACTAGTAATTTACTGCTATGTAGTAGTCGGAGCAAAAGAGGTCATAGAATCGGGTCACTAGGACTTGTGATGATGTAGTAAAGTACGGATAGCCGTCCTGTACATGTGTATCTCCAGTAGTAGTTCCCCACTTTCTGTCCGTACTAAGCAATCTCTGAGAAGCAAAAAACCACCGAATTGCCCAATCAAGAGGCTTACGATAGCACGTGTCCGCTCGGGACGGTCACTCCCAGGTATAGGTACGCACATATACGGATAGTCGGATGCGGATCTAGAAACGAATACATCATGGACGTCCACACCCACAAACAAGTGGTTATATCCAATGTGGGGTGTCTCTCAGCTGTCACCATCTGGTGTCACCTGTGCGGGGCAGCTTCACAGTTCACGGTTCACAGGTCAACCCAAAAATTCGAAAATGAATCTCGGCGGGGTACAAAGAAATAAGGTATCGTTCGAGGGTCACCTCCTCCCAGCCTACCCATCTACCTACCTACAGATTCTAGCAAACCCATCGCGCGGGCCTGAAAGAAGCCGTCGTTCGGCTTCCAGCATCCCCAGCCATGGCGATAACCATAGACGACTCAATGTCGGCCCGCATCTCCCCCGACTGCCCCGACGACACCAAACAGCTCCTCTACCACGCCTGGGCCCACGACACCTCCGACCTCAAAAGACTCCTCGACGTGCCGGGGAAAGCGAGCGCACGCGACCCGACCACGGGAGAAACGCCCCTCCACGCTGCCATCCGCGCCTGCGGACCCGCGCCGCGGCAATCCGACGATACCGATGCTGCCGACGCCGAGGCCGACGACTCCGTCACCCAGGAAGCAGCCGAGACCGTCCACGAGCTCTTTCTCTCCGGCGCCATCTGGAACGACGTCGACTCCAACGACGAGACCCCCGGCTGCGTCGCCTGGCGTCTAGGCCGGAAAGACCTCTACCGACTCTGCCTCGAGGCCGGCGTGCGCGCCGAGCTGCTCTTCGGCCTGTTCGACGGCTACGAGGAGTTGTCGTCCGGCTCGTCCGCCGAGGAGAACGAGGACGACGTGGAGATTATCAACGTCGAAGATGCGGCGCCGGCCGAAGGGGAGAATGGTGTAGCAGTCGGTGGAAAAGAGGAGGGGGAGACGGAGCATGACAACAACAACAACAACAACAACAACAACCCCAATAAAGCGCCAGCAGCAACCCCCCCGGCCGAGACGCAGGACGTCAACTCGGAGCAATACCTCGCCTCCCACCTCACCTACGACCCCACCAAGCTAGTCGACGACCAAGGCAACGGCGTCATGATGGTTTGGGAAACCTCCATCATGCGCCGCTCCGTCGACACCCTCCTCCGCAAAACATCTTCTTCCCCGGAGATCAACAGCGCCGCGGCCACCCCGACGCCGACCCCGACCCCGACCCCGACCCCGCTCGCCGAGGGGAAACGCATCCTCAACATCGGTTTCGGCATGGGTATCGTCGACCGCATGTTCGCCGCCACCACCCCCGCCCGCCACCACATCATCGAGGCCCACCCCGCCGTCCTCGCCCACATCGACGCCGGCAACACCGCCTTCGGCCCCGCCTGGGAGGCGTCCGGTCCCGAAGACGGCGCCTACAAGGTCCACCGCGGCCGCTGGCAGGACGTCGTCCCCCGCCTCCTCCAGGCCGGCGAGCTGTACGACGCCATCTACTTCGACACCTTCGGCGAGGACTACGCCCAGCTCAAGCTGTTCTTCTCCGACTACGTCCCCGCCTTGTTGGACCACGACGGCCGGTTTGGCTTCTTTAACGGGCTGGGCGCCGACCGGAGGATATGCTACGATGTCTATACCAAGGTGGTCGAGATGCACATGGTCGACGTGGGCTTGGACGTGGAGTGGGAGGAGATCCATGTCGATCTGCAGGGTCTGGAAGAGGCGGGCAAGGGCGAATGGGAGGGCGTGCGGAGGAGGTACTGGACCTTGGACAGTAAGTTGCCTCTTTCCTTCTGTCTCTGACCTTCGTTCATACTCACAATGGGGTACAGAGTACCGCTTACCGATATGCACCTTTATGGGCGGAGATATCTGCTGAGGCAAATAAGAAAAGTCGATTTCTCAACTATATGTGTCATGGGGATCATCAGCACCTAGTCGGCATAGCTCGTGAATTATCCTCATGACGTATTCCTCCTGATTTTCATGTCTTTTTTTGTTTTTTTCTCTCTTATTACTCCGTTCATCTTTCTGCCCGCTTTGCTTTCCCTCTAGCCCGAGTCGCCGTGCGGTGATGGGTATCTCCTTCCCTTATGCGCCTTCATTTTTCATGCATCCTTCACGAAAAATAACTGTCGCTTATCGAAAGTTCTCCGGGTGCAACACGCCGGCGAGGTTGCCTTGGTGGACACGCTTGATCGTCAGGGCGGCGATGAGCGCGGCGCCGACACCACTGCCGTCCTCGGCAGCCAGCACCTCAATGGGGTCCTCCTCGGTGGGGTCCTTCTTCTCGGGCCAGTCGAGGATCTCGCGCAGCGCCTGCGCGCCCCTAGCCTTGAAGTGGGGGTACTTGTTGAAGACGGAGCCATCGGCGCCGACGTGGCACGTGTCGTAGCCCTTCTTCTTGCAGATGGCGGAGATGCCGCAGGCGGAGAGTCGTGCCGCGCGGGTGCCAATGAGCTCGGCAAGACGACGGACAAACTCGAGCTCCGCGCGAGAGGGGGCGATGTTCAGCTTGCTGACAAAGAGATCGTAGGTCTCCTGCAAGTTCTCGAAGGGGTCCCTGAGTTTTTTGTTAGGCCTGACCGGTTCATTGAGGTAGAAGAGTCGTGGGGTTCGGGGTGAAGAAGAGTAAGAAAATGAAGAAAGGAAGGGGAAAAAGGAAAGGGGAAGGGAAATTTTGCTATTCCACTTACTCCTCAATGGCGGACAAAAAGGACGAATCCAGAGAATAGGCCTTGCGGAGAGCAGAGATATCCTGACCCTTGAACATCTTGATGGGCTTGTTATCGTGCATATCCTCCAGGATAAGGCGGAAGATCTCGCCCAGGTAGAGACCGGCGATCATCTTCTCAAAGGCCTGCTGACCCGGGCGGGGCGAGTCGCGGTCGATGATGATGTCGTAAGGCGTACGTGGGAGGACGATGTGCTCGTTGTCGAAGGCGCCCCATTCGCAGTTGATGGCCATGAGGGCGTCGGGGGGCAAGTTCATGTGGGCGAGCTTGGGGATGGAACCGCAGTTCTCCATGTAGGCGGCGTTGCAGCCCGTGCCGAAGATACACCCGATCCTCATCTTGGGGTCCGTGTAGGCCGACGCGATCAAGGTACCCGTAGTGTCGTTGATCAAGGCCGTCAGCCGGATGGGCACGTTCTATATTTGTTTTCCGTTAGTGATGAGCAAGAAAAAAGGGAAAAAAAGAAAGAAAAAAGAAAGAAAAAAGAAAAAAAAAGGTCTGGGAGGTTAAGAAATAAGTACCTTAGCCGCCAGCGAAGCTTTGAGCAGAGGAACGACATTCTTGCCCTCAACACCGGCAATGTCGAAACCCTTGGTCCATCGCTGGAGGATGCCCTCGTCGATGTAGTTCTGGGTAGCGGGGTAGGAAAAGGTGAAGCCCAGAGGAAGCTTCTCGCCCTTGGGCAGGTTGGGGTGGTGGGTCTCGACGAACTGCAGAAGGCAGTCGGCAATGTAATCCCAGAGCTCCTCGGAGACGCCGGTCTTGAGCTCCTCGGGCATGCGGTACTTGGACTGGATAATGTCGAACTCGGACTTTTGGTCGGTCAGAGTGATCTCGCAGACACGGAGGTTGGTGCCTCCCATGTCAAGGGCGAGAAAGGTACCGGTTTCGTGGCCATCCGGGAAGGACATGACCCAGGTCGGGTTCATCGGCTGTTATTACTATTAGCATGCCGAACAAAGTGAAGGTTCAGTTCATTCCTATGATGGAAATTAGGGGCACGGCTTCTTACAATGCTGCCGCCCTCGACACTGAGACCTAAGTGGTACCATTATGATTAGCATCCAGACAGTGGTTTGCTACTCGAGACTTGAGGACAAGAAAGTGGGCTCACCCTTTTCGAGTTCAGAGACGAAGTGGTTAGTGATCTCCTTGAGCTTGGAGGCCGGAACAGTGAGCTGGCGCTCAAGTTCCTTGGCCTGCTCGAGGAGATCCTGCGACAACTCGGTCATGGAGCCTTGATTGTCAGAGCCGTCAGCTAGATTTTTCACGATGTAATGCTGAAGACGCGCGCTTGATGGTGAATGTGAAGTGGATGTCAATATGCAGAGGGTAGTGTGAGAGAGCCTTGGAGGTATGGTAGAGAGTCTCACAGCGCGCAATTCCTTGGGTAAACGCGCAGGTAGGTTTTTTTCGTTCAAGGAAAAAAAGAAGAAAAAACCAAGAAAGAACGCGGTGAGAATAAACACAGGAAAGAATATCAAAGGAAGGTGCGAGGTAGAGTGAGGTTCCTTCCCACTGCAAACAGCCGGGATGACGTCGCTGAGGTGTCAGTAGGTGTCAGTGGGTATATCCACGGTATATCCACCTCAATTTTGGTGCGCTGATAGACAACAACAGCTCTAACCCAAGATTGTGGAGCCACCTATGTTTGTCATCTTTAAGAAGGTACCTTAACAAAGGCAGATGGGACGGAGAGCGGTCTAGAAGCTGGAGGAATAAGGTAGTACAGAATGTAGATAGGGAAAAGGGGCACGGAGTATAAGGGTAGTGAGTTTAGTGAACCATCCCGTCCGCGATGGGGCCGCTTAGCGCAGAGGTTAGGCGCAACATGACATAGGTAAGGAGACGAGATGGCACCTGACTCGAATAGCTGCCTTCTGAACTTGAAGGTGAGGTCGGGGAGCAAACAAAAAGAAAACGGCGAAGAGATAAGCGAGGGGTGCAGAATCAGGGGTTTGTTTGTATGCAAGCGTTATGTTGTGATACTGGCGCCGACATTCCCACGCCTCATCGCGTGCCAGTGCCAGTCCGGTGTCGGAATGGCTACACCGAGCATCATTCCTTCGGGGCAGAAACCCTCTCTCTCTCTCTCACAGGCACACATTCCTTGCCATGATCGGATGTCAAAGTAACACCAAGCGTAACTTACCCTTGCGGCTGGGCGGTGCCTTAGGACCCAAACCAACCATGGTGATGACTGATATCGGAGGAAGCTTTCGTGACAGCGGGGCGGGCTCTAAAGGAGCTAGGAGGACGGGAACGGCGGGACGTTGTCGAGGATGGGTGTCTTTGTCGTACAGAGGGCGCGATTGGCAATGAACTAGTCGATTACTGATCGAGGATGGATAGTTGAGACTTGAGAGGCTGTCGACTAAGATGCCGTACTTATACTTTACCAACAAGCTAGTACGTCGAAGTTGGGAAAGACGAGACGGGTCGTGGGAGCTCTACGAGGAGGTGAAAAGAGAACGATCAGATGAAGTTGAGGGGTACGTCTGTGATAGTGCGATAGCTGACGACGCGGGGGTAGGGTCGTGTCCGGATGACCCGAGGCGGGGCATTCCAGGTACATGCCTCTAAGTAGATCTTCTACGCTCGTACAAGGTACCACGACATGGCCCACACCGACCTCGTGGGTTGTAACTGCTTCGTGACTAAGCACTCCATTCCATGTACGCGTACAGACGGTGGACAATGCAATGCGTGGGGGAAAGACGTGGAGATTGAAAGCTCCCAGGAGATGGTCATGGTCTCAAACCCCAACCAGGAGGCACGAAGTCAAGCCGGCTCATGGTTCTCAATTGAATGCTAGCACAATGTTTCTGTACTCTAAGGCAGCTGCTCCGCCCTGACAATGCTACGTTCAAGAACTAGCACAGCGCTTTGTTGCCCATCATTTCCTTGTCATTCTCTTTTTCGTGTCTAAGATGCCCTATTGATGATCTCAGACGTGAGACGTCCTTATCCTTCTCTTTCTGCAAGACCCGGGACGCGTAGCAATTATCCCCCGTTGACGATCTTCGACCATGTCCCCCGACCGATCGATTGAGGACAATTGGATTGATGGTGTCGAGCGGATGGGAAAGTACGAGCCTGGCGGCTACCATCCTGTCATGATCCACGGCTTCCTCCACGGTCGCTATCGAATAGTGGACAAGTTGGGATTTGGTGGTTACTCGTCTATCCGGCTCCCTCAGGACGATCGATTAAAACGCTATGTCGCCGTCAAAGTGGGAGTGTCTAATCCATCACCCTCCCGACGCAGCCAAGTATCCTACGCGACCTGTCTCGCTCAAGGTCCACAACATCATATACTACCCATATAACTATCGATGCAAGTGACGGCATACCAAGCATCTTGGATAAGTTTGATATCCAAGGACCCAACGGGACACACCCATGCTATACAATGGCCCCTGCGCAAGGAAATCTCAAAGAAGCATCATTTAGTCGTCTCTGTTACCTTGATCCACTCACGTGGATTCGTCCATGGAGGTTGGTCTATTATCCCTGATAACCAGCCAAATCAAACTACCTAGACCAGTTATAGATATTCGTCTTCGGAATGTGTTGGTCAAACTCCCATCGACATTTGACGAACTCTTAATCGAGCGTCTCGGAAAGGACTGCAAAACGCCCGTGGCTAAGATGGCACCAGAGGCTCTTTTTGAACCATCGGATACTCGATCCTCCCTCGCAAGGGCAAGAGGTAAGAAGGATCATGCAGCGCAAGCCGCGTCAGATATGGAATGCAAGTTCTATTTATTGTTGTCCTCTTAAGCTCCTCTGACGGGCAGGAGACATAAAAAGACGGACCACACAACACTTCCAAAACGAGAGAACATTGCAAATGCCGACAGTCGGGAGTCCAGGGAACGCTAACCGGCAACCGGACACTAGTGAGGCAAACCGTCTGCCAAGAGAGCTTCAATGAACCTCAAGCTTTGCGCTGGCGCGACTATCGCAACTATCGCGACATCACATGACAAAATCAGATACCTAACAGAAAATCGCCGAAGAAGAATCCAGACCTCGTGTTCGTATCACGCCGTTGCACCAGCAATTGCACCTCTAATTACACATACACATACACATACAAGGCGCAAAACTTCACTGCCGCAGTTTGAGGTCGGTAAGCTAGGGAACTACGCTTTATCAGGCAGGCGACTCAGCGGCCCGCACATAATACGTTGACCTAGTGTACATACAAAGTAAAAGCGGGATTGTTCCCCTGTCGAGTAGGTAATGCGATCGACCAGGTTCACGAATAATGCGACCTTCCCCATCTGGCAAGAAGTCGTCAAGTCGCCTTCGACGGAGCCTCTTCTACCCACCATCCTTCGTTGGCCCGTTGGCCACCCGCCACCCGTCCTACCTGCGCCTCCGCCCGCCCGCACATGGCTTCTTGCGGCACTCAATGCTCAACGCTTAAATGCCACTTCCGCTTTACTTGGTAGAGCTTCCCACCTACCTACCTACCTACCTAGTTGGCAACGATCCCCGCTGCATCCCCGGTTGTGGTGGACTCGCTGCTGTTTGTGCGAGATGGCGACACGGTGATCATGGCGAATCAGCATCCAGACCGAACGAGATGATGGGCCCGGATTGTGTATCCGTAGTCTCATCCCCCATTCCTTGGGTAACGAATTGTTCTGGTAAAATGACCAGCTCAGGGTACCCCCCTTCAGCATCGTTAAAAAGAGGACCACCCCCCCGGCTCCCAAAACATATAGCTACCCGGAGCTTTTCTTCTGCCCCCCAGGCCGTACCAGACCGCGGACTCGTCTCGACCTTACTTCTCCTCCCGTACTACCTCCCAAGTTCGGGTTCACACATACCAGCCAGCTTCTCCTCCGCTTTGAGCTTTGAATCATGAAGTTCACTGACGTGCCGGCCCTTTGGGCCCTGCTACTGCCCCTGGCCGCGGCGAAGCCCGACTGCAAGCCTCCCGTGGAGTCTGAGACGCTCCAGGAGCTCATCACAGAGGAAAAGTTCGTACAACGAAAGCTCTAGCTGCCCATCTCGTCTCGTTGTTCGCTTTATTGCTAACGCACAGTCTGCAGCTTGATGGCCAACCTGGAAGAGCTCAACAGGATCGCCTACGCAAACGGCGGTAACCGCGCCTTCGGTCTCCCCGGCTACGACGCCTCCGTCGACTTCATCTACGGCGAAGTGTCCAAGCTCAAGGGCTTCACCGCCTGGAAGCAAGACTTCCCCGCCCTCTTCACCCAGACCACCGCCCAAAACGTCACCGTCGACGGCGAGACCTTCCGCACCGTCGCCCTCACCTACACCCCCAGCACCCCCGAGGAGGGCCTCACCCTGCCCCTCGCCCTCGCCCCCGACGGCCCGGCCGGCTGCTCCGCCGACAACTACGAAGGCCTCGACGTCGCCGGCAAGATCGTCCTGGTCGAGCGCGGCCTCTGCCCGGACCAGACCACCTTCGCCGGCAAGGTGAGGGCAGCGTCAGCCGCCGGTGCCGTCGCCGTCGTCATCTACAACTCGGACTCGGCCCAGCTCACCGGCGGCTCCCTCTCGGCCCCGAGCGAGGACTACATCCCCGTCGCCCTGATCGACCAGGGCCCGGGCCAGGCCCTCAGGGCGCGCCTCGAGGCCAACGAGTCCGTCGAGGCCTTCGTTCAGGTGGTCCAGATTATCGAGGAGCGCATGACGCAGAACGTCTTCGCCGAGACCAAGGGCGGCGACGCCTCCAACCTCGTCGTGCTCGGCGCCCACCTCGACTCCGTCCAGGCCGGCCCGGGCATCAACGACGACGGCTCCGGCTCGACCCTGATCCTCGAGCTGGCCCGCGCCCTGCAGCACTTCTCCACCAACCTGAAGGTCCGCTTCGGTTGGTGGGGCGCCGAGGAGAACGGCCTCTGGGGCTCGCGCTACTACGTCAACAACCTGACCCCGGCCGAGGTCGACGACCTCCTCCTCTACCTCAACTTCGACATGGTGTCGCGCGGCTACTTCGGCGTCTTCGACGGCTCCGGCGAGAACGCCGCCCCCGGCGGCGCCCCGGGCTCCGAGGTCATTTCCGAGCTCTTCACCGAGCACTTCGCCGCCCAGGGCATCGAGACGAGGCCCGTGGGGCTGACCGGCGGCACGGACTACGTGCCCTTCATGACCCAGATCAACAAGCCCGTCGGCGGCCTGTTCACGGGCGCGAGCATTGCGGAGGATGACTGCTACCACCAGGCCTGCGACAACATCGAGAACCCCGATCCCGAGACCCTCGCCGTCAATGCCAAGGCGGCGGCGCACGTTCTGAGTATCCTTGCGCAGGAGGGTGCCGAGCTGGTCCCCAAGGCCAACTCTACTGTCGGCTTCCTCAAGAGATCGAGCGATCCTTCCCGGGTGTTTGACTTTGGCGCGCACCACGGCAAGTACTGCGATCATGATATTATCTAGACGGTATCTGCTGGATAGATTAAGTGTACATCACAAAATAAATAAATTTGATACCTGCGAAAGGTGCTGGACCTCCTGAGTTGAATAAGCGATGTTTGTCCGCTCATGAAGCTCGCGCTTACCATGTCCCCGCCGTGGAGGTGATGGATGGATCGCCCCTGTGATGGAATTTTGACACTGTTGCCTTGTCGTTGCTTGGTGAACAGTTTTCGCCTTGGAAAATGGTGTACATTACGGGAACTTCAGTTTCCTTCGTAAGGTATATTGGCGAGGGAACATCATGAGGCTTGATTCGTGGCGAGTGATCGATCTGTACTTCGTAAGGTACGTGGCACATATCGTGGCTGAATCCCGTGCATTATACCTTAGCCACATGTGATACAGACTGTGGCGCAGCACATCACAGTGGTCCGTGCGTCTAGCAACGTAGCCGTAACCTTGGAGAGCTGCAACAGTTTGGCTGATCTCCTAATCGAGTGGGAAGTTGACAAACCGGCAATGGAATAAACAGGTGTCAATTGCTCCCAGCTTCACCTCATATTACGCGTACTCGATTGTCGTCGTCGATTCTCAGCGCCCGTTCAGTCGACGAGAAGGCTGGTCGACTCTTCCCCGACCATGAGAGCCTTCACCCTCGCCGCCGGGCTCCTCAGCCTGGCGTCTACGGCCTTTGCAAGCTCCGACTCGACATCCAAGGTCGCCGCCCCAGCGACATTCCAGCCTCCCCAGGTGTTTAAGAACGCCAATCTCGTCCACATAATCTCCCTCGAGAAGAATTACGCCAAGGAACAAATAAACGTGGTCATCGAGAACATCGACAAGGAGCCGCAAGATGAATACTACCTGCCGTTTACCGCCGATCAGATGTCGCGGGTCGGTGGTCTCGAGGTCAAGGACAGGAAAGATGACGCGGCCGGTCCCTTTGTTGTAGAAGCTGTCGCCATTGACCAGGAGAGGTACGACTCTTGCGCAAGCCCCGTGGTGGGTGTCGTCACTTTGCCGCGCACCTACGCTAACAGTTTTTCTCTCCTCCTCAAATTAGCGACATCCAATACTACCGGATCCGTTTGCCGGTTCCCTTGAAGGCGGGCGGCCAGCAGACGCTTGGAATCTCCTACTACTACCTGAAAGCATACACCCCGCTCCCGGCTTCGATCGCGCAGGACGAGAGGCAGTTCCTCGTGTACGACTTTTCCGCCTACTGCCCGTCCGCCTACACGACGACCAAGCAGAAGACGGAGATCAAGGTCCCCTCCACCAACGTGCCCAGCTACACCAAAATCCCCGGCACCGGCGAAGAAGCCAGCGAGTCCCCGCAGGTCCAGGGCACCAAGCTGACCTACGGGCCCTTCGGCTCGCAGCCCGCGGGGGCGGTCCTCCCCGCCACCATCCGCTTCGAGTTCAGCAAGCCGGTGAGCCACGTGGCGACGCTGGAGCGCGACGTCGAGGTCAGCCACTGGGGCGGCAACGTGGCGTTTGAGGAGCGCTACACGCTGTACCACCGCGGGGCGAACCTGTCGGCGCCGTTCAGCCGGCTGGGGTGGGCGCAGCAGCAGCACATGGGCGGGACGCCGACGTCGGCGCTCAAGGAGCTGCGGTTCCCGCTCCGGGTGGGCAGCGTGTCCCCGTACTACACCGACACGATCGGCAATGTGTCGACGTCTAAGTTCCGGAGCAATAAGCGCGAGGTCGTGTTGGAGACGAAGCCGCGGTACCCCGTCTTCGGCGGGTGGAAGTACCCTTTCACCATTGGGTGGAACTCGGATGCGAAGAATTTCGTCCGCGCCACCGTGGATGGGTCTTATGTCCTGAGTGTCCCGTTCATGGAGGGCCCTAAGCAGCCTGAGGGCGTGGAGTACGAGCAGGTTACTTTGCGAATCGTGCTTCCTGAAGGCGCAGAGTGAGTGCACTCCCCTCCTTTTTTTTTCTTTTTTTCTTTTTTTTCTTCTTTGTTCCCGCGGGCCTCCCCCCACCCCCTCACATCAAGTCACTGTCATGTACGATGCTTTGCTCACACCCCAGCGACAGGAACGTCAAGTTTTACACCAACGTCCCCTCGTCTTCCATCACCGAGGCCTCTATCGACATCACCAGGACATATCTCGACACTGTCGGCCGCACATCTGTCACCATAAAGGCGCAGAACTTGGTGGACGAGTTCCGGGACCGGGAGGTGTACGTCTCGTACGATTACTCTACCATCTCGGCACTGCGGAAGCCCGTCGTCATCTTCAGTAGCGTGTTGCTCCTCTTCGTGGCGGGCTGGGCCGTCGGCGGCCTGAACATTGGGTTTTCCACTCCAAAATAAAGTGGCCGAATGAAGGGTGAGACGGAAAAAGGCAGCATGGGGAAATAAGGCTACCTTATTGGGCTGGGATTTTATGCTCTCTTCCTTTGCGTTTGCTCTGTATCTACTTGTACGTGTAAGACCATCAGTCGGACCCTGAGGTCCCCTCTCCGTGGGGGCTGGCTCTAGATTTAGACGGGATAATGATGATTTGGGAGCTCATAAGTGGCCCTGATAATTACTACGGGTGAATCTGGGCGCCGGAATCCATTAGGCGGGCCCTATCTCGTTGCGCACCATAGTTGGATGGCCGCATAAGGTATGCGCATGGAGACAAATGTGGTATTCACCAGGTGCTGTGACCTGGGAAGCATCGGTTCTGTATACGAGGTGGCACAGAGGATACAATGGTCGAAGCCTCAACCGCATGTTAATTAGTTCTCGCGCTGCATGGCGAAACCGGAACCTCGACATGAATCCGGCCCTCGTGGCATTTTCCCCCTCCCCTTGCTTCATTGGCGTTTCATCGTCGGGGCTTTTATGCCTCTCGACTCCAACCCGTGCATAAAGAAGCGACAGGGAGGCTTTTCTTCCCTCCGATAAATGGCGCCATCATAATAAAGAAGATATACTGAGAGGTTGCGACGCATAAGCTTGGATGAATATAAGCAGACGTTGAATTCTTCCTCAAAGCCGAATCGTGCATTCTTACAGACGAAAGGGTCCTATAATTTGTCTAGGAGATACCGACCACGACTTGGGCTGGTCGAAAAGACAACTGGAACCGTTTTTCTTGGCGGCATCGCCCCGTTCGTTCCAAGCTTTCCACCGGACTCTAGCCCGCTCTATCCACACCATATGACCATCAGATGCCGAATGTCTAATACTCGCGCAGACCTATACCAAGGTTGGTTGGGTACCTAGGTACTTATATATATAATCACACATACCCGCACCTGGGCACACACACTACACCAACCCATCCTCATCGCGGCACACACTCTCTATTCCGCCTCCTCTTATCCCCTTACCTCTCATCAACATTCGCTCGTTCGTTAAAAAATCCCGACAATAAACAACAGTTGTCATTTGATTCCAGTCTGCAACACCATGTGCTTCCCCATCGATACCGGACGCCGCTACTATTACCACCAGGAAACCATCCCGCCAAGGCCCCGGGAGCGTCATTTCCACCGCGATCAACCCTCGCGGGTCAGCTACCACAGGCATCACGGGCATACTCACAGCCCTCGTCCCAGCTCCAGCCCCGGAAGCAGCCGTGTCATCTACGAGCGGACCAGTCGCACGCGATGTTAATCCGATCTACGACTATCATTTTAACGTATCGCGCGGAGCTTTGCGAAGTTCATGGCGTTGACCGCGCACGAGACGAGGACCTGGGTTGTACGGGACATTATGATTATTGATGGGTTTTGCGGATATAAGATAAAGAGCGGTAGAGTTTGTTGTTGCGAATTCGAATGCGCTACCTATGGATACACGTGAGCATGGGGTCATAACGGGCGTTTATTTGATATTTCGGTGTGCGAATATGAATCGATGGGATTGTTTTGGAATATCTAATAAGGTACCTTAGAGAGGAGGGACTCATGGCGGGGTACTTCGTGGCAGAATGTGATGACTGATGCTGACGCACACATGTAATTAGTGGTCACTCCTGAGAAACCCCATCCTGTCTTCCTACGGAGTAAGAAGTAGCTTCCCAAGCTACGGTCAGAAATCTAGTACTTCGCAGATAAAGTGCTTCAGGTGCCAGTTCCCACGGTAAGGTAGCGTGTAATTAAGCAGAGGTGAGGTTGCTCTTTCTGGTGCTCGGGTGTTAGTGGGCCCATTACCAGGAATTTGGTGATGACATCATGGTGGTAGCCCCTCACTGCTCTTGGCCTCCTGGACATCTGTACACTAGGTACTCTGGAGTCCGCACACTCGTCCCATCGCAGCTTGCTATTTTCAGCATTATGCTTCCCCAAGGGTTCCTACTTTGTATTACGTAGTTTCCGCTTCCGCTATAGCTCGGTGGAATTTTGTCATGGGGTTAGGGCTCCGATTGATTACCGTCATCCAACCCCCCCCCCCATTGACAAGTTGACTCTTGTCTCTTCCCCCCCCCACTCCCCCCCTCCCTAATCATCGCGCCTGCTTCTAAAAAGTGACCAATCTGTCGCTGTCGTAGATTATCTCTGCCTCTACCCATATAGGCAGCTTTCCTTGATGGTCTCTACTTTCATACTGCTTTCCTAAATCTAACATCCACCTCATAGTATATTCTGCGTATTGCGACTCCCTGGCTTCCTTGTACTTGCGAAGTTGCTGTATCCTCAGGCTATCAGCACTTTCCTCTACACCCCAGCCAACAAGTTAAAGCACGGTCGTGCCATACGACCCGTCTAAGAGCTTCCGACTGTTAGCTCTCTGCTGACGCTGAGACTTGCCTTCTCACCGTTTCATTTCTACTGTCCGTCTGGGCCTCCTTTCACCATGTAAGTGTTATGCGCAGAACTGTGGCTCATAGGGGACCCTCTCATGCTATTCTATCTCTCTTTTGTCAACAACCTTGACTTGAGACATCCGTTGCTCCATACATACCATTCCCATCATGTCGTCGATCTCTGGCTTTTGCGGGGAGCAGCAGAGGGAGAATCGGCTCTTATCTCTGCTTGCCCTCTCCGCTCCCATCACGTTGGACTTCTCCCGAGTTGTAGACACCCCTTGCCGGACATCCAGTCACTGACAGCAAGTAGGAATCGAGCCCTCTCCATACGCTCCAATAGGAACCGCTCGGGCTCCCAGAACAAGCGCGCCAGCGGGGGCGGCGGCAGCGCCTTCTCCTTCAGCTCCTTGCGCGGGAACATCCAGCCAGAGCTGTCTCGCAAGCTCTACCGCCTCATCAAGGCGGAGAACAACCTCATCTCCGCCCACGAGGCCGCCGGCCGCGAGCGCATCTCCATCGCGACACAGCTCTCTGAATGGGGCGAGCACACCGGTGACGATGCCATCAGCGACATCTCCGACAAGGTCGGGGTGGTCCTCAGCGAGATGGGCGAGCTCGAGGACGGTTATGCCCATGACCTGGACGACTCGCGCGCCATGCTCAAGGCCATTCGTAACACGGAGAGGAGCGTCCAGCCGAGCCGCGATAATAAGAACAAGATTGCCGACGAGATCCAGAGGCTCAAGGTCAAGGAGCCGCAGAGCACCAAGATTGTCGTTTTGGAGCAGGAGCTTGTCCGCGCCGAGGCCGAAAATCTCGTGGCCGAGGCCCAACTGACCAACATTGTGCGTTTCTTCCTTGCTTCCTCCAACAAGAACATGATCTCTTCTTTTTCTGACCTCCCATCGTTTTGTAGACCCGTCAAAAGCTCCGAGATGCCTACGAAGCCGAATTCACCGCTACCATCGAGCGCGCTGAGAAGCAAATTCTCCTCGCCAAGCACGGTCGGCGCCTCCTCCAGCTGCTGGACGATAATCCTGTCGTCCCCGGCGATCTCCGCGCGGAGTATCCCCACGCCCAGCAGGCGCGCCAGATCCTCAACGACGCGGAGGACGACCTGCGCGACTGGCAGCCCCAGCACGACGAGTTTGGCTTTGCCGCTCCGCAAGAACAGCAGCCGGTGTCCAGGGTGTCTACGGGAGAGCAGCCCACCAAGGACGTCAAGGGGAAGGGGAAGATGGTGGATAACGACGAGAATATGAGCATGGCTAGGACGGATAGTCGCACGGAAGGAGGGAGCCCGCTGCGTGGCGACGACAGAACGGTAGAAGGGAGCGTAGGCCAGGGGGAGACGACGCTGTGACATCCCTGAAACTGACTCATTTTTCGGGCTTCGGTGAGAGATCTGCGGTGTTGACGAAGCAAAGGGAATTCAGGTTATTGCCGAGTTAAGTGATGGTAATTTTGTAGGATTAGGGAGGATCCGAACTCGTTGTGGTGCATGGTTGGCCAGAAGCAGAACTATATGTCTTTTCGGATAAGAAATTTGAAGGTCAATCAGTTTATGGTACGAGGTTGTTTTCTTTACTTTCAGGTAGTTTTCTTTCACTTCTTTTATAACGACCAATTTTTATCTTTTTTTCCCCCGGCGTCGTCGTTGGCTTGGTGGAGCATCTCCTGATTCTTACCAGATACCACGGGGTGGATAACCAGTGGAAGAAATTCTGTGCTAGTACCACGAGACCACGGTGATAATATAGCACGGGGAGCACTTCGAAAGAAAGCTGGCCATGTCACAGCTCCGGACAGATGAACAAATATTGACGGTCTCTGGAAACATAAAACAAATTGAAGACGCACTACTTCTTTTCTTCCTTGTTTTCCCCCTCCTTTAAATTACAACATAATCCTCCCGTGACAAATGCAAGCTTTTGACGATTTCACTCGATATCGACCTTGCGGATATTGGCCCACCCCCTCCCAACCCTGGGCACCGTAATGATGAGCAGGCCATCCTGCATCCTGGCGGTGATGCCGTTTCCGTCAATCTCCTCCCTGCCCCCAGTCTCGACGTCGGTGACGGAGATGTGAACTTCCGTTGTGTCTCCGTCCATCAGGGTCACGGTGTCGGGGGTGTCTACCTTTTCGTAGTCGCTGTCCTCCGCGGTTTCAACGTATGCCCTCAGGGGACGCCGGGGCTGTTGTTCAGGCTGTTGTTCAGGCTGTTGTTCAGGCTGTTGTTCCGGTTGCTGTTGAGGCTGAGGCTGAAGCTGAGATTGGGGTTGCTGGCTGGGCTTGGCTCCAGGAGAAGGGGACGGAGGGAGCGAAACGACGCGCTCGAAGTAGCCCACGCGGCGTTCGGCGGTGCCGGGGACGAGGGTCGAGAGGAGGGCTTCGTCGCCGGGGCGGTGGAGGACGCCGGCTATACGGAGCGCGGAGCGGTCGGCGTCCCAGTCTACGGTGATATCTTTTTTCTGGGCGCCCGGCAGGGATACGTGGAGGATGTATGCTGATGGGGTAGCGAAGAGGTCCAGAGGTGGGCGGAAGGCGTCGGCGGCGGAAGAGGGGCCGGCACCGGCACTGGCACTGGCACTAGCATCGGGAACAAAGATCCCGGCAAGAGACTGTATGACTTGGTTGAGAGGATGGGCGTCTTGAACGGGGTGCTCGTGCTCGTGCTCGTGCTCTTGCTCCCGGCTTGTTGGTCGTAAATGGTCCGGGTAGATTTCCGGGGGGGTCTCGGCGGGCACGGACCACACCCGTAACTGGACCAGGACCAGACGCTTTGGGGCTGCGAACGGTGGTGGCGGGTGCCGTGACCCCGAGAATCGAAGCCGCGGCGGGAGTCGCAGGAAGCGAAGGGATGGCCGTGATGGCCGTGATGGCCGTGATGGCGCGGGCGACCGTGGGCATCATGGGAAGCAGGAAAATTGGCGGGATTCTGTGGCCAAGTAATTGCCGTGATCATGACGCCGGCCAGAGAAAGGGTCGCACATTAACATTTGGAAGACATCGACTGGTTCTTGGGCTCTGCTACTTTGCGGCATGGTGGGCATATATGCCAAAGAAGTGTGTTGTCCCTTGGTTAGGTGAGGAAGTTAAATTGGATAATGGCGAGTATGGAAGAGCCGTGGCTTTGAATGTCTGCGAAGCTGTAAAAAAAAAAGAAGAAGAAAAAAGGGCTATATCCCAAGAGAAGGCCAACCCGTCGACTTTTATAGTTGCAGTCGAAACAGCCGGCAGGAGGCGACTTTCAGGCAGAAGATGATGTGTGTCAGTAGGTGAACTACAGCACTAGCCGGTTCCTGATGGTTGCCATGGAGGACGCGTAAGTTTCATGTCTACCATATCATTAGGCCATATAGGTCTTACAAATCTCACGAAGCCAGCAAAGGTAGGAGTGAATTAGATTAGTCTAGCAAGAAATCAATGGTAAGTGTTGGAACTGGCTTATATTAGCAAGAAAGCTGAAATTGTTAACGGTGTTTCAGGGGACGATGAGGGACTACAACCGCCACACCGTTCTAGAGGGTTAATGTCCAGGCACTATAGCGCCACGACACCCACGACATGGGAATTCGTGCAGTGTTCGAAGTGAATCGGGTCTCGATAACTACACGGGCGTTCGGTAAGGTGGCGACAGTCGACTTGACCGAGATTGGACATGGAAGGCCCTGGCGACTTCTGGAAGCTAACTAAATCCAAGAAGTAATTAGGCGGTATATCTGTTTAGGCATATATAGAAGATATCATATTCTATCACGTAAGCCACGGTATAGTGCTCTCCTATTAGTTAGAGGTGCCCCACTATCCTCGCTTAGAAGGTGGCAGATATATTTAGGACACGTATACCCGCCCCCTTTTTCTTTCTCTTTTATAGATAATACAATTATATATTTTATAAATTAAGGCTCCCTATAAGCACGCTCCCGTTAATTTAATAGTTATAAGCCCGGGTAGTAGTAATAACTAATAACTTCCTGCTAATCTATTATCTACGTTTATTTTTACATACTTCTATAGTATTACGGAGCCCTCCTACGCTCTCTCTCCTAATACTAAACTCTTATTCGCTAAACCCTTACTCGATACTATATCGAATAAGCTCGAGATCACGGCTAAAACGCTTGGTATCCCGCGCCTTAAATCCACGCGGTAATAGGCTAATTAGATCTTCTATATCCAGTTATATACGTAAGGGATAAAGGTCTAGGCACTACTCGATCTTAGCTAAAAGGATTAGCTAGATAACCGTCCTAAATATATTATACCTAAATCCCTGGATTAACTACGCGAATAGTATTCCTAAGGCGAGGGCGATAATACTATCGTGCCCTTAACGTAGGAGCTTATACGCCTCGCCGAAATTAAGAATTAGTAGACTATAGCCTAGAATTAAAAGCTCGGTCGCCTTATTAAGGCGCTCGATAAGGCTAATTAACTACTTAAAACCACCGTGGAGACCTCTACTTATTAATAGGCTATTAAAAAGGCTATTAAAAAATATCCCGGCTACGAAGAGGAAAAATAAAATAGACACTTTACGTTACGCCACGTAATAAAAAAACTTAAGAGTAGCTTCGCTCTAAGTAGTATTTATATAAAGGAAAAGGTAAGACGAGTATATAAAAAGTATCTATAAGACGCTTATCGAGCTAATACTAAAGTAGCTATATAGTATACGGAGTAGAATACCCTTATTAGACGCGTATATTAGTAAAAGGTAGCCGAGATTAAAGGACTTACTACTATTCGGAACTTCCTTATAGTAGTTAAATAGAAGTTTACGCCTATTTAGGCAGAAACTAAGCTTTAGGAGCTAGTGATAAAAGAGGTCCGCGGCGATAAGATTTCCGATTTTCTAATATACGGCCGCGAGTTTAACGCTATTATAAGTGCTCTAACTATAGATAGCACGCGCCACGGCGTTTACGCGACCCTAGGAGACCGCTTAGATAATAATAAAGGCGGAAAAAAGCCTAAGAAGAAAAGCACTAATTACTCCTATCGACGCGAATATACTTAGAAGCCAGAGCACTATAATAAGCTAAAGTACGCTTTAACCGGAAAATACGAGTAGAGATCTAATACCTATATTAATAATAAGTAGTGTAAGGAGATACGGAAGGAGATTAAGCTCATAAAGTGGAAGAGCTTACGCGAAAAACTATCGAAAAAGAGATAGGAAAGCTCGGAAAGCGGTAGTAATAAAGGAGATAGGTATCCTAGGAAGGTTATTATAACTATCCTAGATCCCGCCCTTATCTACACTACAGAAAAGGTCCCTAGGATCTATACCGCGCTCCGACTAGGCCCTTACCCGCTCTTATAAAGCACTCTTCTTAATAATTACGGTATAACTTACCTTATTAACTTAATCGACCTGCTTATTCTAGGTTCCTTTGTTTCTATAGAGGGATCTATCGAATCCGGTATAACCGACTTTCCGATTATTAGCAAAGGTAAACGGCTTCTTAAAGAAATCCTTAATAGACCTCTAAGTACTCCGAAAGCTAACTTAGAGCTTAACGATATAGTCGTCGTGGAGGGATTTCACACGAATATTATTTCGGAAGCTCTATTATATAAGGTTAGGATCTAGTATTCGAGATATAACTACTCGTTATACTTTAGAACGGCGGAGAAGAGCGTAGTCTTATTAAAGCTGCTTAAACGCTTTAATATAACTATCCTTTAGTATAAGCTAATTTTATCTTCTTCTTCGTATTCGTTATTCTAACCGATACTATATAGTATTATTCCGATTAATTACGACTATTAATATATACTAGTTATAGTAGTTAATCGACTAATAAGAACTTACCGATATTACCGACCTACCCGTAACCCTCCGCGTCCACAAGTTAACAAAGAATAGTTATAGCACTTAAGAGTAGGCTATCTTAGACTAAGCGCTCTACGAGTATTAGTTCGTAACGCCAGAAACATGTTAATTAAGGGAACTAAGCGGATAGACTATAAGACGTACTCCCGAACCTAGGCACGTTAAGTTATATCTCGATACACGTTAGAACACCGCTCTCTATAACCGTTTTAGCGTATTTATTAGGATCTTTAAAAGCTACCTAAAAGCTATAACGGTATACGATATCTTCTTATAATAAAGGACGAATATAGCGGCTAAATCTACGTGCTACCTTTAGCTTCGAAAAACAGCGTTACGGTCTATAACGCGCTTTGAGCATTCGAACGATAGGTTAACCGGTAATTCACTTTATATATTTATAAGATACGTAGTAATAATAAGCCCTCGATCGTTAACCTAGCAGGGGATTAAATAACCCAGCTATAGGCGAGCAGTTAAGGGATTAAGATAGAAATAGCACCGCTATATACCTATAAACCGAACGGAGGCAGCGATAAAGCCGGTTAACTGATTATTATAAAGTCTAACGCTATACTTAATAGAGCAGGAATTCCACTAGATAAATAGCTAGAGAGTACTAAATCGGCAGCGTTATTATATAATATAAGTCCCTTATAAAGACACGGATAGAAATCCCTAGTAGAAATCCTCGACTTATAGTTTAGAAAGAATACGCCGATTCTAATAAGAGAGTATATAGCCGACCTACGCCCTAATTAGAGTAGTATTTATACCTATAGCTGCCGCGCCTATCTAATAGCGAGGGATAGGGAGACTAAGAGAAATAGGAAACTATATAAGGTTTAACTAAAGGGATATATTAGATATCTTATAGGTTACGTTACCTATAATATTTACCGAGTATAGATTCTATAGCTTTAGAAGGTTATTATAACGCGTAATATATAGTTTAACGAGTAGCTATTTTATAAACTA